CGTCTTTTTGAGGCTTACGGCTCTTTTTGTGGGGGTGTTGTGGGCTCTGGGGTGCACGAGTCTTCTGCGAAAAGGCTGCGGCGATGGGGCTCAGGAGTGTACAGTGCTGGCAGGGGCACCAGGGCGTGTCAGGAGCAGCACATCACGAACACGGCCCAATTGTCTCCGAACACGTCCTGAATTGTTCGGGCAGCACCGTTTCTTGACTGAGGATGCCCTGCCGCATCGCGCACACGATGACTCAGTCGGTGGCCCCTCGTTCTTGGTGGAAGGGAGTCTTGGGATGTCTTGGGACACCGCAGCACTCGGACATGTTTGCTCTTTTGGATTCCAGGCCGCTTGCTTCCCAGGCCCACATCCACGCCCATGGCGTCGTGCACGGTGACCTCAAGCCCTCCAATTGGCTTTGGGATGCACGGCAGAAGGCACCTTGTCTGTGTGACTTCGAGGCTCGGCAGCATTGGCGTTTTCATGTGAGCTTGGGGCAGGCACTTGGACCTCGGTTCTTGCCCTTTCCGCACTTCCGGCTTAGGAGACGGCCAAAGACCAGAATCGCGGGACGACCACTGCAGCCAAAACCACTGGGCGAGGGTTGCATACACCTGGCTATTTGGCACCGGAGCTCCTGAAGGACAGCTGCGGAGGCTATGGCCCATCTGAAGCTGCCAGAAGCCCATCGCCACGGCGCGCGAACTTTCACCAGCCATGTCCCCGAAGCTTCGTGAGCTTGCTGTACGGGGCCGTGTGAGGCAGTGGAGCAAAACCCATCAGAACCCTCAAGAGTCGAAGCCCTGAACCGCCAGCTTGAGAGGACCCTTGCAGGCCTCGGACGATGGAAGCTGACGTTTTCGCGCCGGCAGCCGAGCCAGGGCTCAGGATGAAGCGAAGCTTCGAGTGGGCCCCCCATATCCCGCAAACCCAAAAACCACCCTCGGAGAGACCTAAGTTGCCCTGGTTCTACAGCGTCCCTGCTTTGCGTCCCATGCTTCCAACACAAGCAGCCCAATCCGGATGTTTCTGCAGTTCGCACCCAGGGGCTGATCGGAATCAATATCATACCCTTCCACTCTCGCACGTGGAGCAATAAGAAAGGCCTAGAGTTCCCTTCATCTTTCCCTAGAGGTTTCGGGGCAGACAACTCTCCAAATGGCCGGTGAAGTTGCGTGAAACATTCCTTAGGCTGGGGCGGTCTGTGGAAGAGGTCCTGCAGGCGGTCCCAGAGACAAGGCCTGGAAGGGTACAAAGGCTGTGTTTTTTTTGCACCCCCACACACCCGTGAACTCCAAGTTGCCAACCCCGTCTGCACCCGATGTCGGAGGCCTACGGAGCGAGCAGAGCTCACCAGCTTCGCCGCTGGGAAGTCCGAGAGTTGAGCAAGTGTACGCTTCGGGACTTCGGACATTGTCAGGCATTCAGGCGTGAAGCTGTTGAGCTTGGAGGTGACAGGGAGCAGGTCGGCTGAGTTCGGGCGTGCAGCATGGGAGTCTACCCTGTCCACACAACCAAACACCGCCACGGGGGTTGGAAGTCGGCCGCCTACTACCATACGTGTGATGCTGCTTGAAGGTCAAGGCTCACACCAGGTTAAGCTCTAGCTCTGGCTCCCAAAATGCATACGATGCTGCTTGTGCTACAGAGGTGGAGCGGATGCTATGCGAAGATCCCTCCCAGCGCATTTCCGCGACGGTGGCCGCCCAGGTGGGAATGCTCTCAAGGGTTTAGGGTTTAGGGTGAAGCTCGCGGGGTCAAAAGGGTGAAGCCTGTTGCAAAGGGGTTTAAGGGTTTTGGGGTTTGTGTCCTATGGCGCAGTTCGTGAAGGCGCAGATGAGGATGTCATGTTTACACGTTACAGGCTGGGCCTTCCTTATGGAGTGTGAGCTGGCCCTTTGGCCAGGCTTGGTGGAACGAAGCTCTTAGCAGCACGGATGGCTACGAGCACCTGGTGTCCGGCCCATCTTTTTACGCGTGATCCCAACATCGATGCTCATATTGTTTTGCTGGATCTCGGTCCTGGATGCTTAACAATTAAGCTGGCCAGGTGAAGTGTAAGGAGGTCTTGTACTCGCAGGCTGGACCCAGTGCGCCACGCTTCAAATGTCCTTCAGCTGCCTCCGCCGTTCAAGGTTAAGCTTGAAAGGCCTAGATGCTTCCAGGTGACCTGTAGGGTGCACAGGTATCGGTATGTGTAGGGTCGTTGTCTGCGCAGGGCGAGTGCAGCCGCCAGTTTCGAGATGGCCAGTCTTTTCAGCAGCTTATTGAGGTGGGCCTGTTTAATCTACGTCGGGTCGGCATCCATTTGGGGCATAGGTTCCCGGTTTGCACTGTAGAAGGCTTTAAAAAGTTGCTGTCAACGACAACTGGCCCCCACAGCCCTTATTGATCAGCAGCCTTGAGGCGGGGGGTGTTTACACAGCTGGTGCTGTCCTGTCTCACGGCCAGGCAATTGTCCAGGATCCTGAATACCCGCTGAAGGAAGACCGGCTGATCATCGAGGTGGTCCGCAAAGGCAAGGGCGCCTTTCGCAAACCACGAGGGACTGCGTGGAGCATGTTCTGTTGCCTCTTCTGACAGGGGGTGCTCTGCTCTCGGTGGACAACAGACGCCTGTACTGCTTCCATGAGGTCCTGTTTGCAATGTGCTGTGCATCACCCCACTCCTCTGCTCGGTCGCCTCTTGATGTGATAGGCGCAGAACAAACTTTATCCGGAGACCGATGCTTGGGCCGCACAGACTGAGCCGTGTGAACTCTGTTCGGCAAGTGATGGTGCCCAAGCGTCTTCGGAGCTGAGGTCTGGATCAGGATTCGCGAGCACCAGCACAGCATGGTACCTCGGCTGGCATGAATAGACGAAGAACTTGTTGCAGTGTGTGTGTGTGTGTGTGTGTGTCCGAGGTGCAAGAAAGATTCCAGAGTCATTTCTCGACGCGAAATGGCGGCCGATCCATCCATGTCCCGGCTGCATGTTCGGATGTTCGGACCTACACTGAGGTCTGAGGTCTTGAGTTACCACGCTACACTGCGACACGAAATGCAGCCAGGTACGGGGCCTGCCGCCGCCTCGAAGGCCCCCACCAGGCAACCATTTCTAACCGATTCTAACCGTTTTGTTACCAGGAGTCGTGACTTTTGTGTGTGCAGCTTCACTCGCCACAGTATTCTGCTTCGTGCGCTCTTTGCATCTTGATCTTCTCTGTACATGTATCTCTGACCCTGTCAATCTTGCCAACATCGTTGCGATCACTGCCCGAGCCTCCCCGTTGACCTTGCATTGCCGAGAGAAGAATTTCAAGCGGTGCCGAAAGCCAAGACATTTTTTTCTCCACAAGAAGCGGTTTGGTCTTCAAATCGGTTTCAGGGCAATCTCCGACAGTGCAGGCTTGTTCAGAGAGCAAGTCGCAGTTGCTAGGGGTGACCAGCCTGGTTGCCATTTGTCGAGGGTTCATTTCATTAGCAAGAAACAGCACGTGCCATCCGTTTTTGCCCTGAAGACTGGTTGCAACGAGTGCTTTCGTGGACTTTGCGTGCACGTGTTGCCAGTGTTGCCTGTGATTTTGCAGGTCATCATTAAGTGCGCCTACGGCAAATGGCATCCTGAGAGAGCGTGGCCGCGGGCCTCCGATAGTTTTGGTCTGCACCTTCCTGTCAAAGAGTCCAAGATCAAGGAGCAGCAGTCCAAGATCAAGGAGCAGCAGTCCTTTGCATCATAAGCCCGGTACCAACACGCCATCAGCAGGAATCTTGAAACCTCTCGGTCTTAGGCCAGAATGGGCCCAAGATAGCGAGGGAAGAGCCGAGGTTGCTGTCCCCCCAAAAGTTCAGGACCCAGTTTAGGGTTTAGGGTTTAGGGTTTGGGGTTTTAGAGCATTGAGGATGATTTAGGCATGGAAAGTCTCAGCTTCTTCCCTCCCGGGGATCCTCGAAAGAGGCGCTAGTCCCTTGAAATTAGCCTCCGCTGTGTGCGAGGCCTTTAAGCTTTCGTAGCTTCCCGAACCTCCGAAGCATAGACCTGAGCCGGCATAGAGTTCGCACCGCAGGGACGAGACCTGAGATTTTGATCACATACACACACACACACACATATATATATATATATATCTTTAACCAACCGAATATAGGCAATAATCGAATAAAGGCAACAGGTGTGTACATATATATATATATATATAATGCCTTGTTCTATGTATGGATATTGATACCACCCCCCCTGGTGGTGACTCGGTGACAAGGCAAGCTCAGCAGCTCGAGGTGGGAAATGCGGGCGACTTCAGCCAGAGGAGACCACTCCCCAGGTCAAAGCAGGTATGTCTGTAACCATCTGTTTTTTTTTGAAGATATTATCGTCTGTTACGGGGGACCTCAAAAACTCTAGATGCCCTTTTGGCATGGGATTGAAGGGCAGGGACCCTAGTTCTGAGGCACAACGCCGTGGTGACGTCCACCTTAGGCTTCCGAAGTCTGCCATGCAAGGCGTGGGCTGACCGGTACGTTACGCCGCGCGGCTGTGTAGCGCTGGGGAAGGAAGTGGAGCTTGAATCCGCGCATTGTCGATTCGCAGATGTTTCTTATTGCTGTTGCATTTATTACCACTCATCTTAGCCGCGACCTGGTCGTGCTAACTTGCTCCGTTTGTTCTTCGGACTATGTGTACCACGATGAGAGAGCTGGTGATGTCCAATGAGTCAAGTCCCCCAAAAAGCTTCAGGGGCCGACCACAAGTGTGGAGGGGCTCTGCTCTCCCCAGCATCGCCCGTGGCAGAGGCAGCCAAATTTAAAGGTTGAACCGATGATCCCATGAATCCATGGCTTCCAGAGAGCCAGGCGTAGGAAAGCTGGGAGAGAAATGGACAGAAAAGAAGGCCGCGCAGGCTGGCAGCTCCGCCCACGATCAGCTTCTCGGGGCCAAGAGCAAGTCCAATCCCTGAGCCCCAAACCCCCTTTACCCTAAACCCTCAGCCCTGCCGGCCTTGTGTGAGAGTGAGCGACCTAACACCACATCGAGGTGATCGTTTTGCAGGGCGTCTTCGGCACGATCCCGTCAGCGGCGCAGAGCTTCACGACGATGTACCTGCGCCTTGGCTTCTAGAGTCCCTCTGAGGGCGGCCGACTCAGATGACATGAAGGTGACAAAAGAAGTTCGGGCCGCTCCCGCTGAGGGTTCGGGGTCTCATCGAGGGATTAGCGAAGTCCTTTTCTGGGAAGAGTCAGCTTCTGCCAGGCAGTACATGGGCGTCTCCAATGCGATGTGTCGCTGGGCGAAGATAATCCGAAGATGCGCAGCACACTTGGCAGCGCCTGACGGGTCTTGCGAGGTCCAAGTCCATTCAAAGTTGCACAGACCGTTTACGCTCAAAAAAGGCTTTGATTTTGATAAAACATACATATATACATGTATATATATATATATATACATTTATGTGTATAAAGTACGGTGGTTTCCGCGACAATTCATGGAAGCTCAGTTGAAGTTCGTTAACAGCAACCTAGCGAAGCCATGACCACATGCAGCTAATGTCAATCCAAGGCGGTCTCATCCTCGCGCTGCGCATCCCTGCTCTGACTTAGACTGGCAGGACGATCTTTTGTAACGAAGCTGGGCACCGTAGTCCTTTAGTTAATATAGCGACGTGAGTGCCAGGGGAGCTTTGTGATGTTCTGTCAAGCCGCAGCCGTGTCCGCACATGTTTTGGTGCACCAGCCCAGGTACCGTGGGCGAAGGCCTGGGCAGTGCGCTTGGCGGTTACCTCGGGGATATCGCGCACATGAGGCGACCCACCGATGGCAGGACCACAGGGCGAGAAGCGAGCAAGCATGAACAAGCCTAACGTCCACTGTTGCATGCCCACACACAGGCACTCCCCCAGCACTGCCGGGCAGGATTTTCATTGCGATGTTCTCGGTTCTGGTGAACATTCCATTTATCTATGCCATCTTCATGGGCGTGGCTCTGGCATGATCTGCCATGTCACCTGCAAGAAGCCAAATGGCGATACCCGCGGCGTGCTAATCTCATTCTCTCTTTCCAATGTCAGCGCAGCACACACGGCCAGGTCTCAAAGAGCCAGGACTTGTCAGCTGACGGCTGAGATTCATTGTTGACATTGCCTTCCGAGGGGTCCGTGCATGGTTCCGGTGCATTTGAATGGTGAGGTGTGGGTTTTTTCTGAAATACTGAGCGGAATGAAATTGTCATGATCCCGCGGAATTGTGTTAAGGTTGTGGGACCATCTGAAACTAGCTGTAAATGCACCGGTTCTTTGCACTTAGCTTCTGCGATCGTCTGAGCCTAAACAAAGCTGAAACTCTGGAACCTATCCCCTCCGGAGATGCGAGAGAGAGCAAAGCAATCTGCCTCCTGAAAATCTTAAACCCTGAAGTCTCTGGCTGCCCGGGGTCAGGATCTCAAGTCTTGAGGCCAGCCCTAACGCTACGAATCCCTCTCGTAACGAGGCCAGGCCAGGTAGTTCCGGAGAAATTAGCCACCGTGGAGATTAAATCTAACACGTGAAAACTTAAACATACTTCAGCCCGAAACACCTTAAGTAATTCACTTCTCTAAATCCTGTGTAACGAGGCAGGCAGAAGGAACGTGCTGCGAAGCCTTCTGTTCTCCTTCTGAGATCCTTCTGAAATTCTTCTGGGGTTCTCTTGAGATTCTTCTCAGATACTCCCATGAGCCAGCGTTGGACAGTTGCCTTGCCCGCCCTGGTAGCCGCAAGCCCGAGGCACTACATGTCAACTTAGGACCGAAGCTCTTACGGCACCCTAAACAAGAACCGAGAAGATGGTAACCCTTGACATACTCGACTTCTAGAAAACAATCACACAGGCCCAGGTTTTCTGCATGTGCCCATCATGTCTATGAACCCGAAACCCTAAACCCTAAACCCTAAACCTTGTTCTTTGCTTTTGGGAACTTCCCTACATTGATCCCCCTTTTTACACTAACTTTAAAAGCACCCCATCTTTCGGAAGAAGTAGGTTTGCCGGTATTGGTCCCTGCAATGTGGCCTGAGTGTAAGCTAGGCGGGTGGCAAAAAAAAGTCCTAAACCGTTAACCCTTAACCCTTAACCCTTTAACCCGAAACCCTAAACCCTAAACCTACAGTGCGATGTTCTGCATCAGCTAGGCGGGTGGCAAAACAAATCCTAAACCCTTGCAACCAAAACCTTAAACCCTAAACCCTAAACCCAAATCCTCCCCAGGTGTTCTTTGCTGGACTTCTCTTCACCAGCGGGGTTTTCACCTCCTGGGAAGTTGCGGGATGCCTGTGCCCAGTCGTGCCGGGGATCCCAGCGCTGGACACCGAATTCGTAGTCTTAGTGGGTCTTCGTAACCTTAAACCCTAAACCCTAAACCCTAGACAACGGATATATATATATATATATATAGATACATACAGGGGCCTACTTCCCGAACTCCCTACTACGAACTCGGATGCGCATCCTCAAAAAGGGCTGCGACTTAGACATCGTTTGTTGGTCTCACAAACTTGGATGGATTGATTGTGAGCTTTTGGGGGTGTTGTTTCTGCAGAAGCCACTGGCCCTTGGTGATTTTTGTCTGCCCTGACGAATGGACAGAGGCGGTTCGCAGTTTAGGATCCGCTTGTTGCGTGTCAGGAGCCCGCATCATCATCACAAAGGTTTCGGGTGAAAGTCACGGGCATGTTTGCCCGTGATCAACAGCCCCCTCTGCAGAACCCTGCAAGTTTGCTACTGACGGCTCCGACTCAGGATTGACATCGTGCCCCGACGACAGCTCTCATCCGCTTTTGCTTGGAACGCGGCCTGGTTGCCTGCCAGAGGTCCTAGGAGTGAGTCGTCAGTATGTAGGCAGGGTTGGGTCTGGGTTTCTTATGTTCCCGAACTCGTATCATGGAAAGGCCTCAACTCGAGTATCGGAGTTGCGGCAACGCATTGGGCGTGTTTGCGGACAATACACTAGCGCTGCTGGCATGGCTGCTGGGGCTCTGCAGAAGCAGATCGGGCTTTGTTTTGGCATCTCATCGAAGCCGTAATGCCCTCATTGCGCTTCGCCCGAAAGCATCAGCAGTTCCGGTTGCCGCTTCGCTCCTTGCCGCGCACGCCATTCCTCATTGCGCGAATCTTTTTGACGTTGGTAGCCGTCATGAAGCGCACCGAGGGCCCCCTACTGTAGATAGTGCGCAGGGTCCCCCGAATCTCCCGAATCAGCAACAAACCGCACCCTGAAGGTGGCCATTGTCTTCACGAGCGGCAACATGATCGGGCCCATGCTGGTAGGTCTGGGCCTGTGTTCGGTGCCACCGGGATTTTGGATTTACGTTCACTTCCCTTTTGTAAAACACCCCCCTCCTTGATTGCATGAATCAGTTTTGGAGCCAACTTTTTCCGGGATTTGGTTTTTAATTGAAGGGCATGGAGTTCCGGGATTATTTTCTTCAATTCGCCAAGGGGGTAAGTAACGCCAAGTCAACATGGGCGTGTGCGTGTGTGCACGCGTCGGCGTGGACTAGTGACCAGGTCACAGCTGCAGAAGCAACAACCACAACTGCAAGCAACTGGCATCTGAAAACCTGCACAGTCTCGTGACTCCAGTGTGCATGTGGCCTGGGCGGACTAGGGCCTGTCGCCCTTCGATCAAGGGAAGAAAACCAGGATCACAGGCACTAGCCATAGAGGTGGGCGCTGCCACCTGAGCCGTTCCCTGTGATTGTGTGATGTTGTTGCGAGGGGTGACGGCGCAGAAGATCTTCCACTACCGACTCACGACAGACAGCATTGCCGCTGCAGCTGAACCGAAGGACAGAGTCTGGTGAGTTCTGGCTTCAGGCTTTCAGCTGGGAGTGTTGAAGGGCCTGGCTACAAAGAGGGAGGGTAGGTGCTCGATGCTCGTGACGCAGGGATGCTTGCGCGGCTAAGGAAGACATGAGCGCCGACATGCGCGAGAGCAACGCAGAGGCCTTGCGTGATGCCTGTTCTGACCTGGAATTGCTTTGTACAGTGCTGCGGTGCAAACCCGTTTCTCCAGTTCCTAGTGCAAAACAAGCGGATCTCAACCGTTTCACCACTGCCCTATTGAGATGTGGAAGTAACACGCGCGTGCACGCGACAATCGCATAGGAACATCAGGAGGTGGTCGGCCATGTGCCATTTAGGTTCATACGTGGCCACCACTGCAATCTGTCACCGTTCTCCTCTCAGAAAGCAGAAACATATGTGAAACCACTCACGTAGCGGCATGGGCATGTGCTGTCGTAAACTGGGGCAGAAGGTTACCATGAAGCTTGTGTTGTGGTAGCAGCATGCTGTTAGGACACAGCTCGACCGATCGCAGGCTTTGGGGAAGTCGCTGTGCTTCAGTTCCATCGTGCCCTGCATCATTTCGGCCCTGATCTTCGCCATGCAGCTCGGCTGGGGGTTCTGGACGCTCTCAGTTCTGGGCATTCCGTGCTTTGGGGCTCTTCCGCAAGTTGTAGACTATCTCTGCTGGGTGTCGGTTGTGGTCATACTTAAGAGCCGTTAGTGGATCCTAGGTGGAAGTCAATGTTTTTTTTTCCGGTGCTGGACATGTTTGTTTGCATTTGAGCAGCGCGAGGCTCTTCTGCACATACTCTTCGGACAGGAGGAATATCCAGGACTGCCAGGCACTTCCTTGAAGTGCCGTAAAGTAAGACAAGTGAAAATATGCAACCGTATTTACAAAAAGAAGAAGAACGAAGAAAGAAGAAGAAAGAATACTAATAATGGCAAACAAGAAGAAGCAGTGCTCTCTTTTCTTTGCCGTCAAACTCCCGCTTGCTTCCGGCATGAGTGGGCGCAGGTCTGCTGATGGGGTAGGTAGGGTACGTGAATACGTGATGTTGATGATGGCGGAGGCTGGTGACACCGACAGTGATGTGCCAGAGGCTTCCAAGGACAGGGTTCGAGCACAGCGTGCTATGGTGCGCAAGGTTTAGCTTTGCAGATCTCCAGGAGCCACCGACAGAGACATCGCGTTTGCTCACAAAGCGAAGATCAAGCGAGGCACTGGCATGTCTGCAAATGCATCAGCGTTAGTTTGGCATTTGCACACTGGTGGCCGAGCTTGAAGGCATGACGGAGTGACGCGGGCACAGGGAGGACGGGCATTTCAGCTGGCGGGCTCCACCGCATGTATGCCTTGCTACAGGAACCCTTCATACTTGCGCAGAAATCAAGCGACATCCCGGCAGACGCGCCAGTAGATATTCTGATATTCCGAGCGAGGTAAGCGAAACTACTTCGTTTCACGACGCGACCAAAGCCGCCTGCTTGAGCGGCATCCGCCCACTAATTACTGATAGCCCATGATCGTTGCAGCTGGGATCAGATTTCATTCTCAATGTGGTTTTTTTTTTCAGCCTTGGTGCTTTGAAGCAGGCTTTGTCAAGATGGCTTGAGACAATTCAGAACATGGTCGGATCTGTGCTGTGGCGCTGAGCAGGCTAGCCTTGCCCAGTCCTGGAGATGCAAAAAAAATGGGTCCCAACCCCTACAAACCTTTGAGGGGTTAGAGTTGGGGTTTAGGGACAACATTTTCCTGGATGGTACCTGCTTGGCTGGCCGCTGGGCCGTGCGGCCGGGAGTCGCACCGGAAAAAGGCAGCTGCGTCGTTTCATATCCGGTGCTTTTCGTTCATCCTAATATGTATCTTAAGCATGCAACCATGAAGTGCTATAAATACAGATATACATATAGATAGAAATACAAGAAAGTATGTCATATACATGTATTATACACATGAATACGGAAAAACTTATGTGTATGTACAACAACCAATACAAGTATGAAAAAACATGATCTCTATACTACATGTATATACATCTACAGATACATAAATAAATAGATATATCTGTATATTGTGTCTATAGAGTTTGTGGGCGTTCAAGACTGCTCAAGTGACAGCCTCAGAGCCTTGAGGGATTCGTTTAGGGCCACTGCTGAGTTTCCGTCCTTTAAGCAAGGGGGTGCAATACTTGAATGACACACGGTTCCTACATGTGGACTCGAAGCTGGAGGTTGATCACAATTATGGGCCCCCTGCACTGAGTAGCAGAATCAACCCACACCGGGCGGTTCATGAACGGGCGACTGTATGTATTCAACATCGTCTTGCAACCTATAAGGCTGCCTAGGGCTTCCCTGAGCGCCTTTACACAAGGTTCACGCCTCAGAGCGTCCTGGGTCCAGCGGCTGCGAGGCACAAGAGCTGAAGATTTCGTGTTGTTCTTTTTTGTTGGGGGGGGGGCACCCCAAGTACTGTGGGGGGGGGGGGGGGGGGGATGCGGAGGAATCTTTCGGATGTGCGCGGGAGAGTGTTTTAGGAGGTTGGATGGTTGGATGGATGGCCATTTGGACCTCAATCGCTCCTCAAGCGGATCCCGCAGCGAGAGGCACGGGCTGGTGCTTTGTGATGCTGACGTTGGCGTCGTCAGTCTCCCACCGGGGTTGGAGACTGAGGACGCTCCGCATACAGGGGTTCAAGGGAAGGTCGTGTTTGGGATCTAGGATGCAGTCTGGAAGAAAGGCACGTCGCGGTTGAAGGCATTCTTGGAAAGATCCTCATGTTGGGGGGGCGGTTGTGCTTCTTCGGGCTTTGGGTTGGAAAGGGCTTTTGGGTTTGATGTTCAGGTTGTGGGCATTCGGCTTGGACAGTGTCTTGAAGTCGCCCGGGGTGCACACCCCCGCACCCAAACTCACCAAACCACGGCTTTTGCTTTCAGGTCCGCGCCCGTCCTGCGCGAAGACCTGCCTCAACTCCGGAGACTGCGGAAGGCGCGGACTGGAGGGTCGAGGGCTTCAGCTCGAGTCTTAAAGGGGCTGGCTCTCCGGGTCGCAAGGTGTGTGGCTGGTTCATGCTGGTTCACTTCCTGGGGTTTCGTGTTCCGGTGAACTTGCAGTGAAAGCCAGTCCATGAAATCGAGGACCCTCGTATTCATTGCCGGCTGCAGGGTCCTCAGTGACAGTGTAGCGTTGAGCTCCCGAGTCCACGCACTAACATCGCAAGGATTCTGCTTCTTCATCGCGGCACATATGACACGGTCATAGTCCAAATGCCAGTATGAAGCCATCTTGGCTCAACCTTCGCAAGCACATGCAGTAGTCACATGCAGCTTTCAGCGTGCTCGCACTTGTCTTCAAAAGCAGTGATCTGATCTAGAATGGCAATTGCGCAACAAGCAGCGCAAAGGTCTCATAATCCTAAGGAAGTGGGTTTGATCCTCACTCGCCACATTTGTGCATGCTGACCGTTCCCGGTCGTTCAAGGACCGAACCTCGTTCACTCTTCAACATGCCAGAATCCAGAATCATGACCACGTGACGCATGTGCAACATTCTGAAGTCGTAAGCTGCTGCATGTTCGGACGTACTTGGGCAGAATTTCCCTGGCAGGAGGAGACGGTGAAATCGACAACAAGATGGAACGGAACATGGACAGATCATCAAGTGCTGGTGAACTGTCCGTCCGCAGTCTCAATGGTCGGGGTGTGCCTTTGCAGCTGAAAAAATCTCGGTCCGGGGTGCTGCTGCCTCCTTTGTCGGCGACATCACCAGGCTTGCCATCAACGACACGCCAGCTCAAGACCCAACCGTTCTGCAACAATGCATGGTCGCATGAGAAGTCCTACACTCTCGGCCATTCTCGTGCATCCTTCGGACGGCTTGAGGCATGGCCTGGCGAGCAGGCCGAAGTTCGGCATGCTGCCAGAGAAGCGGCGCAGGCGCGGCAACAGCCAGTCTCAACTGAAGAGGAGGCCATCGCGAAGAAGTTGGTCGACTTGGATATGCCGCATCTGGATCGGATCACGAGCATGTACATTGGACACAGCTTTGCAGATATTGACGGTGATGGAGAGAAGTCTGTCGAGGAGGTTCTCCCTACGCAAGAGCTGGGCAACTTGTTGAAGCAGAATAATGGTGGCATTGAGGTGAATGAAGACGAGTTGGAGAGCCAGGAGTTGCAGCAAATACAGACTGGCGAGGATGCTATTGCATATTTCGCCAAGAGTGGAAGCGTCTCGAAGACGAAGCTCTTGTATGCCAATCGTGTAGAGACCGAGCATTTTGCTCCGTATGACTTGATGGTTGTGCCAGAGGATCAGGTAAACCCGGAGTATTTCACTATCTCTGCCACCGGCATTGTGCATGTGGCACCTGGTCTCCTCTCCGAGTGCATCTCCCTGACGGAATGGATGCATCAGAGCTTGATGTTCCGCGTGCTGCAGTCCATCAACTTCTTCAAGTTTTACATCCACAAGAAAGTGATCACTCAGTGGTGCACGAACGCACGATACGAGGTCTACTGCCACCATAGGCAGCGTCTCAGCAGGTGCTGTTTCTTCGCCAAGCCCACCTTTGTGGACTCCCTGGTGCAAGTGAACAGCCTTGTGCGCGAAGTGGAAGAAGTGAAGATCATGCATGTTGACCAGAACTACTACACGGTTCAGGAGTTCATGGATAAGCAGCAGCAGATCCGTGCCAGCCCTGTCAACAGTGCACAAAAAGATTTTGAGCAAAAGCATGAGGCTGCAATTGGCATCATTGATCGGCTGATTGCCACCGTGCAGCGCTCCTTGCAGATTGAGCCCGCTGTAGACCAGCTGTCTGGCTCCAAGTCAAAGTCCATGGTACAGGAGAAGGAAGAGGCACGTGAGAAAGCACGACTCCAGCGTATCGCAAAGAGGGACGAAGACCTGCTAGGCGACTGCATCCGGGTTATTGACTACATGTTCCAGGCTGCACTGGTGCAGACAGCTATCGAAGCTGTCAAGGTGTTCTGGAACCGCTTGGACCAGAAGAACGCGCCAAAGCTTTTCGTGACAAACGTGGATATGTCAGACCAGGGCATTTCCTTGGAACCGGGCAAACACGAATTCATCGAGATGCTGTTTATGATTTCTGATGGCTGGTTTCAGACGCTGAACATGTTGCAGTCAATTACCTGTGTGCGCCAGTATGACCAGTTCTGCCGGGTGCAGCACCATCAGACCGTGAAGGACATACTGTTGAAAGACCGAACCTTCGTGGGATATCAGGCATGTCTTCAAGACTACATCACGAGCGCCGTTGAAGACACGCAGGCATCTGCCAATTTGATGTACGAGCCCTTCCGGCCAATCTACGAGTTTGGCAAACAATGGGACGAGGATGCATTCAACGATAAGGAGAATGACTATGATGCGCTGTATGATCAAATGTCCAAGATGAGAGCGTTTCAGCATGATCTGGACAGGTTCAAACTGAGCCCAATTTGTGGCATCATTCTGGTCAATGGCAAGAGCTTGAAAGACAGATTGACGCCTATCCCAGAGGCTTCGTTGAACTTCCTGAAGAACTGCCTCATTGGCTTAGCCCGGGACAAGTGCAAGGAATGCTACAGCCGCTACGACCAGGTGAACAAGCTTCTAGAAGAAAGATCGAAGGACCTGGGCAAGTTTGCCAACTATGTGAAGATGTATCACAATGTCCAAGATGAGAGGGCGGACATGGAGGACCTCCTGTTCGAAGTTGAGCAGATGTACTCTCTGATAAGGGAGTACAAAGTGAGGATGCCCGGTGACGACGAAGTTGTCTACGAAGGGCTCAAGGCAACCGAGAGCGATTTCACCAACAAGAAGATGATCGAAGCCAGCCAGTTCATCGCCGAGATGAAGGAGGAGATGGCCCTGGAGACGTACCAGAGGGCATTGAAAGTCGAAGAGGAGATGAAGGGGGTGACAGAGGAGCTGTTCACCGGGAGCTTCGTCGATGCGGAGAAGATCGTGGTTGCTCACGAGGTCTTGGAAGAGCTAGACAAGATCTTGGAAACCAAGGTCAAAGTGCTGGAAGAGCGGGCACAGACGTTCACTGACTACGAGGGCCTGCTCGGCGCAGCACCCCAGGTGCAAGCTGAGGAGGAAAGCAACGGGCATTTCCAGTTCGTCGAAGTCGCGAAAACTCGCAAGGTCTTCGATGACAAGCTCAAGCTCTGGGAGGTGACTGCGCAGTGGCAAGAGATGTCCCACAACTGGAATGTGTCTGAGTTCGTGAAGGTGGATGTTGAGTCCATGAACAAGCAAGTCATGGCTTCCTACAAGACCGCCAATGGCCTCACAAAGTCCTTGGAGGGCGACGAAGTGGCAGTCCGAGTGAAAGCCATGATCGAGGAATGGCGTGAGCGAATGCCCTGCATCCTGGATCTCGGGAACCCAGCGCTTCGTCCTCGGCACTGGGAGAAAATCTTCAAGAAGATCAATCTGGCATACAAAGGGCCGACGTCGGTCAGCAGCATCAGTCTGACGCAGCTGGAGGGCAACGGCATCTTTGACCACCGCGAGTATGTGTCCGAGGTGTCTGCAAATGCCAGTGGCGAGTTTGCTTTGGAACAATCTTTGGAGCAGGTGATCGCTGCCTGGGCAGATCTGGAGCTGCCGATCATGAACCACAGGAATCAGAAGGACTTGTGGATTCTCGGCGACCTCCAAGATGTCATCACCCTCTGCGAGGATCACGGCGTGACCATCGCGACCATGATGGGGAGTCGGTTTATCCATGGCATCCGTGAGAAGGTGGAAATCTGGGAGAAGCGGATCAACCAGGCAGCTGATGTGATAGACGAGTGGTACACTGCTCCTTGGGGATTCTTGGGAATGTTTTTTTTTTTAGTGTTTTTTTTGGGCACTAAGTCCTAAGAAGCAGCTAAAATGACGTGTGTGTGTGTTTTTTTTTTTTGCTAGGGTTCCAAGTTCAGTATAGGTTCAGCGAGCATGGATGTATTTGGAGAACATCTTCTCGGCAGAGGACGGGGGAGCAGATTTCGTCGGAAAAAACACACCGGCATCAGTGCATAAAACAATTTCCAGTAAGACGCCCCACGGCTCAGTCCGAAACGGCTTTCCGTTCTGCACAAGCATACACCTGATATCGGATAAAATTCGAAAACGCAGGCCCGTTCAGAGAAACCAAGAGCTTGATTGATACAACCAATGAAGCCGGACGTGTCTCGCCAGTCGGACATCAGCTCAGAAACGAAACTTACCCTGGGGAAGAGACGTGAATTGCGTTTATTCAGCATTTTGGTGGGATGCACGCTTTACGCTAAGATCTCGTTGTATGAGATGTCACACTCAGGGCGTTTTGGCCACGGAGCTTAGGCTGCTCATGGCTTTGACTTTACCGCTCTCTCTTGCCCTCTGTTCTGTGTGTGCGTGCGTGCGTGCGCGCGTGCGTCTGTCTGTGCCTGTGTGTGGCACATGAAGTGCGGCCATGACCTGCACCCTTCTGCGATGCTCCAAGACAAGACGCAGGCAGCGGGGCTTCAAGCAAGTGGGGTGCTCGGGGTTGGTGGTTTAGGTTCTGCTCACGGTTGCTGAAGACGTCTTTGGGATTCTACATAAAGTTTAGAGTCCACGTTGTACCTAAGGGTGCTAGAGGCGAAGTCGCACGAGGCCGCAGGCCCGGGTTTGAGACAGACTCCCGCCGAAGGTGCAGACGTGTTTGAGGTTTAGAGTCGCCCCGATGCGAAACATGGACTGAGGGATGTCCAACCTTTCGAGACGCGCTAGGGCCTTTGATAAGTAGGCTTCTAATGATCTCTGGAAGATACAAACTGTAAAAAACGGCTGAAAGTATTCGGCCCGAAGCCCCACCAACTTCATTCACAGTGGCAAAATGCGTAGCAAGTTGTCGAACGCAAGGGATGTGGCAGAGTTTTCTGTTTGATTTCTCTCGGCCCCTAAGCCTTGAACCAGAAGCCGAAGAACCTGGAAAAAATTCTGAGCCAACGGCCTTTACGTTGGAGTCCCATCCGACGGTCAGGGTGAGTGGGAGCTTCGCAGCCGCTTGCAAAGAGAGGTCGTTTGGAGGACGTCGGGTTGGGGTTCATGGCCCTGGGGGCGTAAAGTTTCGGCCTGCGACTATCACGACTGACGAACTACACTAGGAGTGCCGAGCAAGGCCCATGCCCTCCCGTGGACGTTCACATTCACCCAAGCCGCTGAACCCTGGACCCTAAACCCTAAACCCTAAACCCTAGGCCCTGGTGTGAGGACATGCTTGGAGCATGAGGTGCGCTTTTGCACAGAGACCCTTAAACCAGAATCCCTTAAAACTTCAAAAGCCCAAAACCCTATGACCTTAAACCCTAAACCTCTGTGGCTGGTCTCTTATGGGGTTGACCGGTCCCCTGGCTAAAGCAAGTAAAACTCAAGCCCAGCTGTGCTAGCTTCCTCTTTTAATATTGTTATTGTTGCTCTAGCTGATTATGATATCAGTATATAAAGAACATAATAGTACTAATAATGACAATAATAAACATCATAATAGAAATAATAGTAATCATAATAAAACAGAGTATATAAGATATAGTATAACTTATTATGACATAATATAACGTGTGTACATATATAGACATACATATATGTCTTTTTGTGGGGGGGGCTTGTTCTTGCTTTGGGACTTGAACGTGTTCGTAGCGTTAGCCAGCAATTGCTCCTGCAGGATCTGTATGGGGTGTTTAGTAAGGGGATGCTAGGAGCTCAAGGCTTAAGGCTTAAGGCTTAAGGCTTAAGGGTAGAGTGTGGGCAGCATTTCTTCAGTGCTGGGTGCCTAAAAGCGCTGGAGGTTAAAGGGTCTCGGGCTTTAGGTTTTAGGGCTTTAGGGCAGCACTTCTCCGTTGGAACTTTTGCGGTTATAGGATTTGGGCTTCGGCCTTGGGGTTTTAAGGCTTGGGCAGCACTTCCGCAGCGGCAGCGCTTGAGGTTGTAGGGTTTATGGGGTTTGGGAAGCGCCGCCCGTTAAACCTAAACGTACTTCCACTAGTCTTGAACACTTAGTATTCAAAAAGGATATGTCTCTGATATTCTGCCCAAAGCCCCCCAGCTTTTCAATCCCTCAACGTCCTCGAGTCTGAGGCGTGGGTACGGTGTGCTACTTGAGGGTGTAGCCACTCGCCTCCTGCCCTAGCGCCGCCACGGCACGTTGCCCCGCCCCCGCAAGAGCCAGCCAGTCCCAGTTGGCCAGATGGCAATGTCTCGCCGAGCGTTCGTGCGGGTAGCTGCTAAAGGCCCTCGATCGGCCATCCACCGGAGGGCCCAGACCTGTGTTGCCAAACCGGGAACTTTTGACGCCGAGCTGTTCGACTGCACGGTTCGTCTCCAGGATAGAACAGGTCCTGGACGTAGCTCTGCTCGTGGCTTTCCGTCTGTCTTTAGCCCAGTTCCAATCCGGTTTGATCTCGGGCAGCTCTTTGCATGCCGCTGCCTGAGCCCGCGCCGTATGCTTTGCCATGCCCTGATTCACGTGCCCTCTATCCACCAGCCATTTGAGCCCATCTCCGATCTCTCGCTCGTCCAGGCACATTCGACGTTTCAGTTTTGCGCCCATGCGAATCTTGGCCTTGTCAATCACACCTTAATTGTTAATTTATAGGACATGACTGTACTGTCGTGCGGATGCCGATGATGCTGATGCTCATGTTGCATGCGCCAATAAAAAGCGGGCCCTTTTCGGCCCCTCTGCAGGGCGCATATATAGCCCTGCTATACCGTGGGGTGCATGTTTGCCCCACGATGATGTGATTCTTCTAGGTCTAGATATTGCCCCTGCATAATATTCCCTAGCCCAAACCCCCGGTTAAGTTTTATATATCGTTTTGAAGAAGGGGGGCCCGTGGAAGGGTGTCGGGTCCCAATAGGGTCTCACATGGGCCTGGGGTTCCCTCTAGCCCAGGCCATCATGTTGTACTTGCGTTTTGCCATCTCGTAACTTCATCCAGGGTCCTTCATTCATCTAATTCGGCCTGGGCAGGGGGGGGGCTCTACTGTAACTAGATATAAAAAATTGTCCTGTCAACTCAAGCCGTACTTCGTAAAATGTTGTTTTGTTAAAAACGGGTGAGCCCGGCCTGGTGAGGCTCTGGCCACCCCCCCGGCAAGCGGCACCGGGAGACCAAAACGCGCACGAGGTCTTTTAATAATGTTAACTAGTCCCTAAGTAGAAAGAAATTGCAAGTGTTCTGATGCTCATCTGCTCAAGGCGAGAAACATTACGACATGCACGAGTGCTTGCAAGGGTTTAGGACTTAAGGACTCTCGGCCTTTGCTTCCTGCAGTCATCCAAAAACATCCTCAGCTACAGTACGGACTCTGGGCCTTTGCATTGCCTTTGCTTTTCGCCGTCAACCAAGAACATCCTCAGCTGCAGTACGGACCCTGTGCATTTGCCTGTCGCCGGCAACAAATCCTCAGCTTGTGGGCCTTGGCTTGCCGCCTTAGCCCGCAAAATCCTCGGCTGCAGTGCGGGCTGAGCAATTGGATTTCCTCGCTGAGCAATTTCGATCCGAGGGACGTTTCTGCTGAGCAACCTTGATCCGATGGATCTCAGCAACCTTGATCCGATGGATCTCTCTGCTGAGCAACCTTGATCCGGGGGACGTCTCTGCTGAGCATCCTTGATCCGATGGATTTCCCTGCTAAGCAGTATTGATCCAATGGACTTCCCTGCTGAGCAATTTTGATCCGATGGGTTTTCCTGCAGAGCAGTTTTGATCCGAGGGACCTCTCTGCTGAGCAATTTTGATCCGATGGATTTCGCTGCTGAGCAATGTTGACCCGATGGATTTCCTGGCTTGCCCCTCCCTGCGTGAAAAGCGAGAGCTGCATGGCTCAGCTGCAGTACGGACCCCGCCGCCGTCACCGACATAAGCTTAAGCTGCATTACGGACTGTGGGCCTTTGCATCCCGCCTTACTCAGCCGTCGCGCAAACTTTCCCGCCGTCGCCGAAAACGCCCTCAGCTGCAGTACGGACTCTGGGCCTTTGCGTCCCGCGGTCGCCCTGCAAAATCCTCAGCTGCAGTACGGTCTCTGGCCCTTTGCTTTTCGCCGTCTCATTGGGGACTTCGGGTGTTGTTGTTGTTCTTTTTTCTTTTTCTTCGGGGGTCCCTGCGCCTTCAACCCTTTTGCATCCAGGCCTGTTCGAACACGAAGTCCCGATACGCCCATTCAGACGTTCCCCTCTTCCGAATTTTCTCTGAGCCCCTGGCCGCAGTTTATGTTGTGTAGATCTGCTGTAACAATTCATGGCTTGGGCTTAAGGATGGCTTAAGGGCACGGTCATGCTACAGATCCTGTCGATGTCGTCGAGCATTCATGACCACAAAGTTCACTGCTTTAAAAGAAGCTACCGCTACTGAGTGTGGCAACCAAAAAAAGCAAGGTTTGCCTTTTCCCGACAAGCAAGCGGCTTCGCACATTAGGTCAGGAATTCGTCCAAGGAACCTTCAGTGTCGAGCTACGAGGCCTGCATGGAATTACCTTGCTAGGGGCGTACTTCTGCATAGTACCGACAAAGTACAACTATGTCCCTGGCACACGTGGAGCTTAGGTTTTTTTGGGTTTAGGGCTTAGGGTTTGGAATTCATGCACACCTCTCTTTTCTACTGCCACCTGCAGCCTCCTCATAGACTGTTGATAGGAGTACAGTGGGAGTCTTCGATATTAGCTGGGTGAAAGGGTGTATCAGTAGAGGGTGTTGTAACTACGGTTCATTGTACAATGAATGCGTAGGAGCTCGAGTAAATACAAATGCAGTGAGCGCGAAGAGTATGAATGCACTTGCAAAATCTGGACTCCTCGGGTCTAGAAACCGTCTAGCAAACCCTAAAACCCATACCTTCAGCCGCAAACCCTCAACCGTAAACTCGCCGAGTCAACACATGCTGCAAACCCCACTTGCTCCTCAGGCGAGGCATTCTTGGGGGGACGCACCTCCCCTGCGCTCTGCTTGAGTGACGGCCGTGTGCGTACTTGTGTGCGTGCGTGGGTGTGTGCGTGCGTGGGTGTGTGCGTGCACGCACGCGCCTCCTTGCGTGCGCGTGCGTGCGTGCGTGCGTTTTCGCATGAGCCTCTTCGTTTTACGGTTCGTGTTTTTCCGACTGGCGCCTTTGTTTTTCGCGTACGGGGTTCCAGACAGACGCATTGGCCAAATGACCAAACTTTTCTGTTCCTCAGGTCGTGGTTGCATTCGCACGTTGGAAGCTTCTCGCGTTTTCGGACTGAGCCTGTTCGTTTTCCGGTTCGCATTTTTCCGACTGGCGTCTTTGTTAATCGGACACGGGATTCCAGACAGACGCGACTGACCAAACTTTTCATTTTCTCCGGTTGCGGTTGCGTTCGTGTGTTCGGAGCTTGTTACGGGTTCGACACAGTGACGTCTGTATTTGAGGCTTTGGTTTTTTTGATTCAGCCGCCGTGTTTTGCAGACTGCTGCCCTCATGTTTTTTGACTTTAGGCTTTTGCGTTTTCTGAATACGTCTTTCCGTTTTCAAATTGAAGCTGTTCGTTTCACTGCCCACGTTTTCCGATTCAGCCCTCTCCCCCGGAGGACATCCAGAGGCAGCTGCCACAAGAAGCGGCAAAGTTCAAGCAGGTGGACAAGTTCTGGAAGGACCTTTTCCGCAAGGTTCGCCAGACGGAAAAGCTGTGCATGGACGCATTCCACATTCCCGGAATTCTTGAGCGACTCAAGTGGGCCAATGACACTCTGGACCACGTCCAAAAGCAGTTGGAGGCCTACTTGGAGACGAAGCGCGCCGCCTTTCCGAGGTTCTACTTCCTCTCCAACGACGAGTTGCTCAGCATTCTGTCGCAGACGCGCAACCCACATGCTGTCCAAGAGCACATGTGCAAGTGCTTTGACTCTATCAACCGCGTGGTGTTCTCCGAGGTGGCCAAGGCTGAAATCCTTGGCATGAGCGACATGATCAAGGAGTACGTCCCGTTTGTGCAGCCGGTGGTCACTGGCCCTATCGTTGAGAAATGGCTCAGTGACATTGAGGTTGCCATGGTGAATGGTTTGTACGATGCCAGCAAGAAGGGCCTCCTGGCATATCCAGAGGATGGCACCAACCGAACGGAGTGGCTTCTTGAGGGCCCGTATTCAGCACAGAGCAAAATCTTGGTGGACCAGCAGTTCTGGACAGCTGAGACTGAGAAGGCTCTCTGCAAGATAGCCGCTGGCGACGCAGATGGCATGAAGAACAACATCGAGTTTCACAATCAGCAGCTGAAAAACAGCGTTAGCATCGTTCGAATGCAGCTTACAAAGAATCAGCGCGTTCTGATGGGAGCCTTGATCGTTCTCGATGTGCACGGTATCACTGTGCTGGAGAATCTTCATGAAGCAGGAACAAACAGTTTGAACGATTTCGACTGGAGCAAGCAGCTGCGCTACTACTGGGTGCCAGAATCCGAGGAGGTCGAAACTTCGCTGATCAACATGGTGTCGGACGACTGCGTTTGTCGACAGACCATTGCTTGCTTCAAGTACTCGTATGAGTATCTGGGCAACACGCCGCGTCTTGTTGTCACACCACTGACGGACAAGTGCTACATGACCTTGACCGGAGCCATGCACCTGAACTACGGTGGAGCGCCTGCTGGGCCTGCCGGCACAGGAAAGACCGAAACCACGAAAGACTTGGGCAAAGCGCTGGCTGTGCCAGTGGTGGTTTTTAACTGCTCCGACGGCCTGGACTATAAGATCATGGGCCGCTTCTTCTCAGGCCTGGCGCAGGCAGGGGCCTGGGCCTGCTTCGATGAGTTCCTTACTTCGCCTTTAGTTGAGCTTTAAACTTTTTGGGTTTCCCTTACTTAGTAGGAATCTTAAGGTTTATAACCTTTTTTTCTTCTTGGTTATTGGAGAAGTAAGGTTCAACCGTATTCAGGTGGAGGTCCTCAGTGTGATTGCGCAGCAGATGCTCACGGTCACGCAGGCCATCCGGCAGCGAAAAGAGGTCTTCGAGTTTCTGGGCAACGAGATCCCGTTGAATCGGCGATTCGGGGTGTACATCACCATGAACCCTGGCTACGCCGGACGCGCTGAGCTTCCGGACAACTTGAAAGCCCTCTTCCGCCCGGTTGCCATGATGGTGCCAGACTATGGGCTCATTGCAGAGATCATTCTGTACTCAGAGGGTTTCAACGCAGCCAAGATGCTTGCCCGCAAGATGGTGAACCTCTATCGGCTGTCCTCTGAGCAGCTCTCAAAGCAGGATCATTATGATTTTGGCATGCGTGCAGTGAAGTCGGTGCTGGTGATGGCGGGGCACCTGAAGCGTCAAAATCCGGACTTGGAGGAAAATGTGACCTTGATCCGCGCGCTGCGCGACTCCAACGCGCCGAAGTTCCTGTCGTTTGACCTCCCGCTTTTCAGTGGCATCATCTCAGACTTGTATCCTGATGCCGTGATTCCAGACGTAGACTATGGCAAGTTGAAGACAGAAATCGAGAATCAGCTGCGCTTGATCAACCTTCAGGTGGTGCCTTCCTTCCTCACCAAGATTACGCAGCTCCTAGAAACACAGCTCGTCCGGCATGGCGTGATGTTGGTGGGCCTGACGATGACGGGAAAGTCCACGAACTCCAACATCCTGGCCAAGACGCTCACGCAGTTGAAGAAGGACGGCTCCACTGATCCGGCCCATCAGCTCACCAAGATCTTCTTCTTGAACCCCAAGAGCATCACCATCGAAGAGCTCTACGGGTCCTTCAATGAGAACACGGGTGAGTGGAAGGATGGTCTGGTGGCCATTCTTGTTCGTGAAGCCGTGAGTGACACGTCGGACAACAAGAAGTGGGTGAACTTTGATGGCCCTGTTGATGCCATATGGATCGAGAACATGAACACGGTGCTGGATGACAACAAGATGTTGTGCTTGTCCAATGGAGAGCGGATCAAGCTCCCTCCCAGCATGACCGTCATGTTCGAGGTGAACGACTTGGCAGTAGCATCACCGGCCACTGTCAGTCGTTGTGGCATGGTCTACCTTGAGCCAGTTCACTTGGGATGGAAGCCGCTTATCCAGACGTGGGTGGAGAAGTTCCAACTCAAGTTCCCAGAGTTCGCCAAAGACATTGGAAAATGGGCCATGTCCGTTTGTGAAGAGGCCCTTCCCTACATTCGAGAGGAGTGCCAGGAAGCTCCTGGAATACCCAGCATGGATGCCAACCTCGTTCAGGCTTATCTGAGGATGCTGACTGCCTTCATCTCGGAGCCCCACCAGCTCATGCCCGAAGGTGAAGGAAAGCCACTCAAGACCGATGAGGACTCGAAGAAGTTGGTTCGAATCTACACGGCCATGTCTGCTATCTGGTCCCTTGGAGCCAATCTCCACGAGAATTCGCGAAGCAAGTTTGTGGCCCGGATTCGTCCTCGCCTGCAGCTGTTCTGCCCAGAGGTGCCGGACAGCGGCGACCTGTACATGTTGGCAGTCAGCGATGACGATGCGCGCATCCATCCACTGGCGGACATTGTTCCGAGCTTCAATTTCAACCCACAGGAGCCTTTCTTCAACATTCTGGTCAACACCCCCGAAACAGTGGGTCAACGGATGCTGGTTCAGAACTTGATGATGGCGAACTTCAACGTGCTGTTCTCTGGCGAAACCGGTGTTGGCAAGTCGGTTGTCATTCAGCAGTTCCTGAACACGGCCGGAGAGCTGTTTGCAACCGCAAGTGCGAACTTCAGTGCGCAAACCAGCACTGCCAATGTTGTGGACCAATTTGAGAACCGGCTTGAGCGCAAGCGCAAAACATTGCTGGGAGCTCCTCCAGGCACCACCATGATCTTCTTCGTGGATGATGTCAACATGCCGATGCTTGAGTTCTATGGCGCCCAACCGCCAATTGAGCTGCTGCGGCAGGTGATTGACTATGGAGGCTTCTACGACAAGAAGAAGCTCTTTTGGAAGCAGGTGGCTGACACACAGTTCATTTGTGCTTGCGGGCCCCCTGGTGGAGGTCGCATGGCTGTGACGCCCAGATTGTTCCGCCATTTCAACATGATCTGGATCCCGGCTTTGTCCCAAGATGCTATGCAGAGAATCCTGTCCAGCATCCTAGGTGGCTGGCTCGGCGTGAACAAGCCGGACCTGCAAGAGCTGTCCGTCCCGATCATCAATGCGACAGTGAAGATGTTCTTCCAGATTTCGCGGGACTTGCTGCCAACACCGGTGAAGTGCCATTACACCTTCAATCTGCGGGATCCTGCAAAGATGGTCCAGGGCATGCTCATGGTGGATGTGAAGACGTCACTGAAAAGCGACAAGGACCTCATCGACCTGTTCTTGCACGAAAGCTGCCGCGTCTTCCGAGACCGCCTGATTGATGACGATGACCGGGAATGGTTCAACTCCATGATTGCAGACAAGCTAAACGCTGAAATTGCCGGGGCTGCGAAGATTGATGAGTTCAGAGACCTCATCTTCGGCGATTTCATATCGCGTGGCGGAGATGTAAACCCTTACCAGAAGGCTTCCAGTGAAGAGAAGTGCGTGAGCATATTCCAAGAGATGCTGGATGATTACAACAACCTCATGCCAACAAAGATGAACATCGTCTTCTTCCGTGATGCTTGCATGCACCTGGCTAGGGCAACAAGGACCATCCGACAGCCTCGCGGGAACCTGCTCATGGTTGGTGTGAGCGGCGTCGGACGGAAGTCCATAGCGCGCATAGCCGCTCACATGGCGGACTTCCAGTGTTTCTCCATTGAGATTACCCGAACTTATGGCTCCTCAGACTTCAAGGAGGACTTGAAAAACATCATGAACGGTGTCGCGAAAGGTGGAGGAAAGGGCGTTGTCTTCCTTTTCTCGGATACACAGATCGTCAAGGAGTCCTTCTTGGAAGACATCAACAACATCCTCAACACTGGCGAGGTACCAAATCTCTTTGCGCCCGACGAATTGGAGGGTGTGATAGGCTTGATGCGACCTTTGGCCAAGGCTGCAGGGCAGCCAGAAACGCGCGATGCCATCTGGCAGTACTTTGTGCAGGTGATCCGCGAAAACTTGCACATTGTCTTGGCGTTCTCGCCGATCGGTGAAGGCTTCAGAGCCCGGTGCCGGCAGTTTCCATCGATCATCAACTGTGCCACGATCGACTGGTTCAGCCCATGGCCTGCCGATGCTCTGTACTCCGTCGCCGTGCGCTACTACTCACAAGCTCCGAAGGAGCTGGGTTTGGAGGCCCTCGTGGACCCGCTCTCCAGGGTCTCCCAGTACATGCACAGCACCTCCAAAGATGCCGCGGAGGACTTCTTCGAGAGCCTGCGAAGGAGGACGTACATGACTCCAACCTCGTACTTGGAGCTCATTGGCCTCTTCACCGACTTGGTGGGTAAGAAGCGCGGAGAGCTGACCACGAAGCTCGAGCGCTACACGATCGGATCCAAGACTCTCAATGAGACGAAGTCCGTTGTCGATGATCTGAAGGCTTCGTTGGCCAAGATGCAGCCAACGATCGAGCAGGCAAAGAAAGACACGGCGGAACTCATGGTGAAGGTGCAGGCAGACCAGGCGATAGCAAAGGAGAAGAGCGAGGCGTGTGCCGTCGACGAGGCGGCTGCATCGGAGGCTGCAGCAGAGGCGAATGCCATCAAGGCAGATTGCCAGAAGGATCTCGATGAGGCGCTGCCAGAGTACTATGCGGCAATCAAATCGCTTGATTCCCTCGACAAGAAGGACATTCAAGAGGTCAAGTCATTTGCGAAGCCTCCGCCTCTTGTGGAGGTCGTCCTGAGTGCCGTGTGTCTTTTGATGGGCCAGAAGGAGAGCTGGGATGACGCCAAGAAGCTCATGAACGACACGAAGTTCCTAGACAACTTGAAGACCTATGACAAGGATGCCCTGGCCAACAATGCCAAGTTGACACAAAAGTTGCAGAAGTACATCAAGAGGGATGACTTTGTGGCTGAGAAGGTGAAGAGCGTGTCTTCTGCGGCCATGTCTCTCTGCATGTGGGTGCGGGCGATGGATGTCTACGGCCGGGTCTCCCGAGAAATCGAGCCGAAGAAGGCCAAGCTCAAAGTCGCCGAGGACTCTTTGGCAGCTGCTGAAGAGAAGCTGTCCATCAAGAAGGCCGAGCTGAAGCTCGTCATGGACAACGTGGCCGCCTTGGAGGCGCAGCTTGCGGCTGCGCAGCGCAAGGCTGCCCAGCTCGAGGCCGATGCAGAGGATTGCGTGATTAAGCTCGACCGCGCGGAGAAGCTGCTGGCTGGCCTGGGGAATGAGAGCGTCCGGTGGAACGCTGCAAGTGAAGTGCTGGAGAAGAATCTCAAGTTCGTCATTGGCAACATCGTCCTTGCAGGTGGCTTCATTGCATACACCGGGCCGTTCACGGCCGAGTTTCGCCGCAGCTTGGTGGCCAAGTGGAAGCAGCAAGCAGACGGGGTGGGTCTCCTCTGCGATCCCAACTGGAAGGCCGCAGACGTCCTCGTTGATCCCGCGGAGGTTCGCATGTGGAACATCCAGACTCTCCCCTCGGATGACCTCTCGGTGGAGAATGGCCTTATGGTAACACGTGGAAGGCGATGGCCGCTGATGGTGGACCCTCAGGGCCAAGCGAATCGTTGGGTTCGAAACATGGGCAAGGACAACAACATCGTCATCACAAAGCTTTCCGATGGCACGTATCTTCGCAAATTGGAGTCGTGCATCCGTAACGGTCACTCCATCCTCATCGAGAACGTGGAAGAGGTTTTAGACCCTGCGCTCGAGCCGGTGCTTACGAAAGCGCTGTTCAAGCGAGGAGGGCAGTTGCTGCTTCGCTTGGGCACCGAAGATGTGCCATACGACGAGAACTTCCGCTTCTATGTCACCACGAAAATGGCCAATCCTCACTACCTGCCAGAAGTTTGCATCAAGGTCACCGTAATCAACTTCACGGTGACTCTTCTTGGCTTGGAGGAGCAGCTGGTGGCGGAAGTCGTCGGCAACGAGCGGCCAGACTTGGCGCAGCAACGCCAAGAGCTCGTTGTACAAATTGCAGCTGACAAGAAGACCCAGGACGACCTCGAGCAGCTCATCCTGAAGCTTCTGGCCGAGGCAGGCGGCGACGTTCTGAAGGATGACACCCTCATCCACACCTTGGATCAGTCGAAGCAAACAGGCTTGGAGTGCCAGGAGCGCATGCAAGTGGCTGACAAGGCCATGGTGGAGATTGATGCCGTCCGTGAGAAACTCAGACCAGTTGCGACGAGGGCATCGATTCTGTACTTTGTGATCGCCGATCTTGCAGACATCGACCCCATGTACCAGTATAGCCTGGAGTTCTTCGTTGTTCTTTTCCAAGGCAGATTGCGTGACGCAGAGCAATCCGAGGACATCAACAAACGCATTGACATCCTCGTGGACGACTTTACAAAGTTCATTTTCTTAAACATCTGCCGTGGCCTCTTCGAGGATCACAAGTTGCTTTTCTCCTTCCTCATTACAGTTCAGATCCTCAGAAACGAGGTGCACTCAAAGTTCCTCAACAAGACGACCATCAAGCCGACCGAATGGCTCTTCTTCCTGCGCAATGCGGAAGCAGGAAAAGGCATTCTGGAAGACGGCGAGGTCAGCGTGGCATGCCCCGCCTGGGTGGACAAGACTGCCTGGGTCAAGTTGGACGTGCTGGAGCGGCTGACAGCCCACAACGGCGAGATGCAGTTTGTGGGCTTGAAGGATGCAATGGCCAAGGATAGCAACTGGGAGGCCTTCTGTCGGAGTGATGATATGTACCAGCGGCCTTTGCCGAAGCCCTGGGACACAAAGCTCACTGCCTTCCAGCAAGCATTGGTCATCAAATGTATGCGAGAGAACTTCCTGAACTTTGTTGCTCGCAATGTTGTTGCCCGGGAGCTTGGCCAGCTCTTCATCGAGTCGCCACCTTTCAACCTGGGCAGTTGCTACGCCGATTCAGTGGCAACGATGCCTTTGATCTTTGTGCTCTCTGCCGGTGCTGACCCTACCGAGTACTTGCTGACCTTGGCTGCTGAGAAAGGCTACACGGAAAGGTTGCACTTCATCTCCCTGGGGCAGGGGCAGGGACCCAAAGCGGAAGCTCTGATCAAGCTCGGCTGGGACACAGGGGACTGGGTCTGCCTGCAGAACTGCCACCTCGCGGACAGCTGGATGCCAAGGCTTGAAGCCATCCAGGAGTCGCAAGTGGCGGACAAGATCAATCCTGACTACCGGCTCTGGTTGACAAGCATGCCCTCTCCCAAGTTCCCTGTTCCGGTCTTGCAAAGTGGCATCAAGATCACCAACGAGCCTCCAAAGGGCTTGCGAGCCAACTTGGGTCGGACCTTCCAAGACATTGGCGAGGATGTCTTTGAGAGCTGCCCCTCCAAACCGACGGAGTTCAAGAAGCTTCTGTTCGGCCTTGCTTTCTTCCACGCGGTCATCCTTGAACGTCGAAAGTTTGGACCCATTGGCTGGAATATTCCCTATGAGTGGATGGACTCGGACTTTCAGGTTTCTCGGGAACAAGTTCGCATGTACCTTGTTTCTCAGCCGGATGTTCCATGGATCACTTTGAGGTATATCATTGCGGAGGTGAACTATGGAGGGCGAGTAACTGACGACAAGGACGTCCGACTGATCTCCGCAGTGCTGAAGGGCTACTTCAGCGAGCGGATTCTTGAGAAAGGGTTCAAGTTCGCCAACCTTGAAGCATACTGGATTCCTGATGAGGGAAGCTTGCAGGAGACGCGAGACTATCTGAAGTCACTGCCCATGGATGAGGATCCCCGCATTTTCGGGCTTCACCCCAACGCACTCATCACAGCGCAGTTCAACCAAGCCAAGAAGTTCCTGGACACCGTTGTCAGCGTCCAGCCACGGATCTCCTCGGGTGGTGGTGGTAAAAAGCCAGAGGAGATCGTTTCAGACATGGCGCAGGAGTTCTTGCAAAAGATACCGGACGCGGTGAAAAGCAAGATGGCGCATCCTGACACCTACAAGAAGACCCCTCAAGGTGGCATCGTTTCCGTGGGCGTCTTCCATAGCCAGGAGTACGCACGCATCGAGACGCTCATTAAGGTGGTGAAGTCCAGTCTGGTCATGCTGGGCAAGGCCATCAAAGGTACGGTGCTCATGTCAGCTGAGTTGGAGGGCATGTTCAACGCGTTTCAGGAGCAGAAGGTCCCGGGTAACTGGGGGAAGGTGGCGTATCCCTGCTTGAAGCCCTTGAACTCCTGGATAGCAGATTTCATTGCCCGCATCGACTTCTTGGTGAAGTGGCTGGTTGAGGGGCCACCACTGAGCTACTGGATCTCATGCTTCTTCTTTCCGCAGGGCTTCATGACAGCGGCGCTGCAGCTGCATGCGAGGAAAACGAAGATCCCAATCGACACTCTCGAATTCTTCTCCGAGGTCACTCAGGTGCAGGATAGCAGAACATTGCAAGCGCAGCCCCCGAATGGCGTGAACCTTCACGGGCTGTTCCTGCAGGGATGCGGTTGGGAAATGTCAAAGGGCTTGTTGAAAGAGTCTGACAAGGATGTCGTGTTTGTGGAGATGCCTGTCATCCACTTGGAGCCGTTGCCGATCACAGACAGCGCCAAGCGAGTAATCGACGGCAATCTCTACATGTGTCCAATCTACAAAACTTCCGAGCGTAAGGGAACGCTTTCCACTACTGGCCACTCCACCAACTTTGTCAAGTTTTTCCCGCTGGGCCAAGACGAAGCAGACACGGCTCACTGGATTGCGCGAGGAGTAGCCATGCTTTGCATGCTTGACGACTGAGCCTGTGACCATCACCAGACTGACCCAGCCATTGTGGAGTGTTGTGGACGCATCTGACAGCATCTGTGATGAACTGCATAATACCGATACAATTTGACAGCAAGCTTCACAGGCGGATGTATCCATGAGAATTCATGTTTCACTGACAAGAAAAGAAGCCGGCCAAAGGCATCGGCAGTCTCACATAGTCTTTAGTTCTAGGTCGTAGGCTGCGTTGCAAGGTATGGAGCCCACAGTGTCAAAGCATCACATCGTGCAGTTGGGGGTATGCAACGGAGCAGCCAAGCACAGCACAGGAGGGGAGACCTGAGCACGGTGGCATCGTAGCCAAACGGTTCGGCCGTCATGTGAGCAGGATCAGAACGAGAGCAAAGTTGTGGGCAAGAAAGGCTTGCACCGTCTGGGTCGTGCCTGCCCGTCCTCCCCCCCCACCCCCTATGTCTCCGTGCTTCACATGCTGAACATGCTTAATGTTGATGGAGCTGAGCTGCCAGGTGCGAGGACGCAGGCCTTTCAGAATCGGAGGCCTCAGCGCGAGAGTTAGGAGTCATCATTTTCGGGCCGGCGTGTAGCTTAGCTTATGTTCAACACCAGAATCTGCTTCAGGAGGGGCATGGCCATAGAGTTTAGAGTGCTCTGAGATGGAATCCATGCTTTCGATCACCCTGAGAGGCCAAGTCTGTTGCTATGTCTCGGTGCGGCGCTCACGCTGGGTTTGCTCTCGTGGTGCGGGGTTTCACGGGGTTTCGCGTGGTTGGGGCTTCGCCACGAGTTGCCACGACTTCCTCCAGTCTCTCCCGCAATTCTGAGAACTTTTAGAGAGGCTTGGAGACCTCGAGGAATGCCCCCCCCCCCCCCGACTCCTGCAAACGCAAGGGTTTCGTCGCTGCAAGCAGCCCTTTCCGACCTTGCCAACAGCCTCGCGGAAGCCGGCCAAGAGGTGCCAACGTTCGGGGGTTGGAGTTCAGGGCTGATATGGCTGAGAGGGGTTGGGTCCACGCGCAGTTGGGCCAAAAAAGAGTTTGTGACCTGCAGGATGAGGGCAACTTCCACAGAGGAGGAATACGTAGCAGTGTAACACCGTGAGTATCGTCATCTGCAAGGTCCAAACACCTGGGTTCACAGTTCCGGGACTTGAGGGCTGAGCCCAAACTCAACTTCATGTCCTTTTCCTGCTACTCCGCTGGACTCTTCGTTGGCAACCTGGCCGATCTTCGAGTTTTGACCCGCATGCACTCTTGTAGGCCACCGTGGAGCTGGGCACGGCAGCGTGGCTCCAGTCCACAGAGGTTCGATTTTCGGCTTGGCGGGGTTTGCATCCTGCACAGAACTGCGGAGTTGCGTGATCCTCCGTGGAAGCTCTTACATGCAGGGCGGTGGGTTGTCCTTGTGCTGCTTCGGGGACATTTCAAGCAGGGGCAACCTGAACCCAACTTAGAAGAATGTCAGGCTCCCATGAGCGAGTAAGCCCCCGGGCCATGCGGGGGACACACTCCCCCACTCCCCAAGGAATCAAGCTTAGACATAGACCCTTACCACCTAGACCTCTTTGAAGCCCCAATTTCGTGTGGGACCCGTTGAGCGTAGCCAGCGCAGCCAGCGCAGCTCTCCGCAGCAAGCAGCTCAAGCAAGAGAAGCAAGTCCTGGCCCTCCCGACTGCCGAGAATAGCAGCCCCTTGGGTTGACACAGGGGAGGGGGTGCTGTATGGAAGGAGGAGGCGTTAAGGTTTTGAGGTTCAGCTGCTCGCCTCGGAAGCCTCGTCTATGAGGGCTTCAGAACTTTGCGCAGCCAAGCCTGACAGACAGAACGTGTGAATCCTGGGTGAACATGTGGTGCCTAGTGGATCCTAGTGGGTTCTTGCTGGAGTGCGGACATGCCTTGTTGAGGGATAGCCAGCACCTGAGGTTACAGACGCTATGGGCGCCGCGGTTCACGACTTCATCCAAGAGAGTGCCGCCACCAACCAGGCGAGTCCACGTGTTCAGAAGCAACATCGTCCTCCGACTGAGACGTAATGCATAGACCCCAAGTGGTGGGAGACCGGGCGAGTCCACCGATGAACCCACATACCAGAAAAAGGTTTCACTATGTTTCACTGCCGCGGCTGGTTGGAGTCTTTTGATTCAAGGACGTCTTGCTACACTCGGCTGGGGCACGCAAGGGAGCAACTGGCAAGACCCCGAACTCTCAGCATGAGACACCACCCGCGGAGCCGCAAGGCAGAGGTGGCGGCACAGATTCTTGAGAAGCCTTCCAGCTGCACAGTCGAGATGGTTAGGACGCCTTGGGGTTTTGTAGTGGATGTCCTCCTCACAACACCGTGGCACCTTTATGAAGACCACAGGCTTGCTTAACTTGACATGAGCCATCCAACATCCCTTATCCCCTCCAACTCCCGAAGCTTTGAGGTGCTCAGCCGTGCGCGCCTCAGGCCGCATTGGCCGTCACCGGCCGCGGCCGCGGCGGGCAGGGAGCCGCCGGTTTGAGACAAGAGAGGGCTTTCAGGTCAAGGGCAACAGGGTCTCTTTGGGCTTCTCAGGGTGATAGCACCCCGCCTTTTGGCATCAAGCAAGTTGGTGTAGCAGCGTAGCAGACATACTTCAAGATTGCTGCGGTTGCTGTTAGCAACAGCTTTGGCTTTCTCTAGGAACACCCCCCAGTGTTCCCTCTGCATGCTCTGAAACTTCATTCCAATCGCTGAACCATACACGCGTTTTGCAATCCAACCAGGAGGTGATACTCACAGCAAACGCCGGTCTCGACAGTGCATCCACCCATGCGCAAAGGGTTCACTTGGTTCGGCCATTTGTCCCATCTGTGGCTGTCGAGGTGTGATTGGCAGGAAGGCGCAGTGTGCAAGGGTCATGGAGGGTCAAAGGGTTAGACTGGGTGATCCTTCATGACGATCCTTGATGACGAAGACTTTGAATCTGCTTGCCCGACCAAGGGCGGCCAAACGAAGAGCCAGCGATAGCATGTAGCACCGACCTTTCTCAGAGCCTCGGGCAGCACATCTTTTCTGTTGAAGTTGTGGCCTGAATCAAGGGTAGCTCACGGGGAGTGCATGAAACATGATTGAGTTGTTAGCGCGTCGTGCAGGAGAGGGTGCCCATGAACTTAATGTCCAGATACTTTGGAACATTGAGAAAGCGCCACGCGACCTCCAAGAAGCCCCACAAGAACAATCCTCTGGATTCCGGGGCCTCGAAAATAAAGAAAGGAACGTTTCAGAAAGTGAGCCGTCGCATCTTTATGCGCCATCACATCAGTGTTCCACTTTCCCACCTATCCCACCTGCTGTCGGAAAGAATCAAGCTTCCATTGAAGGGAGTTTGGAGAAGCACACTGAGATCGTGCAACCTCTGGTAAATCTTGAAACTTGTAACTATGGTAAAACAGTACTCATGCTGACAACGACATGCTACGCCTCATGGTAACTTGGTATACATGGTATTGTCATTGTAACCAGGTCTTTCGGCGTTCATGAGTGCGTTTCCAGCACAGTTGGTATTTGCATAAGTGGGCCCAAAAAATGACCGCCCCGCGTCTTCATGCAGTCTGCAGCATGCCGCAGCCGAGGACAGACGTTGAAGACGTGCTGAAGATGATGAAGGCGTCCGTGGGAAATCCACAGGTGCAGGAGAAAGGACTTGGGGCTGTGGGGCACAATGCCTGAAAGGGGAGAGACGAATTAGACGAGTATTGGAGAGGCATGTGGGCTTCGTGTTGTTTGAGATTGGAATACTCGGAGCATCCCGTAGCAGATCCTTACAGATTGCCCGTTTGCCCTTGCTAACGCTTGAAGAGGTCGCGCTGAGCAATTGAGAGCGTTTGCAGGATGTGAGTCGCTGAAGCGTTTGGCCATGGACCGCGATGGCCAAGACGAGGACCGCGGATTGAGTGCAGGGGCTCAGTGACTACCGACTACCGGTGACTGCTGATAGTCAATCCTCTGAGCTATGCCCCTGCGTAGAAGTACCACTGGCTGCGTTCCACCAAAATTCTGAGCAGGGAGAACAGCTAGACGTCCGCATGGCGTGTGCATTCGGAAACTGCCAGGTGGCTAGCCAAGGAGGTATCGCCGCAGTTGCCCCTTGTCTTCAGTATGATTGATGTGCGTAGGGTGTAAGGCAGCCCGAAATTGTTGCCCCAGCCCAGGTGAAGGCCATGGAACACCACAAAGTCATTGGCGTGCAGCTGGCTGGACTGAACTGTTTGGAGAAGACTCTCGGATCAACGTAGACAGGCTCCCCAGCCACTTGCGGAGGTCCCTCCTCGTGTTGTGTGGCTTTTGAAAAGTTTGCTGCTCTGCAGCCGCTCAAGACGGAACCAGGGGTACCAAGTGGTGCACAAAGGTACATGCTAGGATGTTGTGCATGAAGGGGTCAGTTAAATGGAGTTTTGAGTAGGCCTCTGAGTCTGATAATTCCTTACCATGACTTCGGCAGAGCATTGGAGAGAGGCGTGGCTCCAATTCAAATTTGCCCTCCCAGTGGCCGGCGCCAATCTGCTCCAACGCTGCACAGTGTGGGTCACGTGGATCTGTGTAGGGCACTTGGGCGAAAGCATTCTGGGCCCTGTGACGCTCTCAAGTAGCATCAATAATGTCTTGGGTACCTCCGTGGTGGGGGGACTTTGCATGGGCATCTCCACCCTGGCCTCCCAGGCCCATGGGGCCCGAAATGACACAGCCTTGAGCCTGGTGCTGCAGCGCGCGATCCTGGTTGGCTTAATTGGCTCGCTCCCCTGCGTGGCCTTGCTGCTTGTAATGCGACCGCTGCTCCTGGCCCTTCACATGACGGAGGACTTTGCCGACGTTGCTGGCCGATATGCCTTCTGTGTGTTGCTTGTGACACCATGCCTGGGCATGCAGCGTTCCATCGGCATGTGGCTGGTGTCTCAAAACATCAACATGCCACGTTTGGTGGCCATTGGTGTGGCGCTTCCCCTGCACACGGCGATGACGGTCGCAGCCATGTCTTATCGCTTTCGCTACGAAGGTGCCGGCGTGGCGATGACTCTCAGTACAGCCCTCCAAGCCGGTCTTCTCTATGCCTACATTTCCTGTTCCTCCACTTGCGCCAGCTCTTGGAAAGGCTTCACCAAACAGGGCTTCAAAGACTGGGGCCCCTACCTGGAGGTGGCGATTCCTGGTGTCTTTATGAACACAGAGTACTTCGTAGGCGAGTCGCTGACATTTGCCGCCAGCTTGCTTCCGAATCCTGACACCTGTCTTTCTGCCTTGTCCATATATCAGCTTACCCAGACGACGTGCTATCAGATTCCTAGCGGCATTCGCATGGCCATCAGCGCGCGGGTGGGCAACCAGTTGGGGGCCGAGGAACCACAGCAAGCAGCAATTTCTAGCCGAGCGGGCTTGAGACTCATTCTTATCTGGATCTGTTTGCCGACGATGGTGCTGCTGATCTTCACTCGACAGTGGGGCCTGATGTTCACAACCGACGAGGATGTTCTCAGCTTGCTTAGCACGCTGGTCTGGCTGATGCTGGTGTACAGCGGCCTGGATGCCATTCTGGCCTACTACAATGGCGTTCTTTCTGCTTGCGGTCAGCAGAGCATCAGTGGCAAATGGGCTATTCGAGGGTACGTCTTTGTCAGTTTTCCTCTCGCAATGCTTTTCGCATTCGTGTTCAAGTGGAGTGTGCATGGCCTGTGCGCTGCACATTGCATCGGTAAGCTGTGCCACACCCTTCCCTGCATGGTGGCCGTTTGGCGCATCGACTGGAACAAGGAAAGCGAAAGAGCCGTTGTCCGGGTTGAGCGCGTGGCGGCGAACGTGCCGCTGGTGAGCCGTTCCTAGTCCTAGTCACTGCAGTCGCAGGAGTTTGTCGCCCAAGGCTTTGCCGGGCCGGCGACCTTGGTAGCGCCAGTTCTGAGAACTCAGGCGTGCCATCCTGAGCACCTGACCGTCAGCCAGCAAGGCATCAAGAGTCCGCGTCAGATTTCATGCACAAGCAGCACATAATCCACATAGCCCTAAACTCTGCCCTGAACCCTAGGCAAATGTCTCCAAAACAAGACGTGGGAGTGGCTGTACAAACCCGTTGTGCAGGACAGTCGCGCTTGGACTGCAACTGCAACTGCAGCGTGCTGTTTCGACAAGCGTAAGCGGTGAACCGACCCTAAGCAACACAATGCCCTCAACCCTGGTCTGCTTGCGCGGGTTTAAACAAATTTGATGCTCGGCTAAGTCGACGAGCTAGTGCTACACTGATCCGCAGAGATCTGTAGTCTGGCCTCGACGCAGTAGTGTGGACTTGTGGACTTTCGGACGATCGCAGGGTGCCGTTTGCAGGAGAGGGCGTCTCGAAACCCTCTTAAGAACCTAAACCCTAAACCCTAAACCCTAAACCCTAAACCCTAAACCCTAAACCCTAAACCCTAAACCCTAACCCAGTCTGAGGATCACTGCCAACAACTCTGCCACTGGTTCAGCCATGGTAGAGGCCGGAGGCGTCGACGCGGTTTTAAGCGCCTTGCCTATCCCAAGCAGGGAACTGTAATAGTGATGACAATAGTAACCACAATAAAAAGAAAAAATGTAATACAAGGAGCTGTACTGCGGATAAGGATGTTGAGTGCCGATGTCATTGAGGATGGGATGGTTTTCTGGACGGTTCAGGGATTGGGACGCACTTTTTGAGCCATTGGGTTTCTTGTTCGATTGCCCGAAGCTTGCACTGAGGCGCGATGAGGCTGGATCTGAGCAAGGCCAGTGGGACAGCGTAGGCCCTTTACCGTAGTAGCGGGTTCCAAGGATGTCGGGGGCAAGAGGCTTTTTTTGCCGGCGACTGTCGCGGTGAATCCCTCCGTGCAGGCAGATCTGCAGATGGCAGCTTGCAGGATCTTGTGCAGCATTGCCATGTGTGATGCCAAGTGCCAAGAGACGCTTGGCCACTATGGTGAGGTCGCATTGCCTTGATCTGCAGCAACATGATGAAGTGTGCTGAGTCCGCTTGTCGTGGTGCTCAGGAAGGTAGCCAAATCTGGTGCTGCTCAGGCACCATTGCTTGAAGCACAGTACTGACGGATCCGCACGGATGCCATTCCAGCCAAGACTTGCTCATCTTCGCAGGCAGTGCTCGACGCGATGAGAGGGCATTCTTCCGTAGCATCAGTCCAGGACATCCGGAAGCATTGCAGAAATCTGGAACCGAACATGGAGTTGCCTCAGTCAGACCAGTTGAGACATGAGAGACTCGGCTGTCGCCGCCAGGAGCTGGGCTGTCAGGCTCTCAAAGAGTTCGCCGCCTACAATGCAGAGAGCTTCTCGGCAGCTAAAAGTGGACTTATGCGTACCTGCAGGGCTCCGTCTAGACGTGAGCCCCAAGCCCAAAATGCCCTTCAAAACTTTAAAGTTTCTTGGCAGGAACTCCACCAAACAGCTTTCCCGTTTGGAACCTTTCCCAGTTACAGAAGAAGTTCTTTGGAGGTACCTCTCTCGGGACCTAGGCGAGCTGTTGCTTTTTCATTAAGTTTGGTATAAAAAAAATGGCAGCCAAAAATCAGATCACCCCTTTCGAGGTCAAGAGGACATCTACATGCGGGGAGGCATCCAGGTGGTCCTCCGGGCCATGGAGGACGACGAGTGAGCAGGGCCTGGAGAGCGCGGTTTTATGCTCATATGGCTCGCCCAATAGATGGATGTATATATATATATGTATGTATATATATATACATAGATATATATGTATCTCTACATTATATATATATATATATGTATACATATGTATATATTTATTTATTTATTCAAAACGGAAGTAGACATCTATGCATCAGTATATGTAAAAATCTTTCTTCGTATATTAGGACACGAAAAGTGCAATGGTAAATTAAGTAAATTCACGCACAGCAACCGGCAGGCCCACCCGGAGGTACCGAACCTCCAGGCCGGGGGGTCTTCCGGATACTGCTGGAGCCCAGCGTTTGTAAAGGATGTTCGCGAACCAAATCGCTGGAGGGTCTGTAGAATAAGATTTCGTTATATGTTTGCTAGAACCCCAGTTCAATTGTTGGCGGATGAGGCAGATTGACAGGCTGGAGAATGGAGAATGCAGAATCACTTGAGTGGATTGTGAAGCGTGATGAGAAGAAGTGGCATGCAATCGGAGAAGCCCATGATAAAGCATGTTTCCTTTGCAGTTTGGGCTTGTGGCTTGTGGCTGCGACAGCAATTCCTCATGATGGTTGCAGGTGATGGGTTGTGGTGTGCTGCGGAATCTCGCGGCCTGCAACTCCGAGCAGCAGCAAGCAGTGGTGTCGCGTGGAGGGATCCAGGTGACCTCTGCCAGTGGTGGGTTGAGGATGGTTCATAAGGCATAAGGGCGGTAGTTGACTTCTCGGGAAATTCGGGGTTTCCAATTATGTGCTTGGAGCACCGCCTGCATAGTCGAGTGCAGCATGCTGCAGGGTGCAATTCTCTCTCGACCTGAGGAGCACGGTGTACTCGCCACACCTTGCCATTGCCACCTCCACCACCACGACCACTATAACTATGACCGGCAACTACTCCTACTAGTACTGTACTACGACTACGACGGCGACGACCACCACCACGACCACGACGACGACGACGTCGACGACGACGACGACGACCACCACCACGACCACGACGACGACGACGTCGACGACGACGACGACGACGACGACGACCACGACGACGACGAAGACGACGACGACGAAGACGACGACGACGACGACGACGACGACGACGACGACGACGACGACGACGACGACGACGACGACGACGACGACGACGACGACGACCACGACCACGACCACGACCACGACCACGACCACGACCACGACCACGACCACGACAACTGCCACTGCCACTGCCACTACCACTACCACTACCTTATCGCTACCACTACCACTACCACTACCACTACCACTACCACTACCACTACCACTACCACTACCACTACCACTACCACTACCACTACCGCTACCACCTTCTCGTAGCTATTACTTCGATGACGACTACGATAGCTTGTAACAACGGCTACTCCTACGACCACGACGACGGCTTGTCCTACATGGCAGGTAGTCCTGGATGCCATGTCTGCCCACGGCGACAGCTCCGCCATGCAATGGGCCGGCTGTTGGACCCTGCGCCTGGGATTGGCACAGCTCAAACAAAGCGGAAGATGCATGAGGAGCTCTTAGTTCAAAGATATTTTATGACTTAGCGTTATCCCTTTGTCAAGGTAGGACTAGCCGTGGTAAGGACCACTACTCAAGCATGTTCAGCTGCGTATTGCGAGCACCAATGCCATCAGCTCAGGTTCTGCCTCTGCGTCCACAATGCAGACATGAGGTGCGAAGTAGCCGCCTACGGCGCCGCGCGTGCTGCGCTGAAGGCTGGGAAGCGGGCTTACCGACGCATCCGGCAGAAGCCCCAAGCCGTGAAGGCCGTGATGAGCTGTATATTCTTGTCTTTCGAGCTCCTTCGGGGTTGAGAGATGCGTCGGGACATAGTGGGAATCCAATTACTTAGACGAAAACCGTAAACTTCTGAATCTGCCTCACATTCCACGCTTCGAGGCCCTCGAGGCTCATCGGGCAGAGCATCGAGTGCAGGAGGCTGGCTGCTGGCTGCTGAAGGACACCTTCTTTCAACATGGCACACAGCTCTAAGGATTTTTGAGAGCTCAAAGGGTTTGGGCTTGGGGAACATCGCGCGTGATCTCGCGTGTTGCAGAAATCGTGGGGACGAAACCGCGAATCTTAGGGGTGGTGCAACACAGGCTTTTAGGAGGCATGTATCTGAAATCTGTAGGCCTTGAGGCACGGCCTTTTCTTCTAGCACTGGCGAAGTGGCTTTCCGCGGAGCCGAGTCGTTGGACTTCATGCTGAACTCCTGCTGTCTTGCGAGCTCAAATTGTGCAGTTAGTCAGAATTGTCTGCGAGCAATGCGGCTTGCCTGGCCTTTGCTGGCCTGGGCCCACGTGGCTTTGGCACACAATGCCTGTGAGGAGTGTGCTCAGCTGCTCTGCTTTGTAATTCTGGGCGTGTCTGGGTTGGTTGACATGGTAATTTTCATTGCTGTGATCGCACAGCAATGCGGCGTAAGGCTTGCAAAGCGTGTCGAGCAGCTCGAGACATTCCTGTCCACGAAGGCCACTCTGTGCTGTCCCGTAGTTGATGGATGTGATTGCGTAGTTGAACACTCTTTGGGGGAAGGCCGATTTGCTTGAAATGCTGTCGACAGCACAAGCCCGCGACAGCTTGAAGGTGTTGATTGATGGGCGGCTTGGCTCTGTGTTTGTGCTCGCGAATTGCGAAAGAAAGGGCGTGGGGGCGGGGCGAACAAGTAACTACTGTGCGTCGGCCATCTTTTGACAGCGCACCGTGCTGTGTGGCATGTGGCCGAGGAAGATGGATGCGGGCGTTGTCATGACCCGCAAAGAGGTGCACGAACGATTCGAGTTGTTTCATGCGGCACAGATGCAGACCTTGGAGGCCGCATTGTCAGCGAAGCTCGTCAAATCGTTCTCGGGTTGCCAGGATGTAAGAAATGCAGGAAGTGTATCATAATATAGCTCCCTTTAAAGGGGAGCTCTCGCGAGTAGGAGGCTTGGAGGGGCTCCACATGTGTGCAGCCGCGCCTTGCAGCCGAGGAAAGCAGATGCGAAAACTGCGATTTCACGAAAAGAGGTCCACGAGCGGTTTCAGATGTACCACGCAGCGCAGATGCAGGCCTTGGATGACGCATTGTCAGAGAACCTTGCCGTTCTTACATGTTCTTCAACCCAAGAAGTGAGCGCTTTAGCTCGTGCTGGGTGCAACTCAGATTCTGATCGCGCATTGGCCAAGGAAAGCGGATGCCAAAGCCGTCATTTCGCGCCAAGAGGTGCATGAGCGATTTCAGCTGTTTCACCGTGCCCTGGAGAATGTGGAGAACGCCTCCAGAGACGGCTTGGGCCTCAGGGTCTCAGAGAGTCTCAAAAAAGTGTCTCAGACAGTCTAAGAGAGTCTCATAGAGTGGACTCTTGTGGTTGTGGTGTCCTTCTCAGTCTTGCTAGCATATGCTAAGCATCCACAACAGCCGGAGCACTCAGGTGTGTCGGGGAACACCACTCGCAGCACCGCGGCGACGACGCAGGACCGTTGCACTCTCTCGCGCCATTCGCATCGGAATCGCACAAACCCTGCCAAACTTGAAGCCCCAGAACTTCTTTATCCCCATCTAATGTCCCCCCCTTAAACCCTTAAACCCTTAAACCCTTAAACCTTAAACCCTAAACTCAAAATTCCCCTTGTCTGAAAAAGGCGGCCGCTGCGCTCGAAGTGCCGGGAACCACAGGCTCCTTGCTGTCTTCCGTGCTGTGGTTCCTGGCCGCAGCTCGGCTTCCCAAACTTCAGCTTCAAGGCACTCTTTGATGCCTTAGAAGTCTGGTGGTTCCCGATTTTAGGGGGTACGTTATTTGGGTCCTTGTTATAGGGGAATCCTATTGCTTGGGGGTCTCTCTTAAGGGTCCCCTATCTTCGTAAGCCCCCCATATTTTTGGCATCTCACGTGCTGTTGACACGAAGTGCTCTCATTGCCCCTGTCTCACCAAGGTGGGGTTCGCGATGATGATGGCCTTCTTGAGCCTGAGCTCGGGCTGCAAGGAGACTTCACAGGGTTTAGGGTTTAGGGTTTAGGGTTTAGGGTGCCCTCTCCACTCAGAGCCCTCGGCTGATGGCAAAACCTTTGAGGTGCATCGTCCTTGGGGAGTCGAAGGTCAACCATGAACGCTTGCAGGCCCTGGAGTCCAGGATCATCGAGGAGGCAAGGCACTGTGACTCTGCCTGTGCCCTACCAGTCACTTTTTTTTTTTTTACACGCGCGCGCCCGAGCAGGAAGAGCCGCCAAAGCCAATCTGCGACCTGAGCTTGCTGGCCTTGGAGGACCGGGTTGCTCGAACTCAGAAGGCCTACAGCGCCCCCGGCCCCGATGAAAGAAGGGTGCATGTTTGCAAAGCTCCCTAAGCTTCCTTGATGTTTGCAGGACATCAAGCAGGAGAAGCCGAGGCTTCGAAGCTTGGCAGAACTGGCAGAACTCCGGTCCCAAGGTCCCCCCTGGACCCAACAGATGAAGCAGTCCAAGGGCATCGTTCATGTCATAGGCAGCCCCTAAACGTGCCGGGGGACTTCACGCAACACTTTTATGTGCCGCTGAGCAACATCCTCAAACCTCCGGAATCCAATCCAAATCCGGCAACACTGTCCCGCTGTCTTGGCCGCCCCGGAGGATGCGAAAAACAAACGCTGTCCAGGTACCAAGGTCCTGTCCGGGGCCGTTGGCGCGGCGATCGGCAGCACGACCGGTGCAATCTCTGGCTCAGCAGTAGGAGGAGCGTCTGGGGTTTGAGGGTCAAGGGTGAAGGCGTATCACCGTGTATCTGTGTGTAACAACAGTGTCTGGTGCTTGGTGGCAGCCACTTTCTGCGAAACCTATGGCTGGATGGTGCCGCAGGCACCGTTGGTGCGGTTGTCGGCCTGGTACCAGCAGTCTTCACATTCGGCAGCTTTGTTGAAGCTTTATGCTGCATACTGTAGCGAGGCCTTTAAGGACAGTTCCTGCGATAGATTCCGATAGATACGGCCCATGGCAAAAGCAGGGGAACTTGTAAAGGAGTCTTTTCACAAGTGGGGTTTCCATGGGTTTCCTGCATTGGCTGTCAGGACTTGAGGGCTGCCAAGGGGTACATGGGTTGCCAAGGGGTCTTTATCGTTAAAATACCCAAAATGTAATCCATTAGTTGTTTAAGAACCCCCAAAAAAATCAGAAGTATCTTCAAAGCCCTCGAAACCCAGGCCTTTCCATACCGGTGGCCGCCGCAATCGGCTCCGGCTTGGGCTTTGCCTCCGGCGGCGTGGTCGGGGGCTCCGCAGGGGTGCCTTGGCAGACCAGGCTTTCTAAGGTTTAGGGACACAGGATTCTGCTGTTGAGGGCTCAGGACTTTGGGTTCGAAGATCGGGCATCTCAGGGTGAGACTAAGAACAACTTTGACTCAGCGCATGCGCCTGGAAGGTCAGTGCGCATAGTACAGGTAGCACACATAGGGCGTAACAGTGTAACCATCAGTATCCCGCTGTCAGGCACGCGTAGCCAGCGAAGCAAGCTCACCAAGCTCCAGAGTCATTTTTTTTGTTGCTTGTTTTGCTTGTTCCGGTGTGCCTCAAGTCGTCTTACTTGGGCTGTGGGGGCTCGCATGCCTGGCGCGTTCCTTGTCTTCCAGGCTGTTGGCGGTGTGAAGGTGGCTGGCAGGGCGGCCAACTGGATCCGAGGAGGCCCCGCCAGCGCAGGTACGTTCAGTTTAACGATGCAATGTGGCTTCGTGTTAAGCTTTTCAGGGTGCAATCGCAGTGATTGTCGTGATGGGCGATCTGGAGACAGCTCTAGGTTCACGTCTTGAAGACATCACTGCGAATGTGAGTCGAGCGGAAGTTATGCCAAAAAAGGCGCATAACCCGTGGTCGCAGCGAAAGGAGCGTGAAAGCAGCGAATGCCCAGGTGAAGCCTGGCCAATTCCAACTCCCGTACTACTCTCCCACACCCGCCCGGCTCCCTTACGGCACAGCGTGCCACGTGTTTCCACGTCGGACAATGCATCGAAACAATCTGCTAGCGCTTAGACGACAAGTTGGGCTGTTTTCAAATGCCTAGTTATGGCAAGGACAGGATGAGAAGATCGAACAGCGCCAGTCATGAGCTGATCCTGCCAAGCTCCCCTGAAGCCGTCCCGCCTGTGCGTGAGATTCGAAACCCTCAACAACCCTGGGTGGGCAAAAGTCGAACAAGTAAACTTCTAGAAATTCCTTGGAGCCCTGCTGGGCGAGTGGCAACAAATTATTTTGCAAACACATCCTGCTTTAAATCCTGCTGCACAGGAGGAAAGAGGCCCAGCTTCTCGGCAGAGTCCATCGTTGAGAGCCTATCAAGTCTGCAATCCCGCAGCGTTCTGCAAGAAGTGTTCTGATGGCGGGACTGGGACATCCAGCTATGAGTCATAGGCTATGGGTGTAGGGTTTGGAGCCTGGAGATGTAGTATCCTAGACTCCTAGCTGCTGAGCAAGAGTGCATCTTGCGGCGAAACTGATTCTGCGGGGCCTTGCAATGCAAAGCCATCTGGGTTTTAATTGTCTCACACAGCGCCAATCGATCGGCGCCAACCGGTCACAGACAGAAGCCTCGCGCGAGAAAGCAGACGTCGAAGTCGTAAAGCATGTTCATATGGTGGATTCTCTAGACTATTGTCCCTTTTTGGGTACCCTAAATACTAGGGGCCGCCTTGTCGTAGTACCCCCAAAAAGGACCATAAGTTCCACAACCCTTAGAACGCCCCGAGCCTTGCCACCCGTCAGTCTTGATTGGGGCCTGGGATATGGTATTGGGCTTGGTAGGTTTCGGAGAAAGTGGGATCGGGATTTTTTAAAATCTGATCCTGTCTGCCGTCGAGTGCTGAGCGCTTCCAGGAGTTAGCAGAGCACATGGCCACGGCGAAGGCGATGGATTTGCCAAAGCCGTTCCGTCCCGTTGCTATTGTGCCAGAGTGGATCAGTTTAGCCCTAAGCCCTAAGCCCTAAGCCCTAAACCCTAAACCCTAAACCCTAAACCCTAATCCCTAAACCCTAAACCCTACTTCTTGTTGCGTCCTCGAGTGCTCCTCTGAGCCTCTGGTCAGGACCGAGCGACCTTCTCAGCTGCGATTCAGGCGGCGCTGAAGGCACTTGAAAAGCTTCTCGGAGCTCAACGCAGGGGGTTGGCTGGTTAGCTTTGGCCAAAACAAAAAAAGCGGGCACATTCGACAGAAGTTGCTTTGCTTGCTCATCTTGTAGAGTAACTTAGCGCCTTTCTGTAGCTATTCAGGTATGCAGCCTTCAGTTCCCGACCCGTGCCCTGCCCTCATCCCTCGTCTGTGCCGCGTCGAAGCCTTGTGATGCGATGACCCCCGAGGCACCCAGGGAATGCGGCGGTGCAGAAAGCGGCGAGAGGGGCTCTGCAGAACCTCTCCGCTTTCGACAAGGCGCGAACCCTAAGCCAGGTGGCAAGACTTTGCACCCTTCTTGCCCCCAAACTGCGGATCCGGAGCCTTGAGCCTGCAGCAAAACCAATAAGCAAGAAGACTCGCGCTGCAAGATCCGCAAGGGAGGGCCCTCACTCTTGCCATGGGCATGAGACTTCGTACTTCGTAGGGGGAATTCGGAGAATATGGGCCCTCAAGCTGCCTCTGCTGGTGAGCTCCGAAGCCTGCAGAGGAGGGATGGGTCAAAATGGCCTGCCTCGGGCGATGTGGCCGTCTTGGGCGTACAGCGACCATGCGGACCCTTGAGGTGCTGGGGGTTTAGGGTTTAATTTAGGGTTGAGGGTTTAGGGTTTAGGGTTTAAGGTTTAGGGTTTAGGGTTTAGGGTTTAGGGGTAGTTAAACAGGTTGTGTGAGGAAAAGAGTCTGGGTTCCAAAGCCTATGTGAGGTTCAAAGGGTTTGAAGGGTTTTTTGCAGGCAAACCAAGGGTTTTGGGGTTTATGTGGTTCAAGTCAGGCGCTCCACAAGAACATCAAGTGCTCTTACACAGGTCGTGTAGGGTTGTTTTGAAGGTTGTGTTTCCGGCTTCAGGGTTGTCAGGGCAGTTTAGGGTTTGAGGGACTTTGCTCTGGGGGTGCGAGATGAAGGGGGACTCCCTGCTTTGTTTAGATACTTATAATATAATATATAGATATATATATATATATATATGTATATCTATTTTTTTTTGGTGCCTTAACACCCTTCAATGATATAAAGCTCTGCGGAGCTCCAAGCCCCTGCCCATTCCTGCTCAGGCCATCCAGGAGTAGAGCTCGAGTATTGAGTGCGCAGGTTCTCGACCTATCAACTCTCAAAGTTTGGGTCAAAGTCAGGAATCTTCCAGCTGCCAGCAGCTAGCACTTAGGGCCAACTTAGGGCAACGACTGGCTGGCAAGGGACCATATCGAGAGCTTGTGCCTTTCGACTGATTGGCGGCTCCAGCACATTCTTGGGGCTACGCATGCGGTTGACGGTAGCAAGTAGCAATTTCCTGCTACCATTCGCACGGGGGCTGCCTGTGGCCAGCGTAGGGTCATGATGCATGGGGTCGCCAGACACTGAGCTCCTCCGCAGTACAAGCTTCAGTGCTATGGTTGAGGTTGCCTTCTCGCTTCAAGCAAAGACATGTGAAGGATGCTCCAACCATGTGCGACCCCATGTGGGCAGCAAGCCGGTTCGCAAGAGTAGAAAGAACCAAACCTTTGCCCTGAGACGCACGTGACACATGACATGGTGGGGAGCTTACATCGTCCTCTCAATTCGATTAGGCAGCAGATCTTACACAAGCAGTTTGTGAACTGGCACGGGACCGACACCCTTCGACTCGAGGAGTGTCGGGGATGCTAGGTGTGAAAGAACGAAAAAGAATATGCTAAGGATGTGGGCTCCAGGTGTTGATGGGACGGATCTGCCTAAGACACCCCATGTGATGAGAATCCTGTCGACCCTGATGCCCCCGATCCTGTAAGGAGCCGCTTTTTGGTCGAAGCTGTGTGGCTGCCACGGGCATCATGCGAAGCCTGCCAACCGAGGTGAACATGCGATTTGTTGTAGAATGCTCGACACCATGGCTGGTTCGACGGAAACCACTTTCTCACGAAGGTTAGTCTGAAGTTGAAGGCCTCGAGCTATGACAGGCTTCCAAGAGTGTGCAGCTATTCACATGTCAATACTTGGCTTGATCGCCGGGGCGGGCGTTTTCGTGTCACTGACACTTCGAGAATTTTCGAAGCGCAGCTGAAACTGATGCAAGTGAGATGTTCAAAGATATCCGCCCTCCAATTCCCGACCGCTTCCCTCCAGGCAGCCAGACCGTCAGCCTTAATTGTTTTCTGTTCCTTTCGGTTTTGGGAAGTTGTGCTGATCACAGAAGCTTTGTTGACACTCTTTTGGTCTTCATCGCTTGGCAGGGCGTGCGCAATGCAAGACATCTTTAGCCAGTGAAGACAAAGCAGTTTTTTCTCAGCATGTTGCTGTGTGCGCCCTGCGTTAATTGAAAATGTTTGAACTTGGGCCACTTGTCTCGCTTTGAGGAGAAAAACCAGAAAAAAACACAGACAGAGTGTTGTGCAGTGGACTCACAGAGCAAGCAGGAAGCAGTTTCCAAGCACAACTGCCTGATCTGTGGCCTGCTATTATCTGAATTCCGAGCGCTTGAGGTCGCCTTGCTCAGGGTGCTTTGAAAGAGCATGCGGATGCAACACTTGCTCAGGAGGTTCCAAAGCGGGTCGGAGACTCTGTGTACAGATACCTCCTGAGGTACCATTCGACCCTACCGGAAAGATTGCCACGTGAAGCCTCCAGGCAACAGGTCTTGCTCCAGGTCATCTTGCTTCTTTCTTTGGGCCCTAGGTCTTCTAGTTCAATCTGTCTATGCGTGCCGTTTCTTTGCTGATCTCCCCGCCTTTCATGTGATCTCTGTTGCAATCGAATTTTCCCGTCGCCAAGGCTGGAGCGTAATTTGTGCATACATACGGCCTCCAGCAGCGTGCCGCACATCGGCTATCAGCACGCCGCACGCGGCTGGGGCCTTCCACCACGCCTCTCTCTGTGAGAAGTCGTGGGCTGGGGTCCAGGGCCACGCCCTTCGATCCTTCGGCCAGTCCCAGATGGCGGGGCCGAGGGTCTGTGCGCTCCGCTTCATGGCCTCAGGCGACAAGGTGACTGCGGCGGCTTGCATGTCCAAGAGATAGGGGCAGATGCAAATATAAATCAGGAATGTATGTATGTATGTATGTATGTATGTATGTATGTATGTATGGATGTATGTATGTATGCATGCACGCATGTGTGTATGTGTGTATATGTAAGGAATATATGTGTACATGCATGTGTATATGCATATGCGTATGTATATGTATATGTATATGTATATGTACATGTATATGTATATGTATGTGTACATGTGTACATGTGTATGTGTGTATATGTGTATATGTGTATATGTGCAGTTATGTACATCCTGGCATACACATATCCTCGCATGTGGGAGCGGCCAAATTGGTCTGTCGGGTCCCAGCTTTGGTCCGAGAACATGCAGGCTTGCCCTTTCACTAGCATGGTCACGGAGCTGCGCGCTGGCCGCTCTGCAAAGTCTGCGTCGGAAGCTGCCACACGTCATCCGTGTGTACAAATTCTAAGATTCTACCATACCCCTACTCATGAAGTGGTCATGATCCGACTCGGGCTCTGCAGGAGCCAGCCTACAGCCTGTGGATACCTGGTTAGCCTACCGGTACCCGGTGCCGGCTGGTGAGTCCCAGTTCGGGGTGGGGGAGGAGATGACCGCAAAGGTGAAGCTCCATTCCTGCGCACGAGTGCCTCTCGACTGCAGCGGGAGTGTGCGTTTCTGGCGGTTCGGCCGCTCTCTTGGGTCGCTGCTAGGGCCATGGACTGCAGCGGGTTCTTCCATTTGTGTAAGCTTTGAGCCCCAAATCCATCGGAGTCTTTGTGGGAAGAGAGTCTGGTGCGAGTGGCAAGTCTGGATCTTCGACTGCATGGGACATGGACCTTGCCGTCAGCTGAGGCTTAAACTTACCCCGTGTCTCGGCACACGCCGGCATCCTGACTGTGAAACCGTTTGCCGACGGAGGAGCCTTCGAAGGAGGGCTCCCAGGAAGATGCCTGTAGCCAGCGATGCGACTCTTCCTATTAATCCTTGTATAGGGTGACGTGTAGGGTTATTATAGGGTTATACAAGGTGCTATAGGTAGGGTTGCATAGGGTTATACAGGGTTTTGCAGGGTTATGTAGGGCTATGGGGTAGAAAGCGGGCCCTTGTGAAGGGTGTTCGATGTCGTGTGTTTGGTCCTCTGTGTGCTGGGCCAGGCCTTCAGAGTTCCCCCCGCACCTTCCGAGATACTTGCAATGCAAGAAGAGCCTAGAGAAAAAGGAGCTCCAAAGCCTTGAGAGCCCGGATTTAGGCTTTAGGGTTCAGGGTTCAGGGTCTAGGGTTTAGGCTTCAGGGTATAGGGTTTAGGGTTAGTCTTCAGGGCCAGGCTGCAGAGGTAGGGGCGTTGCCAGGCGCACCTCAGCGAGGCGTTCCAGATGCCACAGTCGCAGTTCTTGAAGGCGCCGGAAGCCGTGAGACGCTTGGGCACGACGCAACTAAACCCTAAACCCTAAACCCTAAACCCTAAACCCTAAACCCTAAACCCTAAACCCTAAACCCTAAACCCTAAACCCTAAACCCTAAACCCTAAACCCTAAACCCTAAACCCTAAACCCTAGACTGCCCTGTGGGTCCTGCAGGCGTTCGTGAACACGGAGACTTGCTTGATGTTCTTGGCGCTGGGCGGCTGAATCGTACAAAGTGTGTGAACTGGGCCGAGCAACTCTCAGCCCGACCCCACAGCATGGGGCTTCGACAATAGGCTTGAATAGGGTCCCTTTTTGGGGATCCTGTATGGTCCTGTGAATGAGAAAGTCCAACGCAGACGTCACCTATAAGGGGGATCCCAGTCCAGGTACTCGTACCAGAACACCCATCATCACTCATCCGAGTTCAGAAGTCAGCTGTGAGCGCTTTCAGGCCTCGAAAAGCCCCTCAATACTTCTCTCCAAAGGGAGACTGGTGCTCATGTTGGAAGCGACAGCACCGCCTTCGTTTCATTGCCCTGGAGCCCTCGAAGAGTTCCCGGGCTATTTTGATCGACGGTACAGGATTGAGCATAAAACGATTTGAAGGCATTTGAAGGCCAGGGCATGTGTTCATCTTGCGAATGTTTAATCACGGTGCTGGCAGCATCTGAAGCAGCAGAAGCTGCTTTGCATGGATTTCGCTGTCAGCTTGTGCCATTCTGCCTGCAAAGCAGGACTTGGGCCAAGGCTTCCCTTTGCAAGGTCCCCTCAGCGAGAGGGGTACCTTTGCTTGTAACAGATCCTTGCAGGACAGAGTTCCGCAGGACGCCGGAGGATTTGGGATCGGGAGGCGTGGGTGAATAGGAAGCTAAGCCATCTAGCAACGTCCATCCGTCACATGTAGTCGCCGTTCAGCGGCAAGGGTGCCACGCGAGCAGCAGCTTGTAAGGATTGGTGAACAGGACATTGCCTCGATTCCGCTGCAGCCGTGTTGGGGAGGGGGCAGACAGGCGATGATCGTTTTCCTGGCAAGAGCGCTCACCAGCAGTGGCCTTGCCGCGACCGTCGCCAGCGCTTGCCCAGCCTCTCTTGAGCCCCAGGACAGCCCCCCGGGCAGCCCCGGGGGGGCAGACGGGGGCGGAAGAAAATGACAAAAACTCGAGTGGGAGTGGAGCCAGCGAGGGGGAGGGGCTTGGCCAATCTGCGAGTTTCGAAGACATGGCTCCTGCCGCCTTATGGCTCAGATGGGCAGAGGGCACGGGGCGATGGCGTGGTGCAAGTTAGGCACCCAGGACCCTCCTAACTCTCTGACTCTCTGAAAGTTGAGAGTATTGAGATTCTGGAGAACAGGGTGTAGTCAGAGTGCTCTAGCCGCTCGAGCTCCATTTGAGCAGAGCCAACGTATGGTAAGCCAAGGGGTCCATCTTGTTTAGGAGTAGGGGATTCTCCCGCCCTTTTCCTCGCAAATTCTTCGGCATGTGCTGCATCTGAGGCCCTCATGCCCTGGGCCCTGAGTTTTGGGTGACCTCATGGCCAGGTTGCGGGAGGCCAGTCACTGTTGCCGGCAAGGAACTGGAGTTCGGGGGGGGTTAATCTGTGTTGTTTGTTTGTTTGTTTGTTTGTTTGTTTGTTTGTTTGTTTGTTTGTTTGTTTGTTTTGGTTGAGCCTGTGTCTTCAGATTCAGGGGAGGACTTCGTCAGTGTAATTCGGCGTCGATAGCTGGGACATCCGAGAGGCTGGCGCTTGTCCACCAAGGAGGTTTGAGGTCTTGCAGTGCATGAGCGCAGGCCCTGGTAGCCGGAACATTCGCCCAGTGATTGTTGCCGCGACTTTTGGCTCAGTTCGACAGCTAGACGCTAGTCTTCGGTCGGTGCGTGTTTCAAATAGCCCTCCCCGAGCTTCGATCTTGCACAAGCTGCACTTGGGACACAAACAGTTTTTCACGGCACTTGATTTGCTGCCTGACAACGAGAGACGCCGGCCGTCCACGCTCTCTGACTCTCTGAGGCCATGTATCGACGCGAGGAGATCAACGTCAACAAGCTCCTTGCGAGGCCTTGCCATGCATGAGTCGGGAGTAGTCATGCGTGGGGGCAATCGGCAGAGATGTGCACGTTTCCGCACGCAGGCTGCCTAAGGCAGTGAGGACCAAGGTCCTTGCCAAGGACAGGGGTGGCAAATTTCCACATGCTTCATGTGTTGTGCAGCCTGGGTGTGCTGGACTGGAGGAGTTTCTTGACGAGCGACGCGGATGAATCAGTCCAGCTATTGGCACTGTACAGCAGGAATGCCGAAGGGCGGAAGCCACCTAAGCAGTTGAGGCATCAGAGGCCGCCCTTTCCGTGTTTCAGTTCCCGCATACCGGGATTCTCATGTCCCAGGTGTTGGGCAATCTTCAAGAAGCACGACGCCTCCTGGCATACGGCACTGAAGCCGTGCTCCTTGTGGGTCTGGTTTCGCATTTCTCTTGGTGTGGTGTGGGGTTCGGTATCAGACTTTACAGTGCTTTTCATGGTCTTTGCTGCTTTGACGTTGGGGGTAGTCAAGGAGGCATTCAAGAGCCTCAAAGCTGGGGCAGCCGGCCCTTGTTGGTGCTCTACTGTATCTCCAGTCCCAGGTTTTTCAGCACGAGAAGTTGGAGGGCGTGAACCTTTGGAGAGCGCTGCTGGAGGTGGACAGATTTGATTCCACCGCGCTTGCCACGTGCTTTCGCACGAGGGACTTGCTCCACGGGGGACTTGCTCCACGGAGATGAAGCAGATACGGGCAAGGGAGAGAGGCAAAGAAAGTACACAGGCAACACCTAAGAGCAAACGCTGGAGATGCTGTAGACAGGCGGACTCCCTTATGGCCCTTCGAAAAGGAAGAAACGGCCCCCGGAGATGCCCGGAGCCCCCCCGAGTAGAGCCCCCCCCCCCCCCCCCCCCTCCCACACGACAAAGCCAAAGCCCCCAAAGAAACAGCCCAAGACAAACATGGGAGTTGACGAAAATGAGGCTCCCTACAATAGCCCCCCAAAAATGGCAGGATTCCCTTATCATAAGGACCCGAAGAAGGTACCCCTACGTTCGGAAACCCCCCACAACTGGAGAAGAGCATGCGAAGAAGGCCCTTTAAAGCTCTGGCACCCAGAGAGAGCTCCGCCAGGCACTCCCTGAGTCGTACTCCCAGGCCATCCTCAAGAACCAGTCCCTGGGATGGCCCTGGTTTAGGGTTTAGGGTTTAAGGGTTTAGGGTTTAGGGTTTAGGGTGTGGAAGGTCTTTTCATGGGCTTAGAGGGCTTTGACTTGAGGCACACCTGGTTGAGGTGTGAGCCTCAGGTTTCAGGCCTGACCCTCTGGGGTGCGCCTTTTTTTTTTTTCCCCCTCCCATTCCGCCGTCAAGGTACGGCTGGTCTCTGCAGCAAGATTCCGTGTATAGTTTCACCGGATGTGGTCGTGAAGGGGAGCCAGCCACTGGGTAGCAGGAGATCTCACGGAGCTTTGGGGGGGGGGGGTCCTTAAAGCCCTTAAATGTTGAGGAGCCTTGCTACGCATCGGGCTGCAGGGTGCAGGGAATTGTGTGACTCATGACTCAGGCGCTTGCTTTCGGAAGCTGCAAGTACGGCAGACCTCTATGATGTCAGTATGTCATTTGCCTGGCTGCGCAGAGCAATCTGCCAAGACTGCCACGACTCTGGCGTGTTGACCTGGGCTCTCAGGCGATTCCCCTCATCAAGTTCCCCGAGTATGTGAAGTTTACCCTAGCGCTGATCTTGCACAAATACAGTGCCTCTTCTGCATAGCACGGGCTGCGGGTTCCTGGTATAGGTTGGCTTAAAGCTGAAAAGTTGCTTGGCTTTCATCTCCCATCCTGGGCGGATTCACCTCGGGAATGTAGCCCGAACACTGAAAGACTGGTCGGCTAGTCATCGCGCCGCCCTCGGCAGTGGGGCCCTCATCACTTCTGCACTCCCCACTCTAAGATCCCAGGATTGGTATTCTAGCAAGCCGCGGGGTTTTCGGGACCAAGCCCTCAACCTTGAATGCATGAAGGGCAATGTGGATTCGCCCCAGCTGTGCGGGAGGGAGAAAGATCCGAGAAAGCCCTTTGCCAAAACCCCCCCCCATTCGTTCCGGGTCTGTCGGTTCCAAGGAAGCGTTCCAGATCCTTTAAAGCAGTCAACGCACGAAGAGCCTTCGTAGTGGGGCCCCCGTGGGATTGCGCCTGCAGGTGTCAATGGAAAAGTCCTTGACTGCAAGATGGCCTTGAAGTCTCAGGACCCAGGGGGGGTAGGTTTTCTGGGGCTTCGTTCCTTGTATCCGGTGGGGGCAGCATGCAAGGGCCCGAGTGCATTGCATGTGTTTCTGGCCAAGACAGTCTTGCAGGAGCTAGATCACAGCAAGCGTGCGGGGCTCAGCGCGAAGGCCACAAGGTTCTTGAGGCAATGTCGCAGGGAATGGCGCGGCGGAGTCGTGCATGCAAACCTTCAAATGGGCCCCCAACCCGAAACCCCGCAAGAAAGCAAAGGCTTCTGGCTTCTGGCAATCACGATTTCAGCACACTGAAACGCCAGTGAAGAGCAACCTCCCAAAGGGTTTAGCTCGACCATCTTGGCCTTTCTCACACCTGCACACCTGTGTCTTTCCACCTCCCGAGGAAAGACAAAGATCGTCGCTAGCCTGGGACCTGCCTCTTGGAGCGAGGCACCGCCATTTCGGCATAGATTCGCTGGTCCCTACGGCATTTTCCATTGCTTTCCGGGTTCCATGCATGAGGGGCACAAGGCAAGATAGTCGGAGCACTTGCCGACACCGTGACGCCACCATTCATCCGTGAGAGACGAGAAGCAGATGGGCTTTGCAGGAGATGATCCCCAAGATGATCGAAGCTGGAACCGACTCTCGGCTGCACCTTGCTTCGTCCGAGAGGTGATTGAGCGCACAGCATGCGGCTACATCTCTTGTGGAACTCTCAGCGTTCGGCTGTCGATTGGCAGTGTTCTCGCGTCTGCTTGGAACCTTGAAGCCCAGCCGCAGGACATTTTCCGTTTAAACTGCTCGCACCGCCGCGGTGGAGACTTCGAGCGTGTCTACCCGCTGATCAGGCCGCTCGCCGTCGCCTGGGTTTAGGTTCAGGGTGTGCCACTACACGCTTTCGACGCCTGGCCTTGCGGCATTCGTTGTAGCTGCAAGGGAATTGACAAGTTAACGGTGAATGGCTCTCAGCTCGCTCCCTCTGAGCCAACATCATCAGCCTAGGACCTTGAACACCCAGTGCACACCCTCAAGCTTTGCATCCTGAACGCGACTGCTCCAACCGTTTGACCGTTTCGTTGTACGAAAACCGAGAGCCCCCAGCTCCTAGACCCTCATTGCAACACTCAAGCCATGGCAAACCATGGCGAAACCCATGGCAAACCATAGTAAACCATGCTTGTGCTTGGGAGCTTCAAGGAAGTACGCGAGGATGCTTGGCCGACGCGTCGAGGTGCTGGGAGACCTGCAGGCCGCGCAAGAGCGATAGACTCCCATAGACGCCAAGGCACAGTCTGCATAAGCCCTCGTAAACCCTAGCAGCTAGTAGGCACCATAAAACATCCTAATGGGCCCTAAATCATGTTAAGCCCTCTCATGCAACCCCGCGACATCCTTGTCGGATGGGTGTTAAAAAAATTGGTTGCCTTGTTATGGCACCCTCAACTCGAATTCATTCATATGGTCAACAATAGGCATGCTTGAAACTCACGCCCTTGTCTGGCCTCCAATGGCAAATGGCTGGCGCAGGGGGTGCTGGGGTTGAAGGTCGCCGGGTTTAGCGTTTAGGGGGTGGCGTCCCTTCCGCCCGACGCCTCCAAGCCATCACGACTGGCCGCACAGGGGCCCAAGTTCCGTGTGGGCGAGTTGGCTGGGGATCCTATTCCGCTCGTGGATGGCGAGATTGTGGAGTTCGGCATCTGCAAGGCACACCGGCTTCGTGAGCATCGGAAGCACATGATTGTAGATCCCCACTCTAGGACTTTGCAAACCGAAAGCGCCCGGCGAGGATGACAACGACCTCATCAAGCCTGGGCGTATCACGATGAAGCCGACCAAGGAACAGCTCGCACTGGTGAAAGCATGCAAGGTTGGGATCGAGCCCCGACTATCCAGGTGTGATAGGGTCTAGGTTTAGGCTCAGGGTTTAGGGTTTAGGGTCTAGGGCCTGGGGTAAGGGTTGAGGGCTCGAAGCTGCTGGCCTACACGGGTCAGCAAGTGCGTGCCGGGCCTTATATCAGGCACAATGATGCATCTTTTCCGCCATGCCAACCTGGCTGCGTGTGTTGGGTGCTTCCCTTGGCACGGAACCTCAACGCAAGGCCAAGAAGCCGGAAAGTTGAGACCCATCATCCCTAAACCCTAAACCTTAAACCCTAAACCCTAAACCCAGACACCTGAACCTTGAATGCCTCGCCTGGCTTGTCCGAGTGTGAGCGATTAAACCCTAAACCCTAAACCCTAAATCCATCGGAGGGGGTCGGCTAGGCGGGCGGCAAAAAAAACCCATCGGTGAGCTAAGGATCTGCTCATCGAGGATGGCATCATGAAGGCCTTGTCGATTCGACGAGAAGCAAAAGCCACGAATGGACTGTAATTATACAACGGTGGTCTGCTCACCTCTCTTGGCATGTAGACTGGTTCATGGTCGAGGTGTGAATTGCAAGCATGAGTGCCACGCAGCAGGTGAATGTTGTGGAGAAGATTTCTGACACCGAACTTCGGCTGCACTGCACGCCGTTGCTTGAACACGGGTCTCTCTTTGCTTGATGATGGTCACCTGTGATTTGGTGCGATCCACAGTGCACCAGCATCGCAACGCACATGCTACCATGAATGGCCATACAAGGAGCTGAAGGTGAAGGTTGTCCGCGGTGGAAAGCTGAAGGCAAGCTGGACGCGAAATTCTTGTTGGAACAGCCAGCAGCGTGACCCATGCGAACACCCGTGAACATCTTTGGACATGGAAGGCCCGCAAAGGAGTGAACGTGCCTGACTGCGAGATCGATTGCGCCGCCCTCACGGAGAAGGTATCGCCTGCGACATTGTGCCCCAGTGTGTTCGCCGGCAAATGCCGGCAATTCATGCCTACGGGGAACTTTCTCCCGCTGCTGCCAGTGACTAGTGTGAGAGACGGATATTGGATCAGAAGAGTGCGGGGGACTCGAAAGTTGCTTGCCAGGACATCGAAGATGCTGAGTACCTTCTTCAGCTGGACCCTCCAGTGGAGTACATCTGCGTCCGGGTCCCAAGTTGAGTACATGTTGTGACCCGGCCAGCGGCTGTAGGCTCTTTTCCCTCGTGGCCGTCTGACACCTCCGCTGTTGCTCAGGTGTCATTTGCCCAAAAGGGCCAAGATCTGCAGGAACTTATCGACATCATGGACCGACTGAAGGTTCCAGCGGAGAAGCGACCGTGCCTCCGATGCACTGTGCAATGTGCGCAAGGCCCAGAGTGTCTCAGTCTCAGCGTTCGAGAGTGAGATCCCTTTTGTGGAGGAGGGGCGGGGCCCGGGGTCTCTTGCATCCGAGGAAGATTTGCCCGAAGATTGAGAAGCCACAAGCCCTGACAAACATTGAGGGCATCATCGAGAAGTCTCAGGCTCTCATGGTGGCCAGGCCTGCAACCCTAAGGCCCTAAACCCTGATCTTCACCTAGCTGGTCGTTCAGTTCTCTGAGTCGCCAATGAGCCGGATGTATCTCAGGGAGGAAAATCAACGGGTAAGGTTCCGCTGGTTGGCTGCATTGTCCGCCTGCTCCTATGTGGCGTTTTCCTCCCTTGGATTCCAACCTCTGGCAAGCCATCGCGAAGTGCTGAAGAAGCGCCCTAGCACTTCGGTGATCCTGCTTGCGCGCCGGACCTGGGCCAGACCTGCGCTTGCTGAGTCTGCTCGCGACGGGGCTGCTGCATTTGAAGCCTACGAGGATCCCAAGCGTGCTCACCAACGGACCGGCCATGCCGGGTCAATTCCTTCCACTTGTGGACGAGGCCTGCTTGCCGCGTTCGTCAGGCCTCCTGGCAGCCCCGAGGCCTGCGGTGGAGGTTTGGGGCCCCACTGCCGCGTTCGTCCCTCCTTTCTCTTTTCCGGGAAGAGCCCTGGCGCGCGCCTGCTCCAAAGTCTCTCAGCATCAAATGGCAGTGGCAGAACGCCCGCGCCGTCTTCAGATGGCTCCCGACAGTGGCTGAGGAGGCTGATGTACGGTCTTGTTGTTCTTCTGTGCCGGGCGTTCTTCCTCGCTTCCTGCAGACTGGCAGATCCCCACCGCATAGCTTCTGCTCATTTCTGCTCTGCAGCTGCCCCTTATTGTTCCCTTGACGGCTTGCTGTGCGTTGTGCCGGTTGATCTCTCCGGCCCTGCCCGGACTGGTGAGAGAGGCTGTGTCCCACGGTTGGAGCTGCCCATCTAAGATGCAAGTTGCACGCCGTCATCAGGCAGAATGCTTCTGGGGTCCGAATACAGTGTAAAGAAGGGCGACACGGGGACAGAGGCTGATTGCAGGGCTCCTGACAACAGGTGTGACCGCTCCTGAAGTAGTCCTGACCAATTCTGCAAGACCTTCACAAGCTATGCCGCGAGGGTGGGAGTGCTTGTGCCTCAAGCTGTACAGGAAGGTGATTCTTCATTTGCTTCACTGCTGAGTGCTGAGAGATGTAACCCATCAATCCGGTCCCATACGCTATGTAACCCCAAACCCCGTACCCAACACCCAAAACGAACCCATCCGATACCTTGCACCTCTGAACACAACCGTACACCCAAATACCCCTGAGGGGTGACTTGGGTGTGGAGCTCGAGCTGGAGCGAGTCCCTTTCGCCCAGAAGCTGCTCATCGCCCGTGCCAAGAAGGCGCTGCAGATGCTGTGTTTTTTTTTTTTTTTGGGGGGGGGGGGGGGGTCTTTCTTCCCTGAGCTGCTGGAGTGGAGGCATCTGACTGAAGTGTGGCGCGCTATTTAACTTTTGCGTTTGTGGTTTATGGGGGGGTTTGACTCAAGCTGGTAGTTTGCTTCTGCGTCTTGCGGTCCGCGGTCACCTGTTTATCTGGGAGGTGTGTGAGGATCTGAAATTTCAGATTCAAGGAGGTCAAGTCTCAGCGGCGAGTCGAGATGCTTCCCAGAAGACGTAGGGACATGAAGTTCAAACACAAAGTCTGCAGCAGTCTGCGGCCTAACCAGGAAGCCCTGCAACAGAGCTGCCCCGCTCCCGCCACAAGGCTGGCCTATTTGTCATCAATGCTACACAGATGGTGGTGGCCTGGTTTTACCGTTTGCTTGTCCCACAATCTAGTAGTACCGGTGGTCCTTGTCTAATGTTATCTTCAAGTCGACAGCGCTTTCAAGTGCTGCCTTACCCAGGAAAGCATGATCGAGAATCCAGTGCCCACCCGAGCAGAAGTGAGCGACTTGCAGAATGCAGTGCCGCTTAGCAGCACCGAGCCTACGAAGAGATGTTGTCCGCAGACTTGAGAACCGCAAGCTCGGGTTGCCCGTAGCCTTGTGTTCTATCAATGTTTGACCCTAAACCCTAAACCCTAGTGGTCTCGGTTTGCTCCGCAGCGAGGTTCGATGGCTGCGACGCCGTGATGCTCTCCGGTGAGGCTGCCAGTGGGAAGTTCCCCTGCGAATCCGTCAGGGCCGAAGCCGATGCGGCGCCTCGGACCTAAGGAGTCAGGTGCAGCTGTCCCTTTTTTTTGGGGGGGGGGGGGGAGGGTAGATATCAGGGGATGTTGCTTGTCTTCGCTCTCATAAATCCTATAGGGCTTCGCTTGCGCCACGCATATGTTGCGGACTGCAGTCTTGCTTTGGTTTAAGGCGTTGTCTAGGTGTACAAAAGACAGATCTGCACGTGGGACAAGTTTGGCCCGAACGTGTGACGAGGCGCTCGAGGCAGAGACGGTGCGCGACTTCTTGAAGCCTCAGGCCAGTACCTAACCCGCCAAGTAGTTCTGACAACCCTGGGCCCCCGTTAACGAACTCTAAAGTCTCAAATGCATGTTGCTTAGTGCAGCTGAGGTGTAGTCGGTTAAAACAATCTGTTCGGGAGCCACGCGCCCCATCTCGCTCACTCTTGCGTGTCAGCGCCTGGCAGGTACCCGATGGGACCGTCGTCGATGAAGCCAACAAGCCCAGAGAGCTGAATGAAGCTGGGCTCGGGTGTGCAATACGACCATGTGCGAACATGACAGTAGGGCAGCTTCCATTCTGGCCACAAGTGGGCCGTGTTGGCAACTCAGGACAGCAAGCGGGTGACCAAAGTAGTTGCGTCGCTGGGCCCGGCCTCATGGAGCGAGGACTTCCATGTACTTCTTGGGACTTCTTGGGGTTACCGGCGTCAAGACAGTGTACTGCTGCATAACCTGGCAGCCGCTAGCACGGTGAGCAGCGCACCCCCAGCCCGATTCGGCGAGTTTTGACCTGATGCCTTTGTTCTGACGATTCTTGCTTCGCCCCGCAAAACATGCAAAACATGGGCCACAAGTTTTGCAGATCTGAAGTGTAAAAAGGGGCGTCTTGAGGTCGGAAGCAATGTGTGCAGGAGATGATCCCCAAGATGATTGAAGCCGGAACGGACATCTTCCGCTTGAATTGCTCGCATCGCCGCGGCGGCGACTTCGAGCGCGTCTACCCGCTCATCCGCAAGTATGCCAAGGACAGCTCTGGAGGGGTCAGACGGTTTGGGCGGCCCCTGAATTCACCACGAACGCCCGATATCCAAAAACCAGAGAGAAGCTCGCCAGCCGTGCGTGAGCTGTAGTAGGGCGCGAGCGGTATTTGACAAGAACCCAACGAATGAAACGGGCGACTTGGGGGAGGCGTCATCGGGGCCGCCAAAAGATGCTACGTTATCATATTTACGTGTTCGCAAAGCTTTGCAAGCTGCTGCAGGAGATGGGAAAGAAGGTCGAGTGCCTCGGCGACCTTCAAGGGCCCAAGTTCCGCGTGGGCGAGCTTGCAGGCCGGAGTCCCTTCCCCCCTCCCCCTCCCCCCTCCCTCCCCTCCACCCCCCCCTCCACCCCTTCACAAATGGCATTGGGAGGCGACCCCGTGGAGCTGAAAAACGGCGACGTCCTGGAGTTTGGCCCCTTGAACGCAATTCAAGTCGCTTGAAAATTTGGGCTCGCCAGGTCGAGAAGAATAGTCAGAGCAAGCCGAGTCGGCCGGGGTGGACATTGTGGGTGTACCTACGCGGCGTTTGCACTGGGGCCGGACAGTAGGACCAGGAGAGAAGCTGAACGCAAGTATGAACTCTCATGTCTACACGGAAACAGAGGTGCCTTGGAACCCTGACTCTCAGCCCTAAACCCTCATCCCCAAACCCTAAACCCTCAACCCTAAACCCTAAACCCCAAACCCTAAACCCTAAACCCTCAACCCTAAACCCTAAACCCAGGTATCTCCAAGGATGACAATGACAATATCCGCCCTGGGCGCATCACAATGAAGCCCACGTTGGAGCAGACGGCCCTGGTGAAGGCCTGTCACGTGGCGGCAAGGCCAAAGAGACGGCATCAGCCATGAAAAGCTCAGAGGCCCAAATGGGGTTGGTCCTGACTTAGGGTCCCGTGGTAGGCAATGGAATGTAAGAATGGTTCGTCATACAAAGGTCACGTGAACGGGGCCCTGATTTAAACGACCACGAAGCCTCCCTAGATGTCCACGCTTGGGGCTTGTTGGTGGGAGCACTTTGGAGGCCACTAAGGCAAAGGTGCAACAAGAAACGAAGGAGTCGAAGGTATTGATTGTGCTGACGCGTAACTCATTATTATAAAGCGAAGAGCACTGCGTGGCATCTGACATGCATAGATGCACCACAACAGTTTTTTCCTTGAATGGTTCTTTCAAGTAGGGTGGCGACCCTCCAGTCCAACAACGGCGGCCAAACACTCGACTTTCCTTCTCTTGGCACAAAGCTCTTCCAACCATACTAAAGTAACCCTGGAAAGCCGTTTTAATGAGGCCCTCTCGGGCACACTTCTGGCGGCAACACTTGACCTGATGCCGAGGCAAACCTGGTACCCCTCTTCTGCTCGAGGACGGAATCATGGAAGTGAAGGCGTGGGGACCAGCAAAACTCCACACGAAACACACACTGTGTGTAGGGCCTCGCTGCTGACGTCGGGGCCACCACCTCACATCACCTTAAGCCCCACTGGCGGCGCGGCTCTTGTAGAAGTAGTATATATGTCTACAATATAAGTATAAATTAACAACTAAAATAAAGATGAAGACATAAACAACGAAATATGTATGTATATATATATATGTAAATATACATAGTTGCTGACATGTACTCGGCGTACAGTCGGTTGTGGTACAATCGGTTGTGGTAGGCGGACCACGCTGTAGCCAAACAAGGCTCTGCCATCGTAGACGCCGGTCCCAGAACACAAATCAAATCCTGTCCCCAAGCAATCATATACAGCCGAAATGCCGTCAAGCACCCTGGGGAAGCTTGCAGGCGTTCGCGAATGTCTTGTTTTCATTCTCATTCGGGCTGGCACCCTGTGCCCCATATTCAGCCTTGCGGCATGCTTGCATCCCACAACCCTATTCAGCTCATTCACAATTGATGTTTTGACACTGGGCCAGGTCGTGGAGAAGTGCTCCGAGAGCGAGCTTAAGGTCGAAGCATCTCGGCCGAGAGGGAGCTTAGGGTTCATGGCTGGACTTTACGTAGGGCCATAGGCGTCTACACCTGTTCTGAACTCTGGTGGTGCAAGAAGCTAGGCATCGTCTTGCCCTAGAAGCGTCGACTATCGACTAGGAACCGAGGAACTTCCAAGTGGCTTGAGGGTTCTTTGGGCCTTGCAGGTCACTCGAGGCGGCAAGCTGAAGGCTCGGAAGGGTGTGAACGTGCCGGACGTTGAGATCGACTGCGCCGCCCTGACGGCAAAGGACATCGAGGACCGTAGGGCCGTAGGGGGCAATCTCCGGAAGCCAAGAAGCTACGCCTGGCTTGCCGGTTGCCGAGGGTATCGCTCGTCCATGAAAGGACGCAGAGTTCCTTCTGCAGCTGGATCCCCCAATCGAGTACATCTGCATATCATTTGCGCAGAAGGGTCGCTAACTCAGATGGCTGCCCACCTTGAGAAGTGCTTCGAGAGGACGTTGCATGATTCGGTTGCTTCTTCTGAGGCCAAGACCTGCAGGAGCTGATCGACATCATGGACCGCCTCAAAGTTCCTGCAGAGAAGAGGCCCAAGATTTGCCCAAAGATCGAGAAGCCGCAGGCCTTCACCAACATTGAGGGCATCATCGAAAAGTCTCAGGCCCTGATGGTGGCCCGTGGTGACTTGGGCGTGGAGCTGGGGCTCTGCCGAGTGCCATTTGCGCAGAAGCTGCTGATCCAGCGTGCCAAGCAAGCGGGACTCTTCGTGATCACCGCCACGCAGATGGTGGAGAGCATGATTGAGAACCCAGTGCCAACTCGGGCAGAGGTGTCCGATCTCATGACCCTCAGCTGCACGGCAGACTTTACTTTATGCCATGTCATTGATGGGGGACTTTTGTGAAGATTGTGTGGTGGCGTGGGAGTCTTCCTGCAGGAACGCTGTCTGGGACGGCACCGATGCTGTGATGCTGTCTGGCGAGGCAAAGGGACTTTGCAAAGGGCACCGTGCGGGGTGGCGAGGTGCCGTGTTGAGACATGCCACTCTCTTTCAATTTTGGTGTGTCCATTTCTTCCCTTTGAGGCTGCCTCCGGCAAGTATCCATGCGAGGCCGTCATGGCCGAAGCATCCGCGACTCGCGAGGCTGGGGCTCTCTGGGTTGCTGGGCTCTCTTCCCCTGGCTTTTCTCCCCAAGAGGCCGAGACCGTGAAGCACCGCTTGCAGCAAGCCTGCCCCTTCGTGGCCTCCTGGCAACGCAATGGTTCTTCAATGCACGACGCACAGGCTTTTTGGGCTTTGAAGCTTGTGCTTTCCAAGGCCGTTAACAGCAAGATGCCGCTGCGCCCGCCCCCAATGCTCAACTGCGGCATGGGCCTGAAGAGGCAGGAGATGGACCACAGCAAGAGGAAGACCAAGGCGCGTGACCTGAGCAGCTGGTCGCACGCGTTGCACGCTTGCTACAAGAGGGGGCCAGAGGAACATGCAGGGAATGCTCTTGCGTGAAAGCCCCCCACAGGGCCCTGCAAGATCTGGAAGCTGCCTAGATGGCCTGGAACTCCTTTGCTAGACTCGCCCTGTCAACCTATTGCAAACACCCAGCGCAAGAAGCCCCCTAAGCCTAGCAGGCCCCAGGCCCTACTTGTGCAAAGCTCCGGAGGTCGTCGCGTCCCTTGGGCCGGCCTCCTGGAGCGAGGAGCAAGGGCTTCAGGTTTTCAGGGCTTGTCAGGCGGGTTTTTGGTTCCGAAAGGGTTCGACCAAGGGCCTTGCAGGCTCCCTGAAAACGTTTTAGGACCAAGGGCTACAGTGTTACAGGACATGCGAAGTGTTTTGCAGCCAAGTCATCATGATTGTTCTGTGCATCGTATCTTCTGCGGTTTGTTCATGTGTACTTGTAGCACCTTCTAAAATTTGGCATCTGTACACCCTGGGCGTACTCCCCCAAATGTTCTCCACGTGGTTGTGCCGTTTGTGCCTTCTTGCTGCGCGGCAGGAGATGATCCCAAAGATGATCGAGGCCCCAAACTTGCTGCAGCAAATATACTATAATATACTTCAATATACTATAGTATACTAGAATATACTATAACTACAATACACTATAATATACTATAATATACTATAGTATACTAAAATCTACTATAATATACAATCCTATATAATATACTGTAGCATCTTGGAGACCTGTTGGGCCGATCACGCTTTCTCTGCCATAGGCCGGCACGGACATCTTCCGGCTCAACTGCTCCCATCGTCGCGGCGGCGACTTCGAGCGCGTCTATCCCCTGATCCGCAAAGCGGCCGCGGCATTGGGAAAGAAGGTGCCAGTGAATTGTTTTTATAAAAACAATCTGGCAGTGGGAGTGCAGGGCCGCCGTGCATCTCGCTGCTTGGCACAAGGAAGCCGTAACCCCCTGCCAGGTGGAATGCCTGGGAGATCTTCAGGGCCCGAAGTTCCGCGTGGGAGAGCTCGCTGGCGACCCTATCCCGCTGGCTGGTCTCAGTTAGCAGAGTCTCTATGTTATTCTGTTCTGATGGCGAAAAGGGCCATGTTGATGCATGAACCCGAACATGACGAACTTGACCTCCCAAGCAATCTAGGCTGAAGGACGGCGAGGTCCTGGAGTTTGGAATCTGCAAGGACCGGCCATTCTGAGAGTCTTGTCGAGGTTGTATCGTCACCATGGCCAGCCGCGCAGTTCCATGCTAGGTACGGGAGGTTCTATCATTCTACAAAGCTACGTAGTATCATGCTAGCTACAGTGCAGCTACAGAGGTTCTATGGCTCCGCAAAGCTGGAGCTTTCTGAAACCCAGCGGTGACACTGCCATGGTCCTCCTTGAGTCTGCAGGATGACAACGACATGATCCGCCCCGGACGCATCACTATGAAGCCCACAACAGAGCAGAATGCCTTGGTTCGAGCTTGTATCGCGGCTGCTGTTGGGCCGGGTTGCGCATGTCAGTGTCTAGGAGGTTCTTGAAGTGGGGGCCAACATGGCAGCTGCATTTTTTAAGCTTGCCAGGCAAGCCCGGCACTCCCCTGCTCCTGGAAGACGGCATCATGGAGGTTAAGGTGGTTGAAAAGTGCTCCGAGACGGAGCTCAAGGTGCAGGTGGCCCCTTTGACAGCACGAAGGACTACGGACTCGTGACATCTCGTGACCGGGTGCGGGCAAAGCGACATGACTTGACACTTCAACTCGCGCCCTTGAACGCTTCTTCAGGTTCGTGGTGGCAAGCTGAAGGCCCGCAAGGGTGTCAACGTGCCGGAGGTGCAAATTGATTGCGCGGCCCTGACGACGAAAGACATCGAGGACCGCGCAGCGTGTTGTGTCACATGCTTCTCTATCAGAAGACGAGGCAGTTGGGCCGGTAAAGCAGAAACACAAAATGGCCGCCCACGGCCCACTTGTTGTTGCTGGACTTTTGATGTAGGACATGCCCTTGGAAAGCGAATGGGCTCTTGCATTCATGAAAGCCCCAGATGAGGCATGTGATAGTGGACAGTGGAGCCTGCCACTCTCCAGCACGAACATGGGTGGACAGCTGCGGGCTTGTAGGATCAATGCAGAATAGGCGACCACTTGACTGTAGCATCTGGCAACTCTCGTATGGCCTCGGTGGCGTGGAAGTCGGCATTCTGATAACGGGGTTCTGTTATTGCACCTGTGTGGTTCTGGTTATTGTCATTCGGCATGAGATAACATGCCTGCTTGCGAGTCTGCAGGGCCTTCCCCAGCTGACAGGATGAAGTCTTCAAAAAGGAGTTCTTGTTAAGGAGGTTAAAAATTGTTAAATCACGTTCTCACGTAAGAAGGCCACTGTGCTCCTAGCTGCGCTCGTATGCATACCTGCATACCTCGTTTTTGTTGGCGAGGATGCGGAGTTTCTGTTGAAGCTGGAGCCCCCAATCGAGTACATCTGCGTGTCCTTCGTGCAGAAGGCCCAGGACCTTCAGGAGCTGATTGACATCATGGACCGGCTGCAGATCCCTCAGGACCGGGTGTTCGGATGCCGCTGTGCAGTCCTGGCCTCTCTCTCTCTCCGTGTCTCTGTCTGTCTCTCTCTCTCTCTGTCTGTCTCTCTCTCTCTCTCTCTCTGTCTGTCTCTCTCTCTCTCTGTCTGTCTGTCTCTGTCTGTCTGTCTGTCTCTGTCTGTCTGTCTGTCTCTGTCTGTCTGTCTGTCTCTGTCTGTCTCTGTCTGTCTCTGTCTGTCTCTGTCTGTCTCTGTCTGTCTCTGTCTGTCTCTGTCTGTCTCTGTCTGTCTCTGTCTGTCTCTGTCTGTCTCTGTCTGTCTCTGTCTGTCTGTGTCTGTCTGTGTCTGTCTGTCTGTCTGTCTGTCTGTCTGTCTGTCTGTCTCTCTCTGAAAGCATTTGAGGAGAAGCGGCCGAAGATCTGCCCGAAGATCGAGAAGCCTCAGGCACTGGGAAGTGGCTGTCCTTGCCACCCGAGCCGAAACTCCTCGTCCCATAGTCGTTTCGCCTTCTAACCCGAGCGAATCGCCTGTAGCCGCTGTACCCTTGGAGGCCCTGACCAACATCGACGGCATCATCGCCAAGTCTCAGGCGCTGATGGTGGCCCGCGGCGACCTGGGCGTGGAGCTGGAGCTTGAGAGGGTGCCCTTTGCGCAGAAGCTGCTGATCAGGACCGGGCACGCGCACTCAAAGAAACCCCCGCGGGCATACGCCCCCGCCGGGTGTAGGATCGCATAATATCGCATATGTCACACATGCAGACTTCAGGAGAGCCAAGGATGCTGGCCTTTTCGCTTCTTGCACAGCAAGGGCGTAGTATCTGTAAAGGCATCTTAAAGGCAGATGCAGGCTTATCAAGGGCGCTTCGAATTTGAACCTGGGCTGTTGATGCTTATGCACTGTAGCACAGGTCATCAATGCCACGCAGATGGTGGAGAGCATGATCGAGCACCTCAACTTGCAGAGGGTTAGAGGATGATTTGGGGTCAATACTGCGGCACTTCAACACGGCCCGACACCCTACACTTCCCTCACCCTAGCCCTGTCATAGCAGTGTCCTGGTGAAAACCTAAACCCTAAACCATAAACCCTAACCTCCCCTCCAAAAAATGCAAGTGAGCTACTTCGGCTCCCACGCTCCGAGGCAGCCAGTGCCAACCAGGGCCGAGGCTCGTGAGGGAGCTCAGTAACACAGGAGCCCCAGCGAGGACCGCAATGACCAACATTGTCCCCTTCTCATGCCCATGCCCAATGAGCTGCTACTTATGAACTGCCCAGCTCCAAAAAGGCCATTGAAAGCAACTCGGCCCCTGACACAGTGAGCCCATGACGCTCTTGACCTGCTCCGCCGGGACTCCACCGTTGCAGCCGGGCAGGTCAGCGACGTGCAGAACGCCGTGTGGGACGGCGCAGATGCTGTCATGCTCAGCGGCGAGGCGGCCAGCGGCAAGTACCCCTGTGCCTTGGCTCCGAGTTGGTAGAGTGGCCATGAATGTACGGGGGGGGGGGGGGAGCAGCAGTAGCAGTGGGCCAGGAGGTGCACACCAACGAACTGTCCTCTGTGGCCCCCTGCTTTGTAAACGACTGTAAACGCCGCCCCGGCAGCAAGATCGCAAAGAGCCCGCACACCGCTCAAACCCAAAAAACATCCTGCCCAACACAAAGTGAAGCAAGTGAAGGTGAGGCCGTGCGAGCCGAAGCAGATGCCGCCTTGGAAGCCGAGAGTGTAAAGCACCTCCTCGTCCCACAAGTCTATGACGACTACGCAGCCCTGCCCTGATTTAGCAGATTTTCGGTTTCGACCGATCTCAAATATCTGTCAGTTTTCTGAGCAACATTGATCATTGGGTTTTAGGGCTCCTGTGCTGCTTGGTCGTTTGGCTGACTTGTGACAAGAGTTCACTTGCGTTTCACGCCCCAATCTTTCTTCCAGGTCGTGGAAGAGGCAAACAAGCCGCGCGAACTGGATGACAGCCGAAGGAGGACAAAGATCGTGGCCAGCCTGGGCCCCTCTTCCTGGAGCGATGACATGCTGGCCAAGATGATTCAGGCCCTGTTTTGTTGGTTCCAAAATCCAACCTGAATCACTGAAGATGGCGAGATCATGCGTGGCATGGTGCCCTGAAGGCTGGCACGGACATCTTCCGCTTAAATTGCTCGCATCGACGCGGTGGGCATCTCAATGTTGAAGCCTGTCATGACCTTTCACGCAAACTACCGTAGGGCGGTATCTGTTAGGGTACCTAGTTGTTCAAGCCAGAGCAATTCAGGCCTGCCTCATTCCCTCGCGCGTGTGAGGGACTGAGGGACAGCCACTGCGCCTCTGAGGCGGTGATTTCGAAAGAGTCTACCCTCTCATCCGCCGCCACTCCAAGGACATCCAAAGCAGCCAGAGTCTATAGACATGGCACAACCAAAGCTTCAGACCGATGCCCCACGGCCGGCCCCCAAAGGCGCCACCCCTGAATCCTGCAGCTACCCCTTAAATACCCTAACAGGGGTAGAAGTGGGTTATATAAGTACCATGAGCCTCCAAGTAACCGTCCCTTGAGGAGCTGGGCGTCAACGTCGAGTGCCTGGGCGACCTTCAGGGCCCCAAGTTCCGCGTCGGCGAGCCCCTGGGCAGATGATTTCCCAACTTGGGGATTCGTGTGCCCAAGACCGCCCAGTGGTCCCTCAAAGGGCAATCGCAAGGTATAGTATTATAGATATATACTCTATGGAAGGATTGATACAAGCAGAGCATAATTGTAGCTATCGCATCTCAAGAGCTCGCATCCTTTGGAGCCTTTGCCTTCAGGCTTGCGGGTGACCCCATCGAGCTGAAGAACGGAGATGTGTTGGAGTTCGGCTGCGTGGACAGCAAAGAAAGACCACAAGCTCCCCCCCTCGCCCCGTGCGCACCCCAGGAATCTGCAAGGACGACAACGACCTTATCAAGCCTGGCCGCATCACCATGAAGCCCACCACGGAGCAGCGCCCTGCCTGAACTCCACCCCCCCCCCCCTCCTAAGGCCCACGAACCTGAAACTATCCCACCTCCTTTCCGGACTGACTCAGGAACGCTTTGGTGGAAGCCTGCAAGGTCGGCACCTGGCCCGCAGATGCAAAGTAGAATACATAAAAGACACATGTAGAAAGCCGTTCTCAGAACCATGCCTCGCTTGCTCATCTCAAGTGGGTGCGGAGTAGAGGCCGGGGATTCTCTGAGGCACGATGCTGCTCATTGAAGACGGGCTCATGGAAGTGAAGGTGACGGAGAGACTCGGCCAAAGAGGTCACCAGAACACGCAGAGAGAGAGAGAGAGAGAGAGAGAGGGGCTGGGTCCTGGGTAGAAGATGAAGAAGAAGAGGACGAGAGAGACAGAGAGAGAGAGAGAGAGAGAGCCCGGGACTAGCAGAGACACGCTGACACCGAGGCAGGTACAGGTGCGGGGCAGGGAGGGGGAGCACAAAGGGGGGCCTGCACTATGGGGGCACATGTGGGGGGGGTATGGGTCGAGGGTCTGAGGGTCTGAGGGTCTGAGGGTCAAAGGTCTCGTGTGCTCTCCTTCCTCCAACCGCCAACCGGAGACCCCCCGAATACCGGGGCGGGCGAGGACGCCCGGGGGTTCGCCCCCATGCCCCCAAGAAAGAAAGAAAGAAAGAGAGAGAGAGGGAGGGAGGGAGAGAGACAGAGGGAGCGGGGCGGCCTCCTCTCTCGAGGGGGGGCCATGCGTGCAGAGAGAGAGAGAGAGAGAGAGAGCGACGAGGAGACCGCTTTAGAAGGAGAGGGGGGGAGGGCGGGAGGGAAAGGGGGGGAGAGAGACAGGGCGCAAGAAAACGCATGAAAAGCCGAGAGAAAGCCCCTTAAAAAGAAGAAAACTCTGAGAGAGCAAAGTCCGAGTCTCAAGGAAGATCTCCTCCACGGAGCTGAAGGTGGAAGTCACTCGCGGTGGCAAGTTGAAGGCGCCTTGGGGTGGCCGTTCGGGCCCTTTCGGGGCGTTAGGGGACGTGTTACGGGGTTTCCGATGTTTGGGTGAAACCCGAAGTACATCAAGTCATGGTTCCCGTTCATTGAAGTGTGAACCCGTGCCGGAATCCCTGAATACGAAGCCCAGGCCCTGAAGGCCCAAACTTGCCTCAGGTATCAGAGCCCTACTCGTTAGGCGTGGCCGTATCTTCAGGCTCGCAAAGGCGTCAACGTGCCCGACTTGGAGATCGACTGTGCCGCCCTGACGGCGAAGGACGCTTCTGTAGGCAGGTCTACAGATCTCACGAATGGCTTGAGACAATGTGCCCACAATGTGGTTATCTCTAGTGACTCTAGTTTATGGGTTTCTGAATTTATGGGTACCCTTTTTAGGGGTTCATTTGAGCGGATTATAGAAACTTGGGGTATATGAGGGGTACCCCTAGTGTCGGAAATCCCCAAGCTGGAACCAGGGCTGCCCTCAATGCTACCATGAGTGATCTTTTGCAGCGCTTGCTCTGCTCGACATGAGCAAGCATGAGTCGTGCAGGACATCGAGGATGCCGAGTATCTCCTGCAGCTGGACCCTCCCATCGAGCGCCTCGGCTTGGCACTCGTGGCATCACTGTCGGTTGTTTCCAAAAACCCAGAATGGGCCACCCTGACCGAGGTACATCTGCGTGTCTTTCGTGCAGAAGGGTCAAGACCTCCAGGAGCTCATTGACATCATGGACACTTGGCACCAGCGATTGTTTTTTTGTCCATGCTCTTTTCTTGTATATGCCCCCCCCTCCCCCCGTGTATCCTAGAGTGATGCACAGGGCCACCTGTGTACACCCCTGGCGCAAGGACCGACTGAAGATCCCGCCGGAGCGCCGCCCCAAGATCTGCCCCAAGATCGAGAAGCCTCAGGCCAGCTTTCAGTCTGGGAGACCCACGCGCAGCGGTTCAGTGTCTATGCAAGATATGAAAGATACGACAGGCTTTGACCAACATCGACGGCATTATTGCCAAGTCCCAGGCTCTCATGGTGGCCCGTGGTGACCTGGGCGTGGAGCTGGGCTTGAACCGCGTGCCGTTCGCTCAGAAGCTGCTCATCGCACGGGCCAAGCAGGCCGGACTCTTCGTGGCTCCGCTGCAGGCATTTTCGTTCGTGGAAGGTGTTTTCACTTGAGCGGACGGTGTTCGACGGCATAGCTCAGGTGATCAACGCCACGCAGGTCGTGGAGAGCATGATCAAGAATCCTGTGCCCACCCGTGCAGAGGTCAGCGATGTTTGCAACGCTGTGTGGGATGGAGCAGATGCACCCCGGCAGCAGCTGACACTGATTACGCGCACCAAGCCGCCCCAGCACCGATTGCCGCGGCACCGTTCTCACAACTCTCTGCTTCTTCAAGCCAAGCTTTATGGCAAGCGCGCCCGCAACTGAACTCAGGCAGTGATGCTGTCTGGGGAAGCCGCCAGCGGTGACTTCCCGTGTGAAGCAGCTGCTTAGTCTGGAATCTGTTGTCCTCAAGCCTCCTACTTGAGATGAGGAGCCTTGAGCTAGCCCTAGAACCTGAGAATCTCCTGGAGGCACTTGCTATGCACATGTATACATAAAAATGTATATATATATATATATATATATATATACATATATATATATATGTATATATATGTATATATATATATATGTATATATATATATATGTGTGTGTATATATATATATATATGTATGGGTGTATATACATAGATATAGATATATGCATGGGGTAATTCGTTCGTTGTTGGGCCCATGTTTAATAAGGGCATACGGATTTCAATGGATTTCACATGCGCAATATAGTCCGAAACATACCCTGATCCCAACAGACACTGATTCTGGTACAACCCTGACGCAAGGTTATGGCTGAAGCCTCCGCAGCGCGAGAAGCGGAATCCGCACCGCGGCGGAAAGCTTGCCTTACAAGCGTTGTAGGGTTGGTTTAGGCTAGCGTGGCTCAGAAGCTGGACTCTGGATGCTGACTGACATGCCATACCTACTTCAATTTGACTGGACCATCGCCTGTGTGCCAGAGATGAAGTTTTTGAGGTGAAGCATCGGCTGAGACGTGCATGCCCGCCTGTGGAATCGGGTGTGCGACTGAGTTTGCCAACTTCAAAAGCATGTGACAGTCCTGAACCTGCGACAACACACCCCCCCATGAAAGCTTCATTCAGCACCAAAAGGTGCGATTGTTGCTCCGATGCTGCACGTGAACATGGGCAACAAGAAGCAGGCCACACAGATTTCCCTCCCCTCCCAAGAACATTCTTTCAGATTGGGCCATGGGAATGGGGAGCCAGAGAGCCTCCCCTAGCCTCCCCGACGCAGGAAACCAATCACGCCCTGCGCAAGAGCAAAGTCGTGGCCAGCCTTGGCCCTGCCTCTTGGAGCGAGGCGCCTCGGCAGTTTCACGCGGGCGTTGGGGTCTCATTGGCCGTGGTTGCAAGTCGATGGCACTACGGGGTTGCGTGCTGCTCCCCTTATCCTTATCTTTATTTTGCGACCCTTTCCTCGCTGCATCTCCTGGAGCTTCTGCTTTTAAGAGGGTTTCGCCCAAACCCCCTCCAGTAGCTGTCCTGCAAAGTGTGAGAGAACTTAACTTCTGGCCAGGAGATGATCCCCAAGATGATCGAGGCCGGCACGGACATCTTCCGCCTGAACTGCTCCCACCGCCGTGGCGGCGACTTCGAGCGCGTCTATCCGCTGATCCGCAAGGCGGCAAAGGATCTCGGCAAGAAGGCGCCGCCGAGGAAAGAGTGCACGACTGATACCAGTCGCATCATGCTGCTTTGGTCTTTTTAACAAGATGCTAGGGGGGACACTGTGTGGGCGGGGTGTGCTTGAGTTTGCCTGGAGGTGGAGTGCCTCGGTGATCTTCAAGGTCCCAAGTTCCGTGTGGGTGAGCTTGCCGGAGATCCCATCCAGCTGAACAACGGTGATGTTCTGGAGTTCGGCATCAGCAAGGATGACAACGACAACATTCGGGAGGGACGCATCACCATGAAGCCCACCACAGAGCAGAACGCCCTGATCGCAGCCGCGAAGGTGGGAACCGACCTCTTGCTGGAAGATGGCATCATGAAAGTGAATGTCGTTGAGAAGCTCAGCGACACCGAGCTGAAGGTAAAGGTCATCCGTGGAGGCAAGCTCAAGGCCCGCAAGGGTGTGAACGTGCCCGACGTGGAGATCGACTGCGCCGCCCTCACCACCAAAGACATCGAAGATGCGGAGTTCTTGCTGCAGCTGGACCCCCCGATCGAGTACATCTGCGTCTCTTTTGTGCAGAAGGGACAGGACCTCCAGGAGCTCATCGACATCATGGACCGGCTCAAGATTCCCCAGGCCACTCCCCGCAGTGGGATGCCCCATGACGCGTGTGCTGTGAACGATGTAAGATGATGTAAGGCCTTTTGGGACCCAAAATTGGCTAGACATTCAGCCGAACAGGAGAAGCGGCCCAAGATTTGCCCCAAGATCGAGAAGCCTCAGGCCAGAGTTTTTCTAGAGATGGTGCAGACGAGCTAAAAGCGCTACTGTAGAGGAGCTGTTTTCGAAGCTTGTGCTGCGGCCAAGGCCCTGACCAACATCGACGGCATCATCGCCAAGTCTCAGGCGCTGATGGTGGCCCGCGGCGACCTGGGCGTGGAGCTGGAGCTCGAGAGGGTGCCCTTTGCGCAGAAACTTCTCATCCGCAAAGCCAAGGACTCGCCCTTGATGAGCTTGGTTTGAAGCGTGCCTCCACTCTGTGCTACTGTGCTGTATTGTTTTGTGGCGGCCGAAGGGCCGAAGTGCTGAGCAGTAGGACGCTGGGCTCTTTGTCATCAATGCCACGCAGATGGTCGAGAGCATGCTGCCCGGTTGAAGCGATTTACGTGACCAGTCCTGGTTCCTGCTGCCCCCCAGCAGCCCTGTCAGGCTTCACAGAATGCTTCATGGATGTTCATGCCTCGTCAGTGCATCCGTGAGTTCAACTGCTCGCTTTGCAAAAAGCCTGGAGCAAATGCCATTCCGGGACAGGCGTAATTAGGTCTGAGAGAGGTGTCGAAAACGAAACGATCGAAAGGCCACTCGCGTAAGCCTGTATAGCCTGTGAAGAGAAGCCGGGTCACTCCGCCGAGGATCGAGAGCCCGGTCCCGACCAGGGCAGAGGTCAGCGATCTCCAGAACGCCATCTGGGACGGTGCGGATGCGGTGATGCTCAGCGGAGAGGCGCGGGGGGCATTCGGAACCCGCCCCAAACTGCGGAATCAGGGTCTCCGACAGATCCTGACAGGCTGCCAGCGGCAAGTACCCTTGCGAATCAGCTGCGGGGCAGCAAATGAGGAGCCCTTGACCTTCCAGAGTCCGGCCGAAGCCAAGAAATAAGAGCATGAAGAGACACGCACGTCTACCACGCAAAATCACGCAAATCATTTCCAGACCTCCCCACAGTCCCCCGAAGCCCAAGTCCCCCCTGTGGTGCCCCTTCCCGTGGTTTGCTCCTAGGTGGCAGCAGAGGCGGCGGCTGCCCTTGAGGCCGAGTCAGCTGCGCGGCCAAATTTTGACACCGCGGTGTGTGGATGTTTTTTTTTTTTTTTTTTCTTTGGGGGGGGGGGGGGGGGCGGGGCGCGGCATTCTGAAAGGTTCGGAGCAAGTTCAAATTAAGCGGGGCTCTTGGAGCTGAACGTGTTTCTTGCACGGGGGAAGTGGATTTGCTGTGATGCTGGGGGCTGTGGAACGAGTTTTCCCTAGCTTGCTGGCACGTTCCATTCTAACTCTTTTGCTCCATTCAGATCTTCATTCCGTCCAACTCAAACAAACAGCAACATGAAGCGCGAAGAAACAGATTAGAGTTCGCATTCTCATTCCACACAGTTGGGATTTAGTCCTGGGCCTCACACCCCGCGAGAAGAATGTATGCGAGTATGCCAATGCTCCTCAAGCTGAGGTGAAAGATCTGCTGATGCCGCGCCTGGGTATCGACTATTTCTGCGACGAGGACGACATCTTGTGTGTTGCGTTGGGCCAGTGTTGTTCACAGGGCACGCAGTCAGCTCTCGATGTTTCCCAAGCGCTTCGGGTTTCATGATCCTATGTGGACAATGTACTGTCACGTACTACATGTGACATCCAAGTGCACGTTTCCGCCTCGCTATAGGGCCTCGATAGTTTTCGCATCCCCCCTGGCGAGGGCAACAAGCCCAGGGAGATGGACGACTCGAAGCGCCGCACCAAGGTGGGGGGGGAGGGAGGCAGATATTCCCACTTCACCACCAAGGATCCTCAACCCCGGGGCCTATTTGTGTTTGAAGCCCTGGCCAACAGAAAAAAAAAACCCTGACACACAGTCCTGTCCAGGTGGTTGCCAGCTTGGGCCCAGCCTCATGGAGTGAGGACGGGTCGCGCTTCATGCGGTTCAAACCCAACAAGCACAAGCTGCACCCTCCAGCTGCTTGGACGACTGGTATTGAATGCAGGAGATGATCCCCAAGATGATCGAGGCCGGCACGGACATCTTCCGCCTGAACTGCTCCCACCGCCGTGGCGGCGACTTCGAGCGCGTCTATCCGCTGATCCGCAAGGCGGCAAAGGATCTCGGCAAGAAGGCACTAGGGCGGCTAGGGATGTGGATGTTTGTGCACTTTTCGTTTGTATCACGTGGTTTCGCATGTGAAAATGACGCGCCGTAGGTGGAGTGCCTCGGCGACTTGCAGGGACCAAAGTTCCGGGTCGGGGAGCTGGCTGCAGATCCCATTCCACTGGAGAATGGCGACATCTTGGAGCGGCTCGGAGTTAACGCAGCAAGCGGAGGAACTTGTAGGCATTTGTAGCCGTTCCGAGTCCAGAGGGCTGATTCTGGGATCTGGAGCCATCACCAGCTTGGAAAGGTTCGGAATCAGCGTCGATGACAACGACAACATTAAGCCAGGTCGCATCACCATGAAGCTGCTCAGCTGCAGCTGCTGAAGGAGAGCCTGCTACACGCACACACACACAGGCATGTTGTAACCTTGCATGTGTAGCCCTATTGGGCCAACCCACTCAAATCGAATCCCAAAAGTGCGCTCCGCTGAGGCCGACAACCGAGCAAAACGCGCTGGTGAAGGGCTGCCAGGCCATGAGGTTTTCTATGCATTCGTAATCTCGTTTTCCGGTGGCTATTGAAGGTCTGGTGGAGTAAGTCTCACTCGTAGTGCATAAACCCACCAGGTGGGCACCACGCTTCTCATTGAGGACGGCATCATGGAGGCGTTTTGGGAGTTGAGAAAGTTGAGGGACTCTGTCTGATGTTTGGGCTGTGGCAAGTGTGTTTGCTTTGCAGGTGGTCGTCACAGAGAAGATAAGTGACACGGAGCTGAAGGTGCGCATGCGACCCGTACATCCGGGGCGGAGTGGAAAGTCCTGTCGTACCTTCTGTACCTTGACGTGCAGGTCAAAGTGGTTCGTGGGGGCAAGCTCAAGGCCAGGAAAGGCGTGAACGTGCCGGACATCGCCCCTCACCTTGGGCTTTGGGCTTTGTGGGCTTTAAGGGCTTTTGTGTTGAGACGCGGTCAACGGCCGCGCAGCTTTGGGCAGCCATGGCTATCCAAGGAAATCGATTGCGCAGCCCTCACGGTCAAAGACATCGAGGCGTGCAGTGAGGTAAAAGCGCGGGGGGGCGGGGTCCTTGCCACGAGAAAGTCCAGGGAGAGAGGCTGAATTCGTAGGTCAATCCTGCATCTTCACAGCACGTCCCCAGTTCTTAAGCCCACCCGCAGGATGCCGAGTTCTTGTTGCAGCTGGACCCTCCCATCGAGCCAGGGGCTCAGAGACATTGCTTATTGGCTGCCAGATGAGACGACAAAGTCCTGGAGACGGCCTGGAGAGGTACATCTGCGTTTCCTTCGCTCAGAAGAAGCAAGACTTGCAGGCGCACAAAGCAGACATAGTAGCTTCCAGTAGAGCTTTGAGTCTGGGCACGTTCAGCGGATGTGCGTACATGCATGTAACTGTAACTATATTCAGGGGGGAGGGGAGGCACAAGAGTAGTCACAGATGAAGTAGGGAGTGTGTGGATGCCCTTTGTTGAGGTGATTTTGTGGAAGGCTTCCACGTGAGCACCCTTAGACACGTTGTTTTAAACCGCGGTTTATGACCAGCCATCATGCCAGCAAGGAGCTCATTGACATCATGGACAGGCTGAACATTCCCGCAGAGCTCCTTGCATGCACTCGGATCAGACAGAAGGAGACACGCTCCACACTGGCGGTTGCAAGTGCCAAAAGTCAGATGTCATGCAGAGTCAGCTCACGCCTTGCGCCGCACTCCTCTCTTCAGGAAGAGGCCGAAGATCTGCCCGAAGATTGAGAAGCCCCAGGCACTGACCAACATTGACGCTTGGAGCAAGCTCTAGCTAAGTGCTCTAGGTGGGGCTCCTGGCCCCCAAGAACCGCACATGGACATGACTTCCGTGCAAAGTGGACGTGAACATAAGGAAGGCATCATCGAGAAGTCGCAGGCTCTGATGGTTGCCCGGGGTGATCTTGGTGCCGGGCTGAGGCTTTTCGTCGCATCCTAGGCGTAAAATCGTACGATGCACATGCCGTGTCTTTGCGCTGCAGGTGTTGAGCTTGGACTCTACCGAGTGCCCTTCGCACAGAAGCTTCTGATTCGCAAGGCCTTCATGCAACATCTAAAGTGCAGTAGAAGGTAGTTGCAAAGATGCACTGACAGCGCACCCCTTTTCTAGAAGACGTCTCACAGCCTTTGGGGGGCATTTTCAGGCAAAGGATGCCGGTCTCTTCGTAATTACAGCCACGCAGATGGCCGCGACCCAAGTTGACAGGCTTTGGGACAAGTCGGCAACCTGAACCCAAGGAATGCTAAGCCTGTCCTGTCTCAGAAAGTCTCAGAGTGCGACCGAAGCCATGGGGTCTTAAACCCTAAACCCTGAACCCTGAACCCTAAACCCTAAACCTTAAGCCAAAAAACCCTAAACCCTAAACCTTAAGCCAAAACCCTAAACCCTAACCCCTAAACCCTTTTTTTTCTTGCGACGCTTCAGGTGGAGTCCATGATCGAGGCGCCGGTCCCCACGAGAGCGGAGGTCTCCGACCTCTGCCTGGGGCCCTGGGAGCGGTTTAGGGTTTAGGGTTTCGGGTTTAGGGTTTAGGGTTTAGGGTTTAGGGCTTGGGATGTTCAAGGTAGAAGCGGCTGAGGGGCCTGCTATCCGAGGCTCTTGTCAGAGGTGGCATGGAACTGCAAGAATCAACAAATTAAGTGTTGATGCTTTGTTAGAGCAAGCTACTTCGCCTTTGTTGCCCAGCCAAGCTGTGAAGTCTACCCGGTGTAAGCTCCGCTTTCCCAGCTGCGACTACCGTATGTGGAGGGCCTGGAAACCCTAAGCATTCAGAGATTGCTGAACCAAATGAAAGCCGCGCACCGAACCCTTTAGCTCCCCATTAAAAGGGGGGCAGGAAAGCGAAGCGGTTAAAAGACACCTCATCTCTGGCTTTCGGTGGCCAAGGCAATGCTGTGTGGGACGGTACCGACGCAGTGATGCTTTCTGGAGAGGCCCGCAGTTTCGTTGTTGCAGTTCGCTGGTGTTGACAGATTCTCTGGACCCTAGCACTTTCGCATGCGCAGACAGACAGAGTCAGACGTACCGGACGTACCGTATGCCACGATCTCTGCACTTGAATTTTGCGAGCTCCATCCTGGCAGGCTGCAAGTGGCAAATACCCATTGGAAGCTGCAACTCGACAATTGGTTCAGAGTTTATGGTGCCTCCGGATACAGGCTTTGCGCATCACTGCTTTAAGCCTTGTGAGGCTCTACTGCGGGAGAAATATTGATGAAACCCAAAACCCTTTGGACTAAAGCCAAAAAGGCTTTTTAAGCTCTTTTGGAGTCCATCTGGAGTCGTTTATTCCGCGTAGTATAGGGCAATGGAACTTGCGCCGACCTCAGTCCACGCTTCAGAAATAGGGCAGCCGAACCAAAGCGGATCACGTTTTGGAGCTCCACAAGTGACATAAGACCTACACATTGCTTCCCAGGTCATGGCAGAGGCATCCGCGGCCCGGGAAGCGGAATCCGTGGCTTTTCAGCGTCCCATGTGGATCTAAACTCTTCAGGAAGCAAGCAAGAAAAGATGTCCAGGGGGCCATAGACAGGGGGTTCTAGAGCTTGGGCTCCTGGCATCTAAGGGTTCGGGCGTTGCAGGGGGGGGGGGGGGGGGGGTCGCCTTACAGTTCGGCCACATGCTGCCACAACCTTGCAGATGCTTTTGCGTCCTGCCACTTAAGGTGGAGCATCGAATTTTCCGAGCGCCCCGGCATGGTAACTAATTACGTGTCATGGGAGGGGAGTATGAGAACGCAGGTTCCCTACAAGGTGCAGCCAGCGTAGCCAAGGCCGTCCCGAATGTGGTCTGAGATCCGACGGCGAAGGCCATCCTGAAGGGCTGAGCCTCATGCACGGCGGTCCGAGTCACCAAGATGGAAAAACTCAAAAACGGGGAGATGGAGGAGCAAGCATCCTGAAAGACATGAATGCCTCGCGCCTTTCCTCACGTGGCGAGGTAGGTCAAGAAGGTTTGCAGTAGATGTTGTGAAGGACACAGCGGAAATTGGGACTCGGACTGCACATAGCCATTTTCTCGTTTCACGCGATCAGCACGTGCGGACTAGCCTGCACTTGCTGAGCTCAGCCCGGCCTGGCCTAATGGCGAAGCAGGCAGATGCAAGCTCAGAGGCAAAACGTGGTTCCAGAATCAGGTCGTGCCGAAGTGCGAAGCTGGAACACTGGGATCTAGTTGCCTGAGTATGGGACGGTTAACAGTCAATGGCCTTTCTCCCCTGGTGCGGAGTATGCACTCTCTATGGCCGTTTTGCTGGAAATAGTGTACGTCTGAATGTCTTTTATATAGCTCTGCTTGTCGATCTCATACAATATGCGTTGTTCTTGTGACAACATGTTTGTAGCATGAAAAGATGTTCTTCTACGCCCCTCTGCCGGTCTCCGATCCTCAGCCACTCCACGGAAGTAGTCCCCATCTGCGCGTGCGCTGTGGCTCTGTCGCTGGTGTGACGGCCCAGTTGGGCACTGATCACACTATTTTCCCACAAGGTGTCCCACACTACTTCCCTTCAGCGCCATGGCCGCACAGCTTGAGGCAGAACTCCATGCCCCTGCTGACGCTGGGCCTCTGTTGACCTCTGTTGACTTCGGAAATTAGGGGAAGTTGAATCAAAGACCTGAAGCAATCGGCCACCTGATGAGAACGGACATGTACAGAATGAAGCGGCTGTTTGTCAGCAGCCAAGGAAGACAGCTTCAACAAGCTGGAGGGGAGACTTTGTTGCGCTTAGCTTGCTTCCCTCCACCCACTTGCATCCCCCAATGTGTCAACATAAGACACGGACCCTTTCGACCTCGGACCCTCCTTCCTGGCTCTCGGAAGCAACCCAAAGCCGCGGTCTTCAAACTACCAAGCCGTGCTCTCAAGGTCTCAAGGCAGGTGGCAAAGCCAAAGCCCTCGGCCTCAGCCCATAATTAAGGTGGAGACTCTGATGCCCTTGCCCATGTGCGAGCGTGGGCATCGAAACCCCCGAAGACGAGCTGCAAGCACCCTAAGCCTTGCCTTGTGCGAGAGTGCGTGACGCAATCCTCAGCCCCTAAATCCTGAAAACAACTAAACCCCGAAACCGTTAAACCCTCAACCCCCAAACCCTGAAAACCCTAAACCCCGAAACCGAGAAGCCCTCAACCCCAAAACACCTGAAAACCCTTAGACCCCTTCAACCCTCTTGACATCCTCACAAGGAGCTTCAGGGGTAGCTCCATGCGTGTGGCGAAGCCCAAGACACCGGCCCCCGGCTGCTTTTCCTGGTTGTCGAGCCCCAAGCCCAAGGAGCGGGAGGCGGGGGCAGGTTTGTTTGGGACCTGACGTCCCCCCAGGGTTGAGGGGTTTAGGGATCCTAAACCCTAAACCCTAAACCCTAAACCCAAACCCTAAACCCTAAACCCTAAACCCTAAACCCTAAACCCTAAACCCTAGCAGACCCGAAGCAAAAAGGGTTCAGGGGTTTCAGAGGTGAGGTGTTGGGGGTTCTGCGGGATCTTGAGGGGAAGGGTCCGGTTCGGACCGTGAGGAATCCTGATGTGGCACCGATTCTTCCTCTCATGATGTCACCTCAGGATGAAAAAGGGACAGGTCCTCCGATAAGCAAGTAGTTTTGACATTTGACAGAGATAATTCGGGGCTTAGGAAATTCGGTTGCTGGGTCAACTGGTTGGTTGACTGCCCGAAGTGGGCAAGGGTTATTCTAAATTTGGAGGAACTTCTCTGTTTGGGGCAAAGACTGACAGTTTGAAGCGGTCTCGCTGGACCCTTGACAGAGTCCCAAACCCCGAACCCTGAAGCTCGGGTTTAGGGTTTAGGGATTGGGGTTTAGGGCTAGGGTTTAGGGTTTAGGGTGTAGGGTTTAGGGTTTAGGGTTCTGAAGAGCTAAGCCGACACTGCAAGGTGGACGTCATCCTGATCGGCGCGGGCGTCATGAGCGCGACAGTGGGCTTGATGCTGAAGGTGGCCAGAAAATTCCCAAATCTGAAGCGATACTCAAACCCTGAACTTTCGAAACGCATCACTAGGGGACCCTTAACTAATATAGACCCCCAAAATACGTAGTAGGATCCCCTTAGAAAGAGGACGCCATTAAGGCACCCATTATCGTAAAAGGAGCTGCAGCCCGAGTGGAAGATGATGATGTTTGAGCGCCTTGGCGCCCCGGGGGAGGAGAGCTCCAACGGCTTCAACAATGCAGGCAGGGCCCGTAGGGTTTAGGGTTTAGGGTTTAGGGTTCAGGGTTTAGGGTTTTTAACTCGAGGAACGGAGCGAGCAGCGACAATCTCCACCTTTTCTGGCAGGCACCGGCCATGCTGGATTCATGGAGCCGAACTACACCAAGGAAGTCAAGAACAGTGATGGCACCCTGAAGACCGTCACCACTGAGACCTGCTTGCAATGTACAGGTTTTGATGCTCCAGCAGGGGACAAGCCAGCAAGACTCAGCAAGACTCAGCAAGACTCAGCAAGACGTCACCATCTGTAGCAGCAGTGCGGCACGGCTGTATACTTGTCCTTCGCCTCCTTGTTGCAGGATCACGAAAGGCCCCATTCAAGGGGTGTTTGGAATACCTACCCAGTTCATGCACATGGCTTCAAGACGGCACCTTAGGACAAAGTGGAGCACGTTTGCGAGCAGTTCCTGAGCAGCCGCCAATACTGGGAGTACCTCACACGCAAGGGCCTGCTGCCGGCGCCCGACTCCTGGATCCACCAGACGAACCACATCGCACTCGGTGTGGGCCAGGATCAGGTCGAGTTCATCAAGAAGCGCTACGAGGCGATGAAGGACAATCCGGTTGTGCTGAGATCTGGGAAGGTGGAGGGCGCTTGTGCGGTACGTGTAAACTGCCATTGGTTATCAACACGTAGATACCCTCCCTGCCGCCCACTGCATAGCGCAAGACTGCTCACTGCCAGATGCCCTCGCATGAACAGGACAGACCATGCTTGGAGATACTGTTGAGAGCCTTGTGCCGGGCTTGACCGGCAGGAGATGCCCCTCTTCCGAAGCATGGAGATTTGCCTTCCAGAGGAGAAGGAGCGTGTTCTGCATGTGGTTTAGGCATGAGTTTGTGTATCGCCACGCATGAACAAGACTACGTGCCACCAAAGGTTGCAACAGTGATTTCCCGCAATGAGAGAAAAATGGCAGTGCCCTGCCAGGCGAAGGCCAAGGAATGGGCGCCGCTCATCATGAAGGGTCGTGACCCGTCCGAGCCGATTTGCATGACGAAGGCCTGTACCTTGAGCTGCGGGGGTGAGAGCGGGTTTCCCGGGTGCAGGATGCTGCCCCCTTCAGTTCACAGCTGCGTAGGTTCCCCATGGAACCGACGTGGACTACGGCGCCTTGACCAAGGCAAGCCCTCATGACTACAAAATTCTCTTCAAGGTTTTTTTGGGAGTAGGGGGCATTGGGGGGCATCTGAGTCAGCCTGAGTTGACAAAAACAAGTGCAACAAATCGAAGCCTTGGCTGGTGCCAACCCCTTGCAGGCCAAGATCGTGGCTTTCCAGGAACTTGGTGCCGAAGCGGCAGCTTTCGGATGTTTCGGATCTGGGATTTGGCAGGATTGCAAGTTGCAGCTACTGGTTGTGAGGAGGGCTGCTTAGGTGCAGCCACGCTGACATGCTGTGTGGAACTGTGGGCATTTTGTGTCCTGTGCGGTTCGGGGTGGCCGGTGCCCAACAACTCAGGTGGCGACCTCCGCTTGCACACGGAGGCGAGACTTGCAGAGTGGGAGGGATTGCAAGCTGCAGTATGGCGATCTCCTCTGCGCCTCCTCATCGCTGAGGTACTCTTAGACATTTTAGGATACATGTCATGCTGAAAGAAGTTCTCCATCAGGTAAAGGACATCAAGAAGGGTTCCGACGGCAAGTGGACAGTGACCACATGCGTGAACGGCGCAGGCGCGCCTTCTCTCTCCTCCTGAGCCTCCTTGGGCTGTTCGAAGTGAAGATGAGAGAACACTGCCCCTAAACCCCTAAACCCCTAAACCCCTAGACCCCTAAACCCCTAAACCCCTAAACCCCTAAACCCCTAGACCCCTAAACTCCTAAACCCCTAAACCCTAAAGTGCATTCGCACGATCTTCCAGGATCCGGGTGGGCCTACAACAAGGCACCGGGGAGACTTGTGAGACAGCCTCTTTAGGCTCAGAGACCCGTCCTCTCCGATCTCCGCATGTGCAGCACGTCGGCCCGCGGTTGCATGTGTCTCTGAAAGGGAGCTTCTTGAGGCAGAAGGGGTGCTGGATCTGTGGCTTCCGACTGACCAGCAGATGTAATGGTAGTCATGCAGTGCAGTATTTGTGTCATGTAAAGCAGAGTGTATGCACGCATAGATGTGTGCATGCCTCTCATATCTCTTTGCCCGGATTCAGGCGAAGTTCGTCTTCGTGGGCGCGGGTGGTTGGGCTTTGCTCATGCTCCAGAAAGCTGGCATTCCGGAGGCCCGAGGCTCTTAGGCAGCTAGGTCATCACGGTTTAGGGTTGAGGGTTTAGGGGAGTATCGCTGTGCAGGTCAGTGGCTACATGGCCTTGCCGGTGACTGGCGACTGGGCGGTGTGCCAGAACCCGGAAGTCGTTGCTCAGCACAAGGCCCTCTCTGACAGCGTCCACTTGATCCTTCGGGCGTGTGGTTTGGGGGGTGGTTGTCTTTGCGGGGAGGTCTTGCGGTGCTTCTACCAGAGATGCAGGACAAGTCTTAAGCAACCCCACTCCCCCCCCCCCCCCCCCCCCGGCAGATAGTTTGTGTGTGAGTTCATTCCCAATTCCGTAACATCTGCCTTCGTCAGGTGAAAGTCTATGCCCCTGGCGCCCCGGGCGCTCCACCCATGTCGATGCCGCACCTGGACTACCGCACCATCGGTGGGAAGGATGCCTTTAGAACCCATCAACGCACATGAACAGCCAGATAGCGCGCACAAAAACAGAGTAGCATGTAATGTATACATATGTACATGTGCTTTTTGCGAGTCTTTACATGCACACATATCCATATGGATTTTATATACAGATTTTATGCACGCATAGTATACATGCTTTGTTCAAGCGTGGCGTAGTGGGGCCTCAGAGCAGGAGATGCTGCTCTTCGGCCCCTTTGGTGCTTCGGTCGCACCCCGATCTTCGGTGGGTTTGAGGGTGGAGGGTTCAGGACTTCAGGACACCCCGAACGGCAAGGTCACAGCTGCTGTACAAAAGACTTCTGTGCAATCCCCCAAAAAACACTCCAGACTTGCTTTTTTTGCCTAAGGACCCTTGCGGGATAACAAGAATATCTAATCCCCGAGCCCCAACTGAAAGGCTCGATGACCATGAAGTTCTTGCGGTATGGCTCCGTGTTGGATGCCTTCAAAGCCCTGAAGCCGCACAACATCTTGCCGACCCTGGGTGCCCTGTCGAAGAACATGAGCCTTGCCGTGATGCTCATGCAGCTTGGTCCCTGAGTTGGGTAACACCTCTTGTTCTTTGTTTTTTTTTTTTTTTTTTAAAGTTGGTCTCACCTTAGTTTTTCTCTCATGGTTTCCTCATGTTTCCTCTAATCTTGGGGCAGAAGACGTTGCTTAGCGTGAAGTTGAAGGGAGCTGAAAATCGGCACACCCCCCCCCCCCCCCCCCCCAGCGGCGATCCCAGGAAGGACGTGTTCAAGTCGGGGGCTGGGAAGCTCCACGACATCCGACACTACTACCCTGAGGCGCCCAGATCGCCTTCGAAGACTTGCCGCAGACTTGAGTCTGGATCGGGTTTAGGGAAGCTTAGGGTTTAGGGTTTAGGGTTTAGGGGTTAGGGTTTAGATGCCGTCATGGCCCTTGCAGGCTGACCCAGATGACTGGGTCTTCATCCCCGCGGGCGTGCGTGCCCAGATCATCAAGAAGGATCCGAAGACCGGGAAGGGCATGCTCCAGTTCGGCACCGAGGCAACTTTCCCGAAATGCGGGGGTTTAGGGTTTAGGGTTTAGGGTTTAGGGTTTAGGGTGAAAATCGGGAGGTACAAGTTGTTGGGGTCCTCATTGTCAGGGCATCCTATTAGTTTGGGATCTCTTTTCGGGGGTCCCCTTATTTTCGTAAACCCTCAATTCTCCGGAAGCCCCACGTGTCTTTGCAAGCCTTCGCCAGGCTTTTTTTGTCTCATTCGGGGTCTTTCCCCAAAAAAGGGGTGCACCTCCTCCAGCCCTGAAAAATACTCCATCCTATTGCCGAGCCCACAGAACAGAAACCGTAATCTTTTCGGAACCCCCCCCTCCCCGCATGAGTATGACTCGTGCTTCGGCAGGTCGTGTCCAACAAGGAGGGCACGATTGTTGGCCTACTGGGTGCATCGCCAGGCCTGGTATGGCAAAATGGGAGCAGTCGGTTTAGGGTTTTTAGTTAAGGGTTTATCCAAAGGGTTTAAAGTTTAGGGGTGAGAGGGGTTCAAAAAGGGTGGCTTTCAAATGGGATGCTTGAGTCTGGTACAATACGCGACGTGAGTTCGCTCGTGCACCTAACTCGCTACAATCCTTACCCCTTCTTCACGGTCATTGAAGTTGGCTCACACTTCAACTTCTGTAATAAGCCATACCTAAACCCTAACCCATCATCGAGAGCATCAGCTTGGCGGGTGGTAGAAAAGATCATCGAGACGAACCGTCTTGTTGCAACAATGGTGAGATGTAGTTCTCCGCAGTTGCACCCTAAAGCCCTAAGCTCCCTAAACCTTAAGCCCCCTACATCCCGGGATGCGGATCAAAAAACAAGTTTATTTAGGATCAAGAAAAAATTTATTTAGGATCAAGAAAATTTATTTAGGATCAAAAAATAATTTATTCGGTTGAGAGAGGGAACCGGAGGGAGGGAGGGAGGGAGAGAAGGAAGGGCGGAAGGACGAAAGGAAGGAAGGAAGGAAGGCAGGAAGGAAGGAAGGAAGCAAGGAAGCAAGGAAGCAAGGAAGCAAGGAAGCAAGGAAGCAAGGAAGCAAGGAAGCAAAGAAGGAAGGAAGGAAGGAAGGAAGGAATAAATCAAGAAATCAAGAAAGAAAGCAAGAAAGAAAGAACAATGAAATAAATAAAAAAAAAAGAAGCAAGGAAGAAGTCGTGCCAGCTTGCTTCAAAGCATACACATCTTTTCGAAACCCATTATGCAAGCATTGTGTTTGCAAATGGGGGGCGGGGCCCACCCCAACAACCCCCCGCTTCATTGAAGTCGTGCCAGCTTGCTTCAAAGTATACGCGTCTTTCGACGCCTCTGATGCGAGCCTGCACCCCCCTAACCCCCCGTTTTATTTTAAGTCGTGCCAGGTGCTTCAGCATACTTTCGAAACCCATGATGCGAGAATTCTGTTTGCGCATGGGGGGGGGGGCGCCCCCCCCAACCCCCCGCCCTTTTTCAAATCGTTCTGGCTTGCTTCAGAGTATACGCATTTTTTGAAACTTCTGATGCCAAGATGCCAGCATTGATTTGCACCTCTGGAAACACAGAAATGCTGCTATTTACAGTATGTCCAGCCTCTGAAAGCGCAGAAATGCTGCTATTTACAGTATTTGCAGCCTCTGGAAACTTTGAAATGCTGCACAGTGTACAGTATGTCCAGCCTCTGAAAGCGCAGAACTGCTGCTATATACAGTATCTGCAGCCTCTTTGAAAACTCAGAAATGTTGCTATTTTCAGTAGTTCCCACATGAATGCTGTGTTTTTTCGGTATTTAGAGCTTGCGAACGGCCAGAAATGCGGCATTTCTGAGCGTTTACAGCCTCCGCTCCGCTTGCAACAAGCCTTCGAAGCCTTCAGTAAATTATTTTTTGATCCCAAATAAGTTTTTTTTTTGATCCGCCTAGAAATAAATTGTTTTTTGATCCCAAATACATTTTTTTGATCCCCTACCCTACATCCCTTCGTTAGCTTGACTACGCAAATACCATTCAGAGACCTTATGGCCTTATGACAGACGAGAGTCGTAATTGAGCAAAGATCGCGTAGTTGTTGATCTAAGGGGTGGCTGCCTCAGGTGATACACCGACATAATTTATGCGTACGGGCAATGTTACCGTGTGCACAATCCGTGCGGGATTCCTACAGGGTTCGGGCTTGTTTTTTTCTTTTTTGACCTATGCTTGTTGAGCTTGGGAATCCTGTCAGCTCTTGGATGATGACAGACCTTCGATCCGAATCCTTGCCTGCCTTGTGCGAGTGTGAGAGCCGAAACCCCTACATCCCTAAACCCTAAATCCTGAACCCTAAACCCTAAACTTTTAAACAACCCCAAAGCTGGCAGGTGCCTCGACCTGCGTCTCCATCGCTCTGGATGTCATCCAGAAGTGCTTCGGGCAGAGGCTTGGAGGCAAGGAGGTGTCCTCTGAAAGGAAGAAGGGGGGGGGGAAGGGAAGGAGGGTAAGGACCCCAGAGTCAGCCCCCAACATTTGCCATGGTAGGGTTTAGAGTGGTGTCAAGCGGGATTACACCCATGCAGTCAGGCAGGAAGGGCTTTGCAGGATTGGGAAGATGTCCGTTAGACAGGGCAGGGGCCGCTACCCTGAGCTGAAAGGGCTGGCCAAGATGCCCTAAACTTTGCAGGCAGAAGTGCTGCCCAAGCCGCACAAGCCTCGTAAACATCCCATCTAAGCCCACCGAAACCCCTCTGAAACCCGTCTGAACCCCCCCCCCCCGGATTTTCAGGAAGCCCGAGTATCAGAAGTGGGCGCCCAAGCTGAAGGCCTCCCGGACTTGTTGGACTTGTTGGGTTCTAAGGAGGTTAGAGGGGGCTATGAGGAAGGGGGTCGAAGGGGGGTATAAGGAGGGGGTATGAAGGGGGTATAAGGAGGGTATAAGGAGGGTATAAGGGGGGTTTAAGGGAGAGTTTCAGGGGCAGTATGGGAGACTTGCGGTTTTAGTGGCTTGGGCGGTTGCTTGGTTGTTTGTTCTTGGTGCGAGCGCTAAGTATCGTGGAGGTGGGATTCAAAAGGGTTTTGCCAGGCAGCTATCAGTTATGTCTGGCACGGTGGGTCCCCAGCTGCCGCGTCTTATAACAAGCTTTCGTCATGTGCAACGGAGTTCCGCGGACATGTCTTTCTGTGTCTTTGGATGGCTGGATCACTTATTAAATCATCAAGCTTAGTTGTGTACTGCTTTAGACGTACTGCTTTAGACGTTTAGTGTTGCGCCCCGGGTTTACCCCCCACCCACCCCCCACCCTCCCCCTTCCCCCCAAACAACTTCGCAATTTTTGGCCCATCCTCTTTGGAGGAGCGGGGGCTGGGGGTAGGGGTCAATGATGGAGGAGGTCAGGGGTCGAGGGTTGAGGTTCTGGGTTTTCAGGCCTTCTTATTCACTCTTTTTTCTATTTTGGGCTCCCTGGCCGGGAGGCTCCGGACGAATCCGGGTGACCGAAACCATGTACTCATGTGCAAAGAGGGCAACTCGCGGGCTACTTGGAGGTTGAGGGTTGAGATGTTCCCCCGTATATCCTCAATAGGGCGATTATAATGGGGGGGGGGGGGGTACTAGAATCCCGATAAAGGACTGTTAGTAAGGGGGAGCATCCCAAGTTGAGGGTCTAAGGTTTCCAAACTTCTCGTAGAAGCGGGTTACTGTCTCTAAACCGGAGGCAATATGATTGTTGCCCTCAACATGCAGGATCATTTTTCGTATTCACAGCAAAAAAATGTTGCGCATCTGTAGCAAATGCTTAAGATTCATCAGTTTGATCGCACATCATTTTAAACAATCTTAGGCAACTGTTCTTCCATGTAACGTTTAATGCACTCTGTCTGTATGGCCGCAAGTCCTGGTTGTGGGCAAAGGAGAGGCAGGTGTGTCCATCTAGAACACCCATCTGCAACACTCTAAACCCTGAACCCTGAGCCCTTGGTTTCGGTTGGTGTTGCGGTTGCCTGTTGGCGTGGGTATGGTTCGCCTTTGTAAGTGCACGCTTACTGATCTCTGGGAGGTCTTGTGACCTGAATCTGCTGTTGGAGTTTCCTCATTCAAAGCCAGATCTCATTCAGCTATGCGGGTGGCAACCAGAGTGCTTTGCAACAGGGGCTATTGACGGAATTGCCTCGCCTGGTTTTTCCCAGTGTGAGCAAATGAAGCACCCTTGTTGAACCTCAACCCTTCAACCCTTTCAACCCCAAAGGCCCCAAATCCGTCGTCCCCGCAGTGGTGTGCCCAGTCGGGCGGAATACAAAAAAGGAAAGCACATAAAGGCTCACGGAATCAAACCAATCGACAACACAAGGCCATGATCCCCAGCTTCTCCCCTGACGTGGCAGCCGGAGACATGAAGAAGGTCACCATGGATGCGGCTTGGTGCAAAAAAAAGAGGGCATCCTAAGTGCCCTGCACCCCACAAAAGGCGCCGGCCGAAGCCTTAAAGCGAGGGATGAGGGCATCTTTGCAGGAAGAGAGTCATGATCCAGAGCCCAACCTGCTTGCAAAGAGCTGGATTCCTCATTCCCGGATGCGGCGAAGATGAATGTAGCATGGGCAGCCTGACTCTACGAAGTTTTCGAGGAGCTCGAGATGTCGACGGTAGCACCCTTGGCCCAGACACACCTTCCTAAAGGGTGCTCGTAAGGGAGGAGCTGCGTCTGATAATCAAGACTCAGGTGGTCAACAAGATCTACACGGAGACCGGCGCCACCCTGAAGATTTTGCCAAAGCACCCTTGAGGCGTTTCCATACTTCTCACCGCAGCAGGACCAGTGGGGACCACCGAACCATCATTTAAGCGCACAGCCCCATTGCTCAGGTAGAGAACTGGGACTGTTTGCACAGCTGTTCTCGGGGCAGATGCCTTCGACAGCCTTGCAGCGACAGAAGAAGACTCATCCGTAGCTGACTGGCTGATGTCAATAAATTTGTCCAGGCCAAGCTACCAACGAACAGATATCTTATTCGGCCTGAGCCGAAACTTAACTCATGAAAGTCCAAATGCTCTCCGAAACTCGGGCAGAGTCCTCCGAAAGCCGTTGCTACCCCATGCCACTTCAGGCATGGACCAATTTTATTGCTTCAAAGAGCTTTGCTGCTCATGATGACCGCGGCCCAGTCGAGGTAATTCGTGCTGATCCCTGTGCTAGTACAGGCCTCATCGATTACTGCGCCCTCAGTGGACGAGTGACCACGACGCGGAGTGATGCCAATGCCGATGCAGAAAAGAGGATCTCACACCCAGCAAGGCTTTGTGTTGTTTCCGGGCATGCCTGAGCTCCATCATGAGTCGGAACCTTGAGATGCATCTTGCTCAGCCCTCTTCATGTATCTTGCTGGCAATCCTTACCCATCAGGCGCTGCACTCCCTGGTGCAGCTCCGGGTGAGCCTGGAGAGCTATGGCGACTACGGCGACCACATTGGACAGACGTGCGGGGTTCTGGATACCTTCCTGGGATCCCTGAAACGTCACAGACACGCCTCCGAGTTGCGAATGGCTCTTTGAAGCCCTCAAGCTGCCGCGTTGACAGATGATGGACAATTTGCCATGGTCTTAAGCCGCAGGACACACTCCGTGGGCTCCGAAGATTCCTGGAGGGTGCTGGGACCTTGTCAAGCTTCATAGTATGGGCGCACTGAAAGCACAAAACTTCCCAGAAATAGTGCAGCCAATCTTGCCTGCTTCAGCAGAACCCCCAGATTGGACCGAGGTCCTGGACCTCTGGAACGGCGGCGACAAAGAAACGATCTCGGCTGGTGAGCTGAAGGTGCACGCATGCGACAATGCATGTGCAGGCGGTATGCTTGCATGGGAGAACCCGTAGTGAAGCGTTTTTTCGTGTCTGCGACAAGCCAATAGCACTGCAGTCCCTCCTGAAGAAAAGAGTTGCCTTTGCTGCTGACAGGCTCTTCTAGCTGAGATCAAGGATGCATCAGAAGATCCCAAATACTGGGAGGAGATGATGCAGGCCTTGCCGGGCTGCACCCCAAACTTTGGAAGTACGGCCAATAAGCCGCTCTTTCGCCCTCAGCGTCCCTAGCCCGCTGTAGGCATTTAGGCTCAGGCTTTGGAACGATGTCCTAGCACGCGAGGCATACGCTTTTCGCGTCATCATGCTAGGCAAGGCGAAACAGCTAAGCTCTTTATGCAGTCGGTTTGTAGACGAACTGCCGCGCTTCCCAGTGTTCAATCCGAGTTTGTGTATATGCAGATGACAGCTCCGAAAAGTGAGTACATAGCTTTGTTCGGAGATGCATGAAACACGCCTTAGGTGTTTGAGAGGAGTCCCCCTTTTGGCCCACAATTAGTGCGGTCGCATGGTGTATGTGACGTATGTGGCTTAAGTCGAGCTCGACTAGTAGTCCTGGTAGTTGTGTGGAGTGTGAGGTCGCGAAGTGGGACGTAGTGCTTCTGCCCACAGAGACCATCCGAAGCCTTGCCCGCCACGTACGAGTGTGAGTGTGAGTGTCGGAGCTGCGGAAAGGACTCTAAGCTGCCCCAAACTCGAAGAAATACGCAACAACAAGCAGCAGAAGCAGAAGCAGAACCAGAAGCAGGAGCAGGAAGAAGAAGAAGAAGAACGAAGAAAGAAAAAAAGAAATAAGACGCAAGAAAGAAGAAAGAAGAAGAGCCTCCTCCCCTGCGAGCGTGCGCACGAGATTGAATTGAAGGCCTTGCCGGGCGAAGGAGGCCTCGGACTCGCTGAAGTCGCCGAGGCGCAGCTTCTTTTGTCATTCTGTGCCATGGTGGCCTAAAGAGGATAACGAAGGGGTATGACATATATAGAGCTTACTAAGTTGCTACCCATGAGCCTCCCAACTGGGGAGAGCACAAGAAGGTGCTGGGATCAGGCTGTAAGAGTCTCGCAGGGTCAACCCCTAGAAGTGTAAATCAGATGCCACATCGATGTGCGATGGAGTTTACACCCGACTGCGAGGACATATTGAAACGGCTCAATGAGGCCAACACTACCTTGGCGTTCAAGGACCGGTTTTGCCAGGGAGAGTGGAAGAGGCGGAGGTACCTTCAGACTTCAGAATGACACAGGTCTAGCTGAGGCAATTTCTCCGAGGGATCGGTTCAGTCCACGGCATCGGCCAGGACACGCTGAGGGGAATGCGACGCTTTTTAGATGGTGTCAGCAGCTTAGTCGGTGGGATCGTAAGCCCCAAGCTCTTTCTGGCGTTCTTCAAGTCAGCCAGAGAGTGCGATCACTTCCATGCTGTATCTTGCCAACAGCGCGTGGCCGATGCTAAGACTCAGGTCTTGGATTTATGGCGTAGCGGATCCAAGGATGCAGTCTCAGCCGTCGAGCTTAAGGCGAGGCACTCGGAGACAAAAGCAAAAAGCCATGCGTTTGATCGCGCCCTGTGCCGTCTGCCTTTGCAGGCCCTGTTGGCTGAGATCCGGGATGCATCTGACGATCCTAAGTACTGGGAGGAAGTGATGCAGGCGCCTTTCCGTGTAATTTAATGTTAGAGGGCCCCAGCCTCGCAGAAATCGCTGCCTTGAATCAGCACTCAGGATGCTTTCAGTTCACAGGCAGCCTTCCTGAAAGGCCGAAAGCCCTGAACGTCAGGTTTCTGGGTGCTGGGGTGGTGCGGGGGTGATCCATAGCCGCCTTGGTTGTGAGAGGACACCGAACATCGGACAGATAGTGTTGAAGCTCGGAAGTCCGAAAGCCTCTGGCACAATCCATCCCAGACCGCTGTTGGTCATGATATGTGATAGACCGTGAACTTTTCTTTGTTACATGTAGGCATTTTGCGATGCTTCTAGGGACCGTGCAGGTTCAACAGGTGATTAGACGAGTTTGGCTCTACAAGACAGTTGAGCAAAGCCTAGAGCAAAGCTGTCGCGTCAACATCCTGCCAGGCAGTGCCCTGCGAAGGGGGGTTCGGCCTGAGCCTTGCGGAGGTGGCAGAGGTGGGCTCCGGCCAAGTCATGAGGAGTGCGGGTATTGGTAACCCCACGAGGGTCAATGGTTGTTAGATCCACCCTGCGAGTGACTCACAGACTACATGCTGCTCTGACCTTGGCACTGCACTGCCACAGCCATTAGCGCTGCGGTGTAGTTAGCGTGCAGGGGTGCACCAGCAGTGCAGACCTACAGCCAGAGGATTAGCCACGTGTTGATGTTGCCATGGTCCAAGCCCTCCGTAATTTTGCGGTTGCTTCATGAACTAGACATGCGGATAGGCCTCAGGAGATCCTTGTGTGTCAGGAGTGGCGCAGCACTTCATACACCTGATTCCAACACAAGGATCAGATTCATTAGATCGCCTGCACCAGTGCGCATGTCAATGCTGCTGGCTCTTTGGATAACTTCGGTTGCTGCCTTGGAGATGGGGCAGCAGTTCCCTCGCCATGATGTACTGGATGGCTACGACAACATGCTGTCTGTCATGGTGTTCCCAGCAAGCGAGCAGCAGGCGGCAGAATTAGACAAAGCCTTCAAAACGGTGGCGGGCGCGCGTGATGAGTTCCACGTCCATGGCGCCAACGTGTCTTTCTGGGGTGAGCCCGCGCTGCTGGAGTACGCGCACTACGGCGGCCAGTTGCGTGCAGAGGACGCCGGGCTCTCACCGACTGGCCTGGCTGCCTTGATCAGTGTAACGGACAATTTCACGGTTGAGAAGGTTTGGGAGCAGACCGCGGCGCGAGGCTTGGCACAGCAAACTCTGGACTTCATCCTCAAGACATACCATGCAGAGAAAGAGGAGCAGGAGGAGCTTTGATTCGTTGATCTTTCCTCCAGCTTTGTTAAAAAAAGAGTTGGTTCTTGCCTTCTTGCTCTCTAGTACAGCAGTAGTTGTTTGTGTGCTGGGGGGCCCGCGGGGTGGGGGGGTTGGGGCCGGGAGGGAGGCCAGGAAAAGAGTGCTGCACGAGCTGGTCTTGCCGCCTTGCCTCATGTGTAACGGGGTTCCTTGAGGGGCCGAGGCCGAGGCGAATTGCAACTTTATGTTTTTCAGTTGTCAGCAATACGATAGGTCCGATAGGCTTCATAGGTGAGGATCATGAAGAAGCGAGTCTCTGCTTATGGGCGGGTTCGCTACAGCGGCAGGCCGTGTGCGTCTGGTTGTCGAGACCTGAGATAAGGGTTATCAAGAGGCACAGTGTGGTGCAGCAAAATAGCTTGAGGCGCACGCTGGAGTCTCGTTATCTGGCCCTCTTGGCAGGGCCAGTTCAGCCGAGGACAGATGTGGTGCGGGAAGAGGAGGAGGAGGATGAGGAGGAAGAAGAGGAGGAGGAGGAAACCGAGGCCCATGCGTGAAACCTTCAAGAAGCCGTGCTTGAAGCCCAGCCTCTTGATCCTCCAATCCTGTCCGCACGTTCGCGGCAGGCCGTCAGCGAGTTGTCGCCCTACCGCAGTGGCAGCGCTCACACCGGCTCGAACAGCCCCAGATTCAGCCTGAAGACCGCTTCTTGTGTGGGCTCATGGTGGAGTTTCTTTGTTTGACATGTTTTGACTTTTCTCACGAGATGCCTTAATGCGGCAAGTGCAAGGAGCAGTGACATAACAAAGTTTTTCCCAGATGGGGCCCAGGGTAAGCAAGACTTAAAGAGTTGCATTCCGCTTTGGGATTGAGAGTCGTGGCCCATGTCCACTTGGCAGTTCCCAATTCCAAGAGCTTTAAGCTAAACATCACCAAAGAAGGACCCCCATGAAAGGCCGCCGACCAACCCTGCCCCAGACAGCAACTCCCATGTCCCGATGTCCCGAAACCACAGGACGGAGCTGCGACAGGCTGAGAAAGCTGGATTTGACTCAGTGGGGGTCTCGATCACTGGAGCTTGCCTGGTGGAATGGGCCGCCATCAGTCCACGCATTGTCTTCTGCCGAGGAGGTTCAGTGATGACCCCTCTAGCTGTTAGCTTCAATGAGGACCTGCTGCGTGTGGTGTGCAGGCTCATGTGTTGGGAAGCCTGACAGGGTGTGAGCCCTTCCGGGTGGGCTGCTGGGTCAGAGGGATAGCAATAGTAGCGCATGAACAGTCATACGAAGAAAAGAGACTGTAAGAGAGCATCACCTCATGAACGTCTCACAAAGCAATGCCATTCAGAACCTTAGACTCCAGCAATCATCATCCTCGAAGTCACAAAAGTTCCCGATCCGAAGCAGTTTCCGCCGAAATCAGGTGACGCCTCCTACGTCTCCACAGGCCCACCTTGGAAATTTCATGTTGGGGTATTATAATTATATTATAATTCATCTCCCTCGTTGCTTGTGGCCATGGCATGGGCGCCATGGAGAATTTCAGCTCAAATACTGGCAGTGAAGATGCTCTGCGTGTGCAGGCGCCCTATGATGCGAGGCAGAACTACCACCGCCGAAGCCCGGGAGCCCGGCATCAGCTGAGACTTGATGTCGACTCATGGCACAGGCCCTTGCAGACCGCCACATCTTCAAAGTTTCTTGAACTGAGAGTTAAGATCGCCTCCAACCTCAACATGAGAAACACGCTGCATGCCCGCAGAGCGCGCACAAAGGCAGTCTTGGAGACCTTCGGAGTCCCGCTTCTTTGCATCGGGACGGGAGCTGTTTAGGGTTTAGGGTTTAGGGTTAGCTGAGTCTTTACGACCGACTTGTGGCTTCCAAGCTGGCGCCATCGTGCGCTCTCGATATTCTGCCCCAGGCGCCGTGCCCCAGACCTTTAGGCCCCCCCAAGCGCCCACATTGCGGGCCCCCAGGACTCCCTGGGTGTGGGCCCTTCTTCGGAGATCCTCCGGGCGCAGGAGAGCCGGGAAGTCCTTCACTGCCCCCGAAAGTCAGACAATGTTCGCAGTGGAGGGTGGATCCTTGTGTTCGTGGCTTTAGGCTTTCGGGATCCTTGAGAGGGATCTGCTGACCCCCCACAGGAGTTAACAGAGCTCATGCGGAGGGCGGTGGACGCTTCAGGGGATGCTTCGCCCTCAGATCCCATCTCCAAACTCTCCATCGTAAATCCTAGCAGGCCCTAGCAGTGCACGAGTCGAACGTGCAGAGATGGTGCTGGTGACCCGCCCTCTAGCGGTCTGGTATCTCAGGTCCCTTCCCAGAGGGCCATGCAGAAGCTCAACATCGCCCATGATGGGATTGCCCGACAGCTGCAGCAGCAGGCGGTTCGGAGTCCTGCGCGTTAAGCTCGTGGGGTGTTTGGGGGGTGTTTGGGGGGTGTTTGGGGTGTAGCTTCTGACGGAAGGTTTCTGGGAGCTCGAGGCTTGGTAGGCCCTCCGAGACCCAGCAGCTCCTTGGACATTGCAACATGGACCAGATCAAGGCAAAGGCCGAAACCGAAGTTGTAAAGAGCCCACGCACTGAAGCCCACATGAACCTGCAGAGGTACCTGGGTCTCTGACCTCTCTCTCTCTCTGCCTATTGGCATGCACAAGCGCACAAACCAATGGAAGGGTCCGAAGCTGAACCCCCCGAGCGCTGTTTGGAACGCAGGAGGCCGAGCTGATGGAGCTCCGGCGTGGCCGGGATACGATGGAGAAGCGCCTCAGGGACGTGGAGGAGGAGATGGGAACCCGAAGACCTTAGCTTGGTGGGCTGATTTTGGGGGGGAGGCCCTCGGCTCTCTTCGTGACGCATGCCAAAGGGTGCCGCGAGGTTACAGGGGAGAACCGTTCTCCAAAAATATGCACATGTCGGAACTTCGTGGACTCGTGGACTGCACAGGGAAGGGTGTTCATTGCAGCCAGCAGCCGACGCGACATCAATGGCAGATATCAATGCTTCCACAAAGCATGCAAAACAAAAGAACACGCAACCGAGCCAAGCTTGCTACAAGAAAATCGAGTGGTTTTAAGAAGCAGCAGCCGCAGAAGTCGCACCGTGAGGACCCGCCTCACTCCAAACAGTGCATCGGTAGTGACGCCAAGACACATAGCCGTAGCCTGAGCTCACAAAGTGCACAGGCAGGCACAGCCCTTGGCAGCCCGACACCCATTGAAACAGCCGCTGAAATAAGCCCATGTGGCCTTCGTCGGGTTTTCCCTGCCCGCCGCCTGTGCCTGTGCCGCTGCACGCTGGCCGTGGCTGCACTGGCGAGCAGAGGCTGGAGAGCTTGCCGGAAATCGAATGTGAGATTCGGATTCTGGAGGGCAGGACGACACCGCTGCCGGTGTGCATTCACCTTCAGTCCTACTGTAATTCCTAGGTTCCCTAAAGCCCTCCTACTACACATTGACTACTTACTTATTCCAATCCGAGCAGGCCACGATGGCCGTTGCAGGGGATCGCCGGCCCCGCCTTCGCGCTGGCCCTATCTGTGCGGCATGCGCAGACCGGAAGGTGCACATGGCTTAGGGGGCGGAAGGGCTCTTAAGTCTTAAGTCCCTTCAGCGTTCCGAAGGTTTCCAAGCGAGGTTACAACCCCAGCTCCAATTTCGGCTTTCAGGATCAAGGTTGACGCGGCCTCCTTGGTGAATTTGGCAGTGGTGATGCTCGTCGCTGCATCACTAGCGGTCGCAAGATGAATGGTGTCAGGAGCACCACGAGCAGCTGCTGATGTTGTACACCCCCAACCTCACTTTTCCAAATCTAAGCCCCAAAGTGCCACCAAGCCTCGCTGACCCGGAGCTTCCCCTAAACCCTAAACCCTAAACCCTAAACCCTAAACCCTAAACCCTAAACCCTAAACCCACAGGCGATGGAGATGTGCCATGCGCAGCGGCGGTCTTCGCCAGCTTGGCGCGAAGATTCGGTGGCTTTGGCTGCTTTGAGGGTTCCTTCAGGATCACGGCGTTTAAGTCGCAACAAGGGTGCGCCCTTTTTTTTAAACTTGATGGCGGATTGCACTGATTGCACTGTCGCAGAGACTCCCACGACTCGTATCACGCCATCTGAAGCTTAGCTTCCAGGCAGCGTCTCTTCAGCGGTGAGGGCCGGCTGAAGGCAGATGCTTTGGCTCCATGTCACCCGCAGATAGTCGGATTCGATGGATAGAGTTTTGGGTCAATTTCTCTTTTCATGTGGTGATGCTTTCTACTGCTCGACTTGCAGGGCCCCAATACAGGCCCAAGGTCCGAAACTGGGTCCACAGGAGCTGCCCGATCTCATGAAGACGCCGCAGATGATCTACGAGGCGGAACCGTGCAGATCGCGGTCCAAGTGTTGTCCGAGCGTTTTTTTAGGGCCGTCCGAGTCAGGAGAAGCTGCGGCCGCTGGAACAGGAGCTCCAGTTCGAGAACTTCTACGACACGGCGGAGCTGACCGGCGCCTATTTCACCTCAAAGCCCATGGTCCTGGTCCTCGGCCAGTACTCCACCGGGAGCCTCGGCTCGAACAGAGAAGAAGCGATGTGTGGTAAATTCCTGCGGTACAATGAGAAAGTCTTGGAGCTAGTGAATCACGACGTCGCCACTAGTGACTCCTCAGATCAGGAAAAGTACGCTGATCTCGCAGCTCCTCAAGGCTCGCATGCGTTGAGTTGGCAAGAGCCATGAACGAACTGCACCTCATTGCCTCATTGCTCTCTCCAGACGTCCATCCTTGATAGGGCCCCTTGAGACAAAACCAGCCGGTTGGTTCCAGTGGCTGTCTGTGAGTCGAGGCGGAGTATCCTGGCCTTCGAATTGGACCTGAGCCCACAACCGACAAGCCCCCATGGCATCGCATTAGGGGACACGAAGGGTTTGCTGCAAGGTTTCAAGGGGGGACCGGGGTGGAGGGGAGTAAAGGCCAAGGGCTGAAGCCCGAGGTTCGTGGCTATCATGGGCGGCCCTTCGCGCCAGCAGCTGCCAGGACAGGGGCCTCAGGGGCACACAGCCGGGATGGTTGAGATTGAGATGGCGCATCTCAACTGGACTCGGCTGCGAGAGTTTCCGAAGATTTCCGAAGGCTTTGCGCTGTGCAGCAACCCCTCGCAGCCTTTCGGGCAGCTGCAGTCGCTTGGCCTCAAGAAGCCCTCTCCCGTCGAAATTTAAGTCCCTGTAGAAAGCCTAGACCCTGGACCTTACACTCTAAACCCCCGCCGAGTACACCTTGAAAACCTCGGAGGGTTCCATCCAACAGTCTCGGAGGCGCTTTGGGAGCCGCTTTCTGGAACGCTTTGAGGGTGCTCTGATGCCTGAGAACGAGGCACTCTGGACACGTTTTTGGGTTCCCCCAGCTTTGGCGGTTTTTGCGCTTGAAGGGTTTGATGAACCCTGCTTGCTGCAGTCAGTCGTCACTGACGTCTTAAAGAGAGTCCAGCTCTGAGGCTTGGAAGGCTTAGGGCCAAACAACAGGCCCCAGGGTAGTCTTCTGATTCGTTTGTTTGCATATGGCATTCTTGTAGCCTTCCTCTTGGAAGGTGCCAGTCCTGAGCTGCTTGAGCTTCGTGGATACCCCGGGCGTCCTCAGTGGAGACAAGCAGCGCGTGGGGCGCAGCTACGACTTCGAGGGTGCCCAGGGCCTGGGGCAACTAACAGACTGCGCAGACTGCAGCCTTCGATAGCTGATAGCTTTGGCCAAAGAGGCCCCCCTACAGTAGAGTCCTACTCGTAGAGCCCTATACTCGTAGAGTCTTTGACGGGTTTTCAGCTGGCAGCCGTAGCCATGCCTTGCCATGATCTGGGAGGTGTCATGGGCTGGTTTGCAGAAAATGCAGACCTGGTTATCGTGCTCTTTGATCCCAACAAGCCGCCCGGACAGACAGCCTAGCAAGCAGCCTAGCCATGAAGTGGTTCACCACGACGACGGGTTGCGCATGCCTTGAATTCCCAACCTTGGCAGGGGGCATGCCACTCAGAAACATGTTGGCGTATCCAAAGGTTAGACATCAGCGATGAGTTCCGCCGCTGTCTCGAAGCCTTGGGCAAGAAGAGCGAGAGCAAGATCCGTTTTGTGCTGAACAAGGCACGGCGCGTAGGGTTCAGAGTTGGAAAACTTGCGCCAACGCGGCTGCCGCAGGCGGAGAAGTTGGATCGATTTGAGCTGGCCAGGGTCTACGGGGCCCTCATGTGGTCCCTGTCCAAGGTGATCAACAGCCCGGAATCCTGGTGTGGAGTGGGTTAGGCCTGGACAAGGCGTTCACATTCGCTTCCCAAAGAAGGGCTTCTGAGTTCTGAGCCACCCCTTCCCCTGAACCCTGAACGACACATAGCAACCCCCTACACCTTCAGCATCCTTGAGCCATCTTCAGAAGCCAAGGAGATGCCACATGTGTTCTTGAGCCCCGCCTCCGATCAGCTGGACCTGTCCTCGGAGGCCTTGCCACTGATTTCCGTTCGAGAATACCCATGGGCCCACGTCCACACATGTGTGGACGGTTGTAGATGCACGCCAAGAGCAATACTTCGCCATGGATGCGTTATTGACCAAGAAGATGTGGATGTTTTGATAAGAGCCTCGCGGTCGACCTGGGTTGGGTAGATGATGGTAGACGTGACCTAAATGTGCACAGCAGCAGCTATGGCCCATTGACTAGCGAAGCGAGAGCTACGGTTCAGAGGAGTACTGTAGGAGCAGCCAGTCGTCGCCAGTCCATGTGAGTCTATAGGCACTCACCTTCTTCCAAGCAGAGGGTGCAAGGCTGAGACGCCCGGCTTAAATGTGAGCGGGGAGACTGTAGGAAGCCAAACAGAGCAATACTCGAAACAGCCGGGACATATTCAGCATTTGCAGCCGCGGGCCGGGACAAGATTTGCTGCCGAGCATGATGAAGCCTCGTAGCCGTGCGCCTTTACTGAAGTGCAGCCAAGGGCAAGAGCTGTTCCAGGTGCCTTTGGACAACACCACCCGGAAGGTGCACGACCTGTGGTCAACCCTGGCATAAACAAGCCGGGCTCACAAAGTTCAGTAACCCCTGAACCCTGAGAAACGTGCACAGTGTCCTTGTGTAGACTCAGTATGTGCTGGGATGCAGAGGTCCCTTGGCAAACCCCACGGCGCACCCGTCTAGTGGCAGAAGTGGATGACAGCAGAGGGCCTGGGCACAGCTTAGCCCAGGTGAACGACCTCTTGCGAAGAGGGCGGCTCCTGCGCTGCCATGCTCTGCTGGCACCCCGGGCTCAGGGGACCTTTCAAAGCTCTGGTCAAAAAAAAACCCGAGGTGCCCCTAGCACAGCTCCACCAGGTGCCTCTGTAGATGAGACCCTCACACATAAGGGATGCGTGCTCCATAATGGATGAAGGCACCCAGAGTTGCAGGATGTCTTTGCTTACCACTTACCACTGGCCATTGAGGAGATGGGGTCTAGAATGTTTCAGAGCAATACTTGCAGAGGTCAGGCCACGCGGTGTCCCGAACCCCCCCTAGATTGCCCTCAAGGCTACCTTTTTGTCGCTGCACCTTGAAGTGTGCTGTAGCGCATCATGCGAGAACGTGGTTACTGTGAGCAGCTGCTTTCCAATCTTCCGCCGCGCAGTTGTGCTCATGGCAAGCCGAAAAAACAACAAGTGGACTCAGAAAGTCTACTACCATCGTAATGGATCTCCATCCAAGTCATTTGCCTTGCCTCGTGTGGCTGCGACCGATGAGCTCTGACTAATCCTGTGGAGGTGCAGCGCTTGCTGACCCTGCGAGGCCCCTTCGGCCGGCGCAAGGCAGCGCAGCCTGTTATTGGCTGCAAGCTGTTATGGGTGTCGCTGTTTTTGTGTCGCTTTTTTGCACGAGGGGTAATGTGAAACGAATGTGATGAAATCATTTGCTACTCAGCGCCTTGCGGTCGTGCGGAAAGCTTTTGCATCTCTTTTTTGATGCCTAAGTTCATTCGTTGACCGGTCCTTATCTACGTTCGACATTTCGCAAGTGCACGCGTAGCGCCTCCGTCCAGACCACCCTCAACACCGTGCACACGGAGATGCAAGGGGTTTTGCACGAGTTTGTGGAAGCATCTCCAGGTCCTCCGAGAGACCATCACCGACCCGGCAGCCCGGACTGTGCTTTCAGCGCCTAAGAGCTGCTGGCATCCTGTTCGGGTGGTTCCGCTTCAGTGAGTTCCAATTTTTCGCTTCCCAGGATGTTCGTAAGAGTCCCACGCTGTGTGCGAAACATCTCGAGGTGAAGTTGGCCGCAGAGTGCGCGAAGGTAGCCCAGGCACGCATGGGGTTGCATGAGCCTAGCTAGGCTTTGGGCAGAGGCTTCTAGCCCACGCTCTCTGCTTACCACGCTTTCCATCACACACAGTGACTGTTGTCAGTCCAGCGGAATTCCTCTCGAAGACTTCCCATCCGCTGCTGCTTTGTGTCTCAGCCGATGACAAGATGATTTTGTTTGACTTCCCCAGGCCCTTCCCTGTACACCTCGTTAGCCTTGGCTTTTTCTCTGAAGTGGAATGCGAAAAGACCTTCGAGCCATGAACCGCACTTGTCTCGTCCGAGAGGTGAGAGTGTCATAGCCTCTGTGCCCAGTGCTCTTTCCAATGGTTGCGTGTAGTGCAGCATGATCCTAAGATGACCCAAGGACCACGCAGTTCCTGAAGATGGGAGACGAGCCATTGCAGGAACCTCCCTCGGAACCGCCCTCAACCCCCAAGCTACTGGAGCCCTTTATGTTCTTTTAGCAGCGGGTTTCTTGGGTAGGTTGTTTATGGTTGTTTTGGTAGTTTAGCGATCGGACGATTTATTTGCAGATCCCCGCAGAGTGGCTCTAAGGAAGATGGGAACAGACCCTCAAATCCCACAAGCCTGCCTAAAACCCACGAATATTTAGACTGGCTTCTTCCAGCCTTGCGAGGAAGTGCCGGCTGCCCTCCTACGCAAAGCGGAGGCACTCTTTCAAGGGGTGTTGCAGGGCCGGCCATGTTACAGGCCATGTTCAGTTTATCAGTTACCGTCTCGTCCTTGACATATACGACGCCTTATTCTGCGCAAGGTGCCATGGTTCTACTGTCGGAAATCTTCGGAGCTACAAGTTCTAAAGTTTTGGAGCGATTGAGAACCCGAATCGGCCAACGAGATGCAACCCCGAACCATCGAAGACTTCCCCAGGAGGCACTGAGCACCGACATCCCACTGCTGTTGGACAGGCAATCGCTTTCTTTTGTTGGTTTGCTTCTGTTCCATCGTCGGGCTCAAATAGTGTCATCTCTAGTGCTGGAAGATAGCTTTGTGGGGCAATAGGGCCACGGAGAAGCACGCACGTGAGTTCAGCCATACCCGGCGCTGGACAGGGTGGCGTCGGAGCGAGAGCAGATGATCCAAGAGGCCGAAAGTAGGGTGGATCCGTAATCAGCAAAGAGAGCGACCCTCCGCCATGATTTCTTCTTCAGCACGGATGTGCTTCCTTCCACAGCGCTGCGTCACAAGCGTACGTTTACTGGTACCCCCTGTAGGCAGAGCGCGTGTGGGCGTGCAGATGTGTGCAGATGTTGTTACTGCTTCCGTGCCAGGGGCTGCCGATGCTTGACTTGCTATTGGACCCGAGCAAGGAGGAGTCGTCGGCTAAGGAGTCAGTGACGCCAACGGGGTAGTCTTTTCAATTGCCCTGCGCACGGGTGGCAGGGTGGGCTTGCCCAAAGATGCAAGCCATGATTTTGGCCAAGTGTCAAGCCAGGCCGAGAACTGTACATAGATTGAGCTCCGTGGCCGTGGAATCCAAGCCGTGGACAGCGCTCGGGGTGCAGTTGCAGCTTCGAGCAAGGTAGGCTTACAGACGCAAGTTCGCTCGGAGAGTCTGCTGCGCAAACAGTCAGCGGCAGGGTGGGAGGTGGCGGAACCTATGGGCAATGGTTTGCGCTGAACCTTGAGTCTGAGAGGAACTGGGCCATGCGCACGAGCTCCAACACGAGGTTGCCGATAAGACATGCCAGGGCCCTAGGCAAGTCAGCAAGCTTCGCTTCAACGCAATTGTCCAGAAGCATTGTTCTGCCAGCGGCTGATCAGTCATTGGGCCCCTAAACCCTAAGGCCCCATAAGCCCTAAACAACAAAACCCCTGAACCATTGGGGGGCCCAGCATGGGGCGGAATTCTGTTGTGGCAGGCCAGCTCGACGAGTTCTCTCGAAAGGCAGGGACCCGTCTCAGGCAGTTGCATAGCACGGGCTTAAAAAAGGGGACCCTGTCAGAGTCTGAAGCGCTTGTTAGGATGTTATCTGTTTTATGATATATATATATATATATATATATAGATACATACATATACATACATATACATACATATACATACATATACATACATATACATACACACACATACATACATACATATATATATATATATAGATGAGATATTCAGCTTTTCAGGGTCAAGGCAAGGGCCTATGGTTGCCTGCTGCGGAGGCGTCGACTCTGGAGGCAGACGTCCAAGAGCCCGCCGGCTTGCAACCGAACATGCAGGGTTCAGGGTTTAGGGTTTGGGGTTTAGGGTTTAGGGTTTAGGGTGTAGGGTTTAGGGTTTAGGTTTTCGGGCCAGTTCTAAGTGTCATTCCATCCTGAAGCAATTCTGCGCATGGCCATCGGGGATAGTCTCGTTCTTGAGGTTTCAACTTGGCTTCGCCCGCCTGGCCCATCTGAATAAGTAGTTTATGGTACCTAAGCCCTAAGCCCTAAACCCTAAACCCTAAACCCTAAACCCTAAGGCTTATTTCGAAAACTCGGTGACTCTACATGCTGGGATGCGGCAGCTCAGGTTGCAGCATCATCTTGCCGAGTCTCAGCAGGAGCAGCTGTACTGGCGGGTCAAGAGCAGAGACGTTTCTGTTTTTTGTGCCAAGACCAAAAAGGATGGTTTCGGATCATCTTGGGCTTTTAAGAGGGATCTGGCTTACCTCATTAGTCTCGGCGCTGCCACTTCTACAGGCTCAGAAATCTGCTTGTAGGCACTTCTGGCACGTCATGGCAATGCCTGCTTTCCACTGCGGTGATGCGGCGAAGCCCTCGCTGGAGACGCCCTCCAGCCTGCCGGCTGTGCACCTGCAGCTACACATGGTCGAGAGCGCCATCGCCAATGCGGAGCGGGATTTGGAGGTGGCACAGCTTGGCATAGCGGTCTTTGGCGAGGTGTAGTGAAGATCGAGAAGTGCCTTAGACGTCTGCGTGTAGCAGCCGGTTTATCCGCCAAGTCTTGAGATGAAGACTGAGACGCCGCCCAGGCCAGTTGGCTGAATGCCTGCTTTCCACCGCCGGCTCATGGCCTCTACATTGATGAGGCGGTATTCCCCCCCCGCCCCTCCCCCCCCCCCAACCCCCTCCCAAAAGTCGGAGCAAGAATGCAGTGGCCACCAGTAGTCAGAACAAGGAGTGGGGCTTCGCCGGCGCGCCCCAACTGCGACGGTGCTCCGAGGAGCCACGGAAACAGCGTAGCAAGACAGGGTGTGTTGTCAAAACTCAGTTCTGCATAAATGCATGCTCTCACCGCCTCAAAATGAGTGAATCTTCGCAGCTCGGTGCCGAACTGCCACAGGCCTTGACCGACTTCCGTGACGCACGGCAGAAGCTGTGCCTGGGACCGCCTTTAGATCTTCCAAGAGCTTTGAAAGATGTGCCTCGGAATCCCTTTTCTGGGGAAAGACAGAGTGATATGTATATAAAAAATATATATGTGTATATACATATATACGTATATACATACATATATATATATATATATCATGTCCGATGTCCCAGTCAGGTTGTTTCGGCTGGAAGAGCTGTCCGACGAGCCTCAGGGCAGCCGGCAGGCAGACCCTGAGGCAACTGCAGAGGAGAGCTTCTTGTGAGTCTGGGGTGCAATGCAGGGTTTGGGGTTTAGGGTTTAGGGTTTAGAGTGGCATATACTGCATGTTGGGAGACCTTGCAGTCAGGAGGGCATGAAGGAGAAAGTCCGACATTTGGAGTTCAAGCTAGCAGATGCCGAATCCTGGAACGACAAGATGAGTGAAGCGGTGCCTTGACAATAGCTCGGATGCGGGTCAATCCTGTTTGCACAGCTGGTTAGGGAAGGCGACGTGCAGCAATTGCATGATTGTGCTTCGCCATGCTCAGATGCAGAAGCTCCTGCAGAAACAGGCGGCCGGGATTTTGTCTAGGCTGTCAGGAAATGGGTTGTGGAAATGACTGAGGGCCAAAATTCGAAAGTTGGGTTCAATGACCTCAATTCGGATAAAGAGTGAAAAGAAGGACGTTCACCCCTACCTTGTCTCTTCATAGGCGAGCGACTTACCTTGTAGTATCGACCGCTGAGTTAAACTGGACAAGTAGATGATCTTGGGATTGATCTAAAACCATAGTGTAAGTGCACAAGGATATGACCCCTACCCCATACTTAGGCGCGCACCCCAACGCTTTTCAATCGTGAAACCTCAACTCTAGTCGCCGTGGTCTGCAGTGTGGGAAAAACCCCCTAAGCTGCTGACCGAGACCTTCTGAAGCCCTTGTCCTGTTCAGGGGTTTAGGGTTTAGGGCTTAGGGTGCAAGGAGTCCAGTTGCAAAAAGGGTTTGGGGTGCGCGAGTGTGAGAGTCGAAGCCCCCAAACAGGGCCCCATCTTGTACAACCTTCAAGAGGCCGTGCTCGAGCAGTCGGTGCAGTCTCTGGAGGCACAGTACCCAGGCAGCATAGGGGGGATGTGGGGTTTAGGGTGTAGGGTGTAGGGTTAGGGCGATGCCGGCAGTGCTGAGGAGACCTGAAGAAGGGTCCCGGAGTTTTTAGGGGGTCTTTGGTATTTTGGGTTAAGGGTTTCGGGTTTAGGGTGTGCAAAAGGGTTTGAGGGAAGTTGAGGACAGGTGGCCCGGTTTGCGGTGTTCGAGTAGTGTGCCCTGCTCCCAGCTGATGAGAGCAAGAGTCTGGGTTGAACAAAGGGCAGGTTTGGCATGAGCAGACTAAGACCTCTGAACCCTCAATACAGCAAAGCCTGTCACAGGTCTACAGTTGGGTTTACCGCAACCCTGACCTATGCTCGAAAAACGCTTTTCCCGGACTCTCTCAGCTTTCAACAGCCTAGGGGTGACGACCTACTCTTTGGGGTCTAAGGAGGGTAAAGGCGACGCGCCTCAGTGGGAGCGCGGAACCTCCTCTCGAATCGGGGCGTCCGCGCCCTCACCCTGAAGCGCAAACCTCGGCATCCAAGGTGCGCTGAGCTTCAGCACCAGAAGGGCGCTGCGGAATCCTGTGTCTGGCTGTTTCTTAGGGTTCAGGGGATCCAGGAGGTTGGGTTCGTGGTGCTTCGATGGTAGGGCTGCGAGTTGTGATTAAGAGGTTTGTCTCTGGGCCTAATGCGGTCAGTGAGTCGGCAGAGAGCCGCACCAATCCCCAATCTCCAAAGTGCCCCAACAATGCCCATTCAGGCAAGTCATGCCTTCCCCCCTATGTGCTGCTGGGTATTCAGAGGTAAGTCGATGCAGTGCAGGGAGTGCAAACCGACCAAGTCCTTGCCTGCTGCGTGCAAGCAACCACCCAAGGCAAGGATCAGGCTCAGCGGTGGTTGGAGAGCGAGCGGCTAGCACATCGGGCGGCGATGGAGCAGCTGCGCGCGGAGAACGAGCCTTGGACACACCGAAAGCCTCAAGAGAAGTTGTACTGTGCAGTACAACCTGAATATTTAGGACCCTCTCTCATATACGGGGTTCCCATTTTGACATTCCCAACTTACCCTGCTTGTAGCACGACGTGCAAGTGCAAGCACAACTGAATCCCACCCGACAAATTCCGACAATCGAGACTGGCGGTGACTACCCTCAAGGTCAGGAATCCCTCACAACTCGGGGATTGCTGTAAACACCAGACGCGCAACGCTACTGGAGCACACGCTGGAGCACGCTCTACCAGCTTGACTCTGGCAACGTTGACACATCGTTTTCAGTGGAGAATCTGAGGTGAAGTTGCAGATGGAGAATGCGGCGCTTGCTGAGTGCCAGCTCCTGCAACAGCTGCGTGCTGATAGACTGCAGGAGGAGAATGACAAGCTTCGAGGACTGGGGTGCAACGCCGTAGCTATCCAAAGTCGTTGCTGCTATTTCGCTGCCCATGTAGGAGGGTAGGAGGTCATGATTGCTCATTCTGTTTGCTGTCATTCAGCTGGAGGGGTTCGCCTGTGACATGTGCAAGGCCTCGAAGTCCATCCAGAGATGTCTCGGGTCGTATCTGCAACAGACTGCGACGCGTGCAGCGACGTTTCGTCCTGGGTTCCTTGGCATACGTGCAGCAGATCCACGACTCACGGTTATGAGGCACTCTTCAATGCCTCTTCAATATTCCCTGGCGGCGACTTGGGCCATGGCGTAGCGGCCCAATGCGAGAGCATGCGAGAGCTCAGGTTTGCGTGCCAGGCAGCGGGCGGCACGCTTTTGTGGCGGGGACTACGCTGAAGGTCAAGGTCGGACAGGCGTTTGAGTACCTGCAGGCCCAGCAGATTTTAAACGAAGGTTCATGGGTCGGTCGAACGGAGAGTTTTCCTGTTTGAGTGGCATAACGAAGCTACGACCTCAATGTCGGATCCCTCTTGGCTTATGGCACCAACTTGGACCCATGTCCCTTCAAGCAGCCCGTGACCCATGGTTCTGCAGCTCGCAAGCCGTAGCCGAAGAGCTAGGTGAGCCTGGACAGGCCAAGGATCTTCAGAAAGGAGCGCAAGTAGTGGCCGCTGATGACCAGACGCTTTTGGAGGCTGGGCCTTCTGCCCCTGTCAGAGCGCAGCTCTGCCAGGTTCGGAGTCTGCGTATATGTTTCTGTGATTTTCTGTGCATGTTTGTACACATTCATATATGCACATGTATATATATATATGTATGTGTATATATGTCGGTATTCATGTCCATGCGACGTGCGTGTACCTATGCATGTATGTATGTATGCATGCATGTATGTATGTATGTATGTATGTATGTATGTATGTATGTATGTATGTATGTATGTATGTATATATGTATGTATGTGCATGTATATATGTATGTACATGTATGTACGTGTATATGTGAAAAAGCTACATGTCTACACGTATTGTTTACCCTTTTTGCACATGGTTGATCCTCTTGCCTAAACCCTTACTAAACCCCGTAGATGTGGATGCGCCCCAGCTGTGCAGGAGGGACAAAAAACCCGTAGAGCATGGCTGGACGGGTGGCAAAAAAAGGAAGGAACCCAAACCGCTCTTCGCCCCCCGCCCCCCCTCCCCGGTTCCGAAACCCTAAACCCGAAACCCTAAACCCTAAACCCTAAACCCTAAACCCTCCCGGCAGCAGTAGGTTCTCGATGTCCCAGAGACGCAGAGCTCCACAGAGGTGGTGGAGCTGTGGACGCGGGATCGGCGGCTCGGCCTTCACGGGCCTTGCTAAGTAGGGTTTAGGGTTCAGGGTTTAGGGTTGAGGGTTTGGGGGTAGATGCTTCGCTATGGTTCGGCTTCAAAAGCATGCTATTTGGATCATGAGTCTTATCCCTACTTGAAACTCTGACTCTGGCTCAAGCTGTCACTTAACCGAACTTTCATGCAAACGACCAGAAGCTGAGCCGCAATGTTCGCGCTGCTTCTTTTCATCTACTTTGTGCCCTCAGCAACATTGGAAGTACTGGACATTGGGGCGCCGCGTACTGGCACCCAGTCCATGCACGTGGCAATGAACATGCTTGGCCTCAACACACTGCACAGCGGCTATGAGTTTGCCAAGAGGCAGTCTTGGTGCGAGTACCTTTTCGCCAACGGCTCGCTGCAGGAGGCAATGGAGACTTTGGAGGGCTTCGATGCTGCGATGGACGAACCCTTCCAGCTCGTGTACAAGGAGATAATGGAGGCTTGGTAGGCAGTGGTACCCTTTACCCTTTTTCTTTTGGGTTTTTGGGTTCTTTTGAAAAGTAACCAACCAAAAAAAGGGTAGCCTTATTGTAATATGGTTGCTGGGCTACTAAGGAGGCCTTCCCGAAGGTGAAGTTTGTCCTGACAATCTCAGACCCGGAGAGGTGGTATGAGAGCTATGTGAAGCTTACGAGAGGCATGGCGGAAACCAAGAACCGCACTGGGCCACTATTTCCTTTCCAGTCCGAGAAGTGGTCGACGAACGAAGAACTGGTCACTTGCACAGCCGCGCGTTACTGGGGCTGCGACTTTAACAACCCGGACGCGTCCGAGGAGTCCAAGGAGCAATGCTTGGAGGCAGAGCTCACCAACCCAGACAACCCCAACTAGGGAACAGACGTCATCACCCTAAACTTTTTAAGCACCTTTAGCCGCTCACGCGAACACTGGTCTAGGTGCGTATCCCGTGGCGTCAAGAGGGCAGCCCGCATCTTTCATCTACATGCTTCCCTAAGGACCTAAGATTTCACGAATTTGCAGTCTTTCTGTTCGTGGGTAGCAGGGTGATGCAGGGTGCAGCAAGCTTTTTATCAGGCTTCAGATCTGGAATCTTGTATTTGTATGCCCTTGGGAACTCACTGTACGGGTATTCCTCAAGATCCCGCGCTTTCTGCATGCGCAGTCCTGCAACATGTGGAAAGTTACCAACTCGTCGGCAGGGTTGATGCATCAGCAACGTTGGCGTCCGAATTGAGCGCAGCCCCTCTGTAAGCCCATGACGAGTCTAATTAAAGGCCCCTGATGGAATCTTGCTTGGCAGTTCATGCTTACTTCTAACCCCAATCATAAGTCGACGTATAATCGGGGTTCCAAGTAAACTCCTAAGGAATATGTGGAATGGTGCGCCAACTCCAACATTTAGATCAGCCCTGATTTCATTGTTGGCTTTTCCTCCCTGCAGGGCTACAAGCAGCACAATGAGCGAGTTCAGGAGGTCATTCCTGCCGACCGATTGCTGGTGTGCCTTGGACAACGGTTCAATCTGCCCCATCGAAGAGGAACAGCCCTCCCCCCGTGCCCCTGATGAAGACTCTGGTCCAGACGAAGGTAGACTGTAAACCCTCAAACACGCTGTCCGTTCCAGTCAGATGCTACAACCCTCAACCTGCCTGGGACGGGACCCCTGTGGTGTGCAGGTGGCAAAACCTTCACTAAGCCCTAGAGCGGCCCACGTTTCGGCCTCTTCAAACTAGTAACTAGGAGCAAGTGTGCTTTCGGGAACGGGCTCGGCTGAAAATGGCGTTTCCGGAGTTTTGGGTTTTGTGGGCTTCTTTCAGAATGGCCTTCTGATGTTGATCAAGGATGTGCTTGGGATCATACGGCAAGACTTTCAGGCTTGGTTGAGACTTGCTCTGACGCCTCCCCTAGTCTGAAGGTGTCTTGAGGAGTTCGTGACGTCGATGCTTCAGAAGAGGTCCGCATTCCCATTCCTGCTAAACCAAGGTTCAACTTTGCAGATGGCTGGGCGCCGCTGGCCCACTTCCTAGGCAGGCCCATTCCGGATGCGCCGTTCCCACATGTAGATCTGCCTGGTCTCCTCTTCGAAACTTGGCTTAGCTCAGCAAGATTTGAAGGTTTGTAGCTTCACTCACTCAGAACCTTACTCGCGTGGTTCTCCAACTTCAGCCATGACACAGGAAAGGGACATGCCTGAGGAGGTCTCGACGGTCTCATTTCTGCAGGAGTCGATCCAGCTAGAGCTCTGAGCTTGAACTCCGTTCACCTACCCAGGCCGAGCATGCATTCTGTGTGTGAAAAATCAGAAAAAAGTGACGCTTGCAGAGCTGAGTTGTGCCTTGGGCTATGCGGCTGTTCTTCATGGTGCCCAGAAGTCACGAGGAGTTACTACCTCAAGAGGCAGAGAGAGATACAAAAAAAGGGCAACAACCAAACAACCCGTTCGTCATGGCGCCACTATTAGTTTTAAAGCCCAAGACGTGCCTTGACTGGGATCCGAGGATGCTTCGCACTGCACGCCACCAGCAGCTCTTATCAACGCCAGATGAGGAGACCAGGTTTTGGGGACAAGGCTGTGCCCGTTAGGACCTTGAGCTGCGGAGTTTAAGGCCTTTAGCAACACCCTGTGGTCACAAAGCTGGACAGCTGGTTCTGGGCCCATACTGAAAAGTATTCCTGTTCCTTTGCATGTGTCGAGAAAGTGGCATTCAGAGTAGCCTGAGGAGACCACCTCCACCGCACAAGCGAGTCTGGCCGAGAATTTGCACCCAGGCATGGCGCTTTTTTTCCTCATCCTGACAAAGTCTGCATGTTTCGCAATGACGGAATGCGATGCCACCAAAATCTCCTGCACCCTGCCAGATTGAAATCAATGGCCAGGCGACTGGATCAAAGTCAACGGCCGCTTCGTGCGCTTGCTCCGTGTGGAGGTGCGGACTTTGGCTGAGGAGGAGGTGCCTTGGCCACCCTACCATGGCGACCGTGGAAGTTTTTGTTGTCATTCCCTTGGCCGCCAGCGCTGACATTCATCTTGGCTATGAAGGATGTTCAGCTCATGCAGACCCATTGGAGGGCCTACGCCACCTGGCAACCCATCCACCCCCCCGAATTCCCGGCCGCCGAGGTTGGTTTGGTCAAGTTTGATCTGAGCCCGAGCCTTCCGGCAGCTTTCTTCTCCCTTTCTCTTAGGGAGAAGGACCCCTTCGTGGCCACTGTCTGAAAGAACAGTGGCTCGACAGTCGGATTCTGTGCTGTACAGCTGCTTCCCCGTGTCCCGGCGCGTCGCCATGCGCCGCTCAGAAGGCATTCCCAGCTTAGTAGCTTCGTTAGGCTTAGTGCCGGGTGCAGACCTACAAGTGCTTGAATTCGTGCTTGGCAGCGGCGAGTGTTGCTCGACGTGTTCTTCCACCACGATTCCGAATAACAGGCAATCGAAACAAAAACTCCTGCACGAGCAGCTGCCAGCACACGTCTTGGGAGCCTCGGTAGGTGCGCCAATGGGGGGTTTGGATGTTTTGGCAGCCCGTGCAGCGGCTGCAGGCACTCCAGACCTTGTGCAGTTCTACTCCAGAGATAGACCCCGAGGCCTTCTTGAGGCTGAAATTGAACTCCTCTGCAGTTTCAGCCTGAAGAACCCGAACTCCGTGTTTTGACTATGTTGTTTTCTGGATGCATCTCTCTCTGGAGACACCCTGGCATGCAAATGGACTTTGACTTAGCTCCTGACGCCAGCCGCCTTCGAAGAGCGCATTTTTTCTCAGATCCCAGATTGGCCTCCCTTCTGAGTACATCTGTGTATTCTGTCCGAATCCTAAGTACATGTTTGCGTATTCCTGGAAAGTTGGCTTCCGCCTCCGCCTCCCAGGAGGTCCAGAAGCTCCGCTCCGAGGCTTCCGATATCTGCACCTGCATCGCAGGGTATTAAGGAAAGGTGCTGGGGGGGTCGTGTGGCTTCACAGAGTGTTATCGGTTTCTACCCAATCATCTGGAGACCCGTTGTTTCGTAGAGTGCAACGAAAAGCCCTTTCTTTCGCAGAAGTGAACACATGTGACATCCAGCTAGTTGTTGGGTCATCTGGGGTCCTATGCGTAGCTCACATCTATCGATGACATCGGGGCCCTGCGTTTCCTCTTGCCTTTCGGCTTCAGTGCCGTTGCCGGAGATGCCATGTCGGCCCCACTGCCCCTTCACCTGCATTCTGGGGCCTGTTCAGGGTTTAGGGTTTAGGGTTTAGGGTTAGGGAGGGTTTAGGGTTTCGGGCAATCAGATGATCGTCTGCTTAAATCACGTGTGCGATGTTCTGAGATCCAACCGCGCCCCGCATCTCGAGACCCTTCCTTTCCCGGGGACTATGCCATGCTTGCAATGAAATACGATGCCATTCAAAATGTGACCACAGTTGGCCATGCAAACGGCGTGTAAGTCAAGGAGTTGACCAGGCTTACCCCCCAAAGTAAGCGCTAAGAACCACGCACACACACACACACATATATATATATATATACATATATATATATACACTTCTTTATTTACATTCACATACATTTGTGGCAGTTGCATGAACACCCAATGCTACAAAGGAGGGGGGGTCAGGTTCCCCAGGTGGCAAGAAAAGGAAAACGAGCTGGTTGAGAACCGCAATTTCCCAAAAAGACAAAAGAGCTGCAAAGGAAGCCGCCGTACCCGGTCCCGCCGCCCCGCGGCACTGGCCTGGAGCGGGAGGCCGAAAAGGCCGCGCGGAAGGCGAAGGCCCCTGCATTTCTCTGCAATCGGGTTTAGAGTCGTAGAGTTTATAGGCGGCAGTTTTGGAAAGGTTCGTCGGGTTATGGGAGAGTAAGGCTAGGGAGTGAGGGACTCAGACAGTCTGCTCGCGCGACGGCTGCAGCCTCTGTACTCGCAGATATCAGTCTTTACCAGCGCGAGGGGGAGGCGAAATTTGAAAAGTCACATCGGCCGAGGGTCGAGAGCCTAATTAATTGAAGTCGCGATGGCGCATGCAAAACCTTGACCTTGATCCACACAGCCCTGGAGAATACCAGGAGCTTCAGCGTGAGACTGCCAAAGTCGAGGCAAGGGGTGCGGAGCGATTGGTCTGGACCTCAGGGCACTCTTAGAGTACTATAGGGTTTGGGGATGAGGTGTGGCTGAGCTTATCTTTTCAATGCTTTTGAAGTATCTGCAGGCAGATTGCACCAGAAGGATGCGGGAAAGGTCAGAGTGGCACTCTCACCTCAACAATCAAAGGCCCGAAAAGAGAGGGAGAGACAGCACCCAGCAAGCCAGCAAGAGAATTTTAACATGCATATTGCCTAATCAGGACACTACCCTTGTAATGGAACATTGAGCTCCCCGGGCTGGGAGACGCGTTTCGCTCCAGGTCCTGGCACAGGAGCGCTACCAGGCGTTTCGTGCACAGCAACAGAAGGCGCGTGAGTTGAGCCTGCGCATGCCGAAAGCTGAAAGCAGTGTATATTAATGTACGACATCTTCCTTATAGAGCTGTCATGTAGACGTGCTAGCTCTGTGTGAAGCAGGATGAGTGTCGCTCAGGGCTCAGGGATTTGGCGCAAGTGCCTTGCGGTAGAAAATGGCGTCCAAGCGTGGGTCCTTTGGTGCCACGGTGGCGGTGGGCCTTGCCCTGGTGGCTGCCTGGAGCTGCTTGTGGAGACATGATGAGGACTTCGTGAGCGGCGTGCCTGCTCAGCCTCGCGAGTCCGTAGTGGCCCGTTGCGCCGTGGACAAGGCGATGAAGGATCGCATCGCGTCTGTGACGAAGACCGCCAAGCTCACGGATGCCATGCGTGTGGTCGCAGCAGCCAAGGTCCGCAACGCCCAGGCCGGTGTAGAGAAGCAGCGGCCTTTCACCGATGAGCTCCTGAGCATGATCAAGGGCCTGGTGAAGCGTCTCAAGGGCAGTGGCTTTGAGGCAGAGCTGCCTATGTTGCGAGTGCCTGAGAAGATCAAGAGCGTCGGCATCCTCATGATCACGGCCAATCGCGGTCTGTGCGGTGCCTACAACACTTTCATCATCAAGAAGACCAAGGCCCGAATTGAGGACCTGAACAAGCAAGGCATTGTCCCCAAGCTCTTCATAGTTGGCAAAAAGGGCCTGAATTCCCTGTCGACTCGTTTGGAGAAGGGTGTGGAGTTCAACTACACCAACGAGTGGTTCAGCATGCCTGACACCATCCGCGCAAAGGACTCCGCCGAAATTGCTGATGTGTTGCAGGCCTACTTCCTGGCGGGAGAGGTTGACAAGATTGAGATTTCATATGGCCGGTTCATCAACCTGCTCAGAAACGAGCCTTCGATCCGAACTCTCCTGCCCCTTTCGCCCACCGGTATTGAGGATCCAGAGGATGAGACCTTCAAGCTGACAACCGAAGATGGCAAGCTGAAGGTGGAGAAGGAGAAAGTTAAGGCTCCCAAGGCCAAGGAGATTGAGGCAGACGTTATCTTCGATCAGCCTCCGGAAGTCATCCTCAATTCCATGCTCCCACTGTACTTGAACTCCCAGATCCTCTCCTTGATGTTCGATGCCCAGGCCTCTGAGCTGTCTTCACGAATGTCTGCCATGAAGGTCGCTACTGACAACGCCAACGACCTGAACAAGAAGCTCGTTCTCATTTACAACAAGAAGCGCCAGGCCGCCATCACTGCGGAGCTGTGTGAGGTGACGGCGGCAGCAGTGGCGCTTGAGAGCACGGAGAACAAGGCCGGCCCGAACCTCGGCGTCATTGACAATGAGGAGACCATTAGCGAGGACTTCATGAAGGAGTTGGAAGACGGCTCCATCTCGGACAAGCCCAAGAAGCCCGAGGAGATCTTGTTGACGGACCGCTGGGAGTTCATGAAGTCTCTGCCCAAGGAGGAGCGGTTCTGAGACAACTGTCCACCCAATCATGGTTGCTTCCTGATGGAGGCTCCAATTTTCGCAGCGCATGTCTTTTCTCCCCTTACCTGCTTTGAAGTTGCGAGTGGCTGTGCAGCCTGCAACAGCATGAGCCTCGAAACATGTGCAGGAGAGAGATCTGAAGGCACATGCTTGAAATAAGCGTAGCTAAGGAGCAACTGTTGCGTACCCGTAAGAGATGCAGTTCTGAGCATAAGCTGAAGGTGTGTGGAACAGGACCACCGCCAAGTAATTCTTTTTTCGAAAGGGCAGTGCGGATGCACTCCGCACTAGCATATGAGCAGTCTGCGGCGAATGCCAAAAGAAGCAAGTGTAGATGCCGGGGCCTGCACAGTGTTTTCCAATCTCTGCCCCTCCCCCTGCTATGATTCGCTGATGAACCTTCCTGGCTCTGGAAAAACGTACACGATCTCCATCTTTTTTGCTGAAGTTACGAGCATTCTTCAGGCGCGCGAGGAGGCGGCGGAAGCGCTGCGCCGCGACATCTCCCGTGCCCAGGCATCTCCCGCGTCCCCGGAGTTGAAGGGTCCCATCTTTTTGCCCTTTTCAGTCGTTGATTCCTGCAGAATGAGAATGCGGGTTATCATACAAGCCACCCAGAAGACCCCCCCCCCCCGGTGTTAGGATGTTGAGGATACTCTAAGTTTAAGGCTCAAGTTTGACACACCCGGAGTCTCGAGAAAAATCTGTAAGAAAGCATGCAGCGGCCGGAAGTCAGCAGTATTCCGTGGCAAGACGCTTCTCTGCTCAGAGTCGGCTCTATACCCCCTAAACCCTAAACCCTAAACCCTAAGCCCTAAACCCTGAACCCTGAACAGGAACACCTGTGGAGATCGCAGCTCAACGCCGAAGGGGCCCAGGATCTGGAGACGCAGCAGCAAAGCTGCGAGGCGTCTTGGTGCGCGAGGTCTAAGATGGGGTTAGACGGAAAATCGCTAGATACATATATATATATATATATATATATATATAGCGATCCGCAGCTCCCCCCCCCCCAACCCCTCCCCCGCCCCATGGTATGCTACCCCCCTGCCCCCCCCGGCCCCCCCTTGGTTTGGTTGTGGGTTGGTTCTAGGGGGTTTCCTTTGGGGTTTTAAGGTTTTTTTGCAGGGTTTCCCTCCCTATCCCCCTGTGGTGTGTGTGGCTGTGGGGTTGGTTGTGGGGTGTGGGGCCTACGGTTTAGGGTTGCAAGGCTTAGCCTTTTTAAGCTCAAGGCTGTAAAGTATTAAGTTTTGCTTTGAAGGGCTTTGGCTTTGTGGGGTCTGGGGCTTTTGAAAGTATTCGGGTTTAGGCTTTAGAGTTTTAGGGTCATGAGTTTTTGCCCCCTAAGGAGTGGCTGTGGGGTGGTTTAGGGGTCAGGGTTTAGGGCTTCTGGTTTATGGCTCTGGTGTTTAGGTTTGTTTTTTGCGTTCTAGGGCTTAGGGTTCAGTCAGGGCTTGGGGCTTTATGGCTTGTTATAAGGTTTTGTGTCTAGGGGTTTACGTAGGATTTGGGCTTAGGGCTTGAGGGTTTGGGTCCGTAAGCCCTGAGCCCCAACCCGAAACCCTGCCCACGGGCCTTAAAGACCCCGGACCATGTCATGTGGGTGGGGGAGGAGGGGCCCGAGACGCCAGACGCGTGACCATATGTGGATATTGTTTTGTTTTGGTAGGAAATTCCTCTTTTCTGGGGTACCATGCCCGCGACGCAGGAGGAAGACAAGGACTCGAAGGTTGCAATCCAGCCCTTCAGTTGCAACTGGCTGTGGACCCAAAGAGCTTAACATCCCTTTATCTAGGAACACATATGCCTTAAATCATATAATCAGGATCCCTTCATGGTTGAGGTTATATTCCTTAAAGGGTTTTGGGCTCTCTGGGGAGAAGGGCTGCCTAAATTACCGGTAAGGTTTTTGTTGAGGTACCCATGAGAATACGGAGCCGTTCATGTACGGTACTTCAAGAAGCGACTGTAATTGATTGGAGAGCTGGACATTGCAGATCCGCGTTGTTCTGCGGTGTCACGTTCGTTTTTGACCCTCTGGCTTCCTAGGAAAGCTCCACATCGCGTCTACAGTGCCCGCGACGACGCTCCTCGCAATGCATATGATGTTGCAAGCCTTGCATGGCAGAGGCGAAGACCAAATATCGTGTGGGTTTTGGCACTGGCATGAGAGCCGCCCTGGTCCAGTAGCCCACGAAGGAGCAAGCACAAGCCTATGTGGAAGATGTCATTTCCAAGACGAAGATGTGCTGCTTGGCTGAATGGGCCGCCAAGCTCGCAGCAAAGCAAGGCCGCCAAATTTGCCAATGCATGCCGGGCAGAATGCTGTCCGCAGGCATGCGACAGATCGAAACAGAGCGGCACTATGTTGCAATGCACAGGGACCCGCAGGGGAGTGATGGGCAGGGCCTTGAGCCATGCATGAGTCTGACTGAAGATCTGCACCTGTTCAGAGCTGTTCGGGCAAGCATGCCTAGCGGCATAGTTGCAGCAAGAAGCATGGGCCAGGACCTCATAGCAGAGAGGCACCAGGCCACCAAGACGGAGGCCCAGGCAAGGCACCAGGGGACCCCAAAGATGCTGCAGACGGTTGGACTTGTGACACTTGCAGAGCCGCGGAGGCCCGCATGAAGCTGCATGAGGAGAAGTCCAAGAAGCAGGTGAAGGACTTGTGACGCCATGTAAGGCAAGAGCGCTTGAGCAGCTGGGGAATGCAGAAGTTTTCCCGGTTTCAATGCAGCGAAATGCAGAAGCCTAAATCGAAGAGAGCTCCCAAGCTTCAGGAGCTTGAGCACATGAGGCACCAGCTGCGTTTGCGCAGCGATGAGGCTCCCCATCCTGTTTCGAGCGGGGCGCAGGGTTTGGGCGATGCGAGCTGCTACTGTAGCATTCAACAAGTCCAGGTGCAAAGGCGTTTGTCAAATTCGCACCTGTCCTTTAGGTGCCCATGGCCGAAAAGGTTCGTGGTTTGGGGCTTAGGCTTGAACGGCTGAACCATGGAAAAGGTGGCTGGTTCTTAGTAGCGAGTGTGGGAGTTCTGCACGCTAAATTGACATCCAGAATCCCTGCCCAGTGCTTCGTGCAGCTATGCTGGGGCCAAGAAAAAAGGACCCTAGGCTTCGAAACCCTGAACCCTAAACCAGGGTGCCCAACCTCCCGATTCTGAATAAGTCGGATAGTTGGGCTCTGAAGTTAACTGTACACAGCATTCCCTCTTCAGTTGCCCCATGGAGCATGGCTAGACGGGTGGCAAGAAAATCAGAGTCCATCTTGCAGGCCCTTGCCGAGAAGATGGCGAGAACGCAGGGGGAGCTGCTAAGCGCGAAGGCCTTCTGTGCTCAGGCTGGGGGGGGGTTCTGGGCTTAGGAAAAAGACACGAGAGGATCTTAGTAGGAGTAATTATCTACTTTAAGATTGCCCTGGCCCTTGCATGGTTGATCTAGAGCAGAGTAGTGCTAAAGCAGCTGCCGACACAATGCCGTTGCTACCTAGAGGCGATGGACCTTATCTGCCTCCACCCTCCGAAAGTGAGCAGTTAAAGCCCTTAACTTCAGCCCCTCAGTGTTTTCGCGCCAAAATGTCTGCAAGGTGCAGACCGACATGGAGCCTTGGAGTTGGAGAGAGTTTTTTTTTTGGGGGGGGGGCGTTTTATTTGGGATTGTGTGTTACATGAGCCCTGACATGGCAACGCAGGAAAGAATGCCCCTCTGAAACCCGATGCCCTCAGACCTCAGCCTGAGCCAAGCACATACATACGAGCCAAGGAGGCAGCCATCCGCGACGCCCAGACGGCGGCGGCAAGGATAGAGGCAGTCTTGCTAAGGGGCCAGGGGGGGATTGGGTTTGGGGTCCAGCATTGGGGCTATTTATGGCAGGATGCCTGTCCTGGTTAACATCTGAGGCAAGGTTTCTACTTGATCCCAGAGTTTACCAAGGCTTCAGACCGTTGAGAGGCTCAATTCCTAACTAGGGGACCCTGGCCCCAACCATCCCATAACCCGAGCATCTAGAGAAACACCCTCAACCTGATCCCAGGCTGAGGCAGCTGCCAACACCTTTGAGGAGAAGAGACATTTGGCTGAAGGAGACTGTTCCGAAGGTCCGAGACCTGTGCCCGTGGAAAAAACTGGGGAGAACTTGAAGAGAAGATCCCCGCAAGTGATGGGAGTGGGATTGGCTTTTGTTTCATAACGGCGAGAATGCGCAAGAGCGAGGTATCCATGAGGCCACGTAAGCTTGTTGGCAAAACCGGCTATTGACCCAAATTCAACACAGCTGGCAGACATCATCAGGCTGTTGAGCCAGATTCAACAGCCGGAAGACATCACCTACACATACCTGCATGCTCTCCCAGAGGTTTGCAAAGACAGATGTAGCCACGCTGCACAACAGTAGGCCGGGGCTACTTGGGCTGGTACAGTGGCCAGCGCGCACGTTCCCTGCCTTCAGAGTTCAGGAAAGCTGCAAGACTTGGAGAACAATGCTTTGCAAAGCTTCAAAGGACCTCGGATGCCCCTGCATTGGTGGAGCTGAATTTGTAAGACACAAAGGTGGCTTCATGCCATGACTCGGATTCTATAGGGTTCAGGAGGGGCAGGGGAGGGGGGCTGATTTGAGAGCAGTGCCTACCCTGGATTTCCGTGGCCAGGAAGCCTTGACGAAGCCCAGGGTGCATGGGACGAGACCTCCATGCGGAGAAAGGCCCTACAGGAGCGCGCCAAAGACTTCGTGGGTTTGTGGGTGTTCTTGGCAAAGATGTGCTGGTGTCCGAAATCGGGGGGTACCTCATTGGGTCCTCAATATAACGGGATCCTTGTACTTGGGGGGGCAATTTTAGGGGTCCCCATTTGGTAAACCCCCATAGATCAACAAGCTCCGAGAGTTCCCCCGTGGAAACCTCCGAATGCGTTTCTTGTTCCAGGAGGAGCTCGATGAGATCCATGCGCAGTACCAAAAGATCCACGACGAAACTCAAACCAAGACCGGCTGTTCTGCTTTTGCCCCCTTGTCATGTACCCTGCGGGCATGCTTTGTTTTGTGAGTGGCTGCCTTTGTTTCATTTACAGGTGAAACGTAGGACGAGAGTGAGGGCTGTCTCTGACAGTTCCTGGAAAGCTTGAACAAAGCTTCTGATCTAAGCTCGATGAAGCTCAAGGTAGGCGGATACCTTTCACGGCACCCCTCCCAAGCATCCGCCTGATCATGACGTGCGCAGGATGAGTTCCATCATGGCTCAGTGGAATGAGAGCCGTGAAGGCATGGAGAAGAAAATTGCCGACTTCGAGCTGAAGCGCAAGGACCGGAACGCCAGCTCGCTGGAAGTTATGTTGACCAGAGGCCAACGTGACTAGTAGGGACATGAGCTCCCCAGGATGCCTTCGAACATCTGGAGGGCGTCATCCAGAGAGTGAAGGATCAACACCAGGCCGCCCGTTTGAAAGTTCTGAGACGTGTTTAGGGTTGAGGGTTTAGGGTTTAGGGTTTGCAGGCTTTAAAATGTGAGCCGATAAAGTCCTATAGAGCCCGAAGGGCTCCCTAAGCCCTACATCCCAACACCAAACTTGAAAAGCCCAAGCACCGAAAGGCAAAGGCCGGCTGCGGGAGCAAGGGGCAAACCTTGGGCTGTTCCCCCTTATACTAAGAACCCTTAATAGGGGTTAAGGTAACCCCCTATTCTGGTCCCTATTAAGGACGGTTAGTGTAAGGGGAAAATCGCAAGGCAAGCCCTGCAGACATTGAAGAGCCCTACATAGCCCTCCTTGTGGAGAGCCATGGGACCTGCAGCTTTCTCTCCTCCTTCTCTTTACTTTTTTCCTTTTGCCTTCTCTCCCCCCCCCCTCTAAGTGCGTCTGGGCAGGTGCAGCACCAGGCTATAAGAGAGAGCTGCGCGCAGGCTGTCGCCGAGTCACCCGCTCAGCTTTTCTTTGAGGGTCTTGGGATGTTTTGGGTGGTTTGTGGTTTTTGGGCCCTTCGAAATATGATCTTGAATTCTGATGGGGGTGAGCCTATCTTAGGGTTCTCGAGGTCACTGCAATCGTCGGTGCGATGCTAGATCCTGGCTCAAGCGCGCAGCGCAACCGGTCGTGCCCCAGAAATCTTCCCGCCTTCTCCGTTCAGCTCCGCGGCTGCAGAGTCGCGTCGTACGGGCCTCTATAGTATAGACCTGGGGGGAAGTGTACGAAGTCGAAGCCCCAAGCGGCCCAAGCCCTTCCCCAGACTGAGGGATGACTCAGTCTCGGCTATTGTCATCTTTGCTGCTCGCTGCCGCATCCTGCCTCCTGGTCTCACATCTGGGATCCCAGTGCCGTGGCATGCACTTCAACGTGTTGGACTGGCGCGCCTGTCCGCGCACCGGTGCCCAAAACATGTAGCTAGTAGTGGTGCGTATGTTGCACGGTGCTGTCTGACGTCACCAGACATGAGGACCACTTTCTTGACTGGCACTGCGCCGGCCGCATCCTCGCGGCAGAGCCGAACGGCCATGCGAGGCTTCAAGGATGACTTCTACGCATGGAAGGATTCCCTGAGCAAGGATGAGCAAGCTTTGATCCTGAAGCAGGCGCAGAACGAGTTCGACAAGAAGTTCCGCAAGAGCGACACCTTCAGCCAGGACCTGCCAGAGGAGAAGATCCAGTCCTTCGCCAAGGTCCTCAAGAAGTTCTTCGACAACGACGCTCGGCTGAAGGGTGTTGCGGATCGAATGCTTTGTGAAGCTGCTTGTGCAGGAGCGCATGAGAATCATGTAGCTTGTCTGCTGCCCCAACACTTCACCCATGGGCAGGGTGAATCGACCCTTGCAGGGGGTCTAACATTCCTGATGCAGCACGTGCTCAGGAAAAGGATGACTACAAGAAGGCTCGGGCACATCTAAAACGATAGTGTGCAGGGAGTTTTGCTGCCGTGTTCACTACCCCTGAACGCAGGACGCGGAGCAGCGGACTCCTGACTACGATGCTCTGAAGAACAAGGCGGCCCTGGTCTCCTACGACTTCGGCCTGAAGCGACGCGTCGTGGAGATCGACCGCGACGCCGACCGCCGCTGGATGTACGCGTCCATGAAGGCGCGCGTGGCCGAGGCCGAGGACAAGGAGGTCTCCGACAGCGCCCCCTTTGAGGACGCCTACAAGTTCTCCAAGGACACCGCGGAGAAGGTCCACGACTTCATCTCCAAGGCCAACAGCGCCAGCAGCGCCCCTAAAGAGCTGAAGGGTGAGATCGACAAGATGCTGAAGGAGAACCCGCCCTCGGACGACTTCAAGGTGAGGTTCCCCCGGGTCTTGCACGAGCGACTCGCCCAGAAGGCTTTGGCGCTGGCGCAGGAGCCCGCTTGCTTCCGCTGCTGGGCCTGGGGTGATGTCTTCTGTAGATGTTTGCCAGTTTGCTGGCTCGCGAATAGTGCTCAGATTTTCCGAAGCTACCCGTTTTCATAACTCGCGCTGCAGTTCGTTCCATACCCAGAGCGCCATAGTAATTGACATGGTATGTGCTCGCGTAGATGACTGCGTGGGATTAACACAGGAGATCGAGGACTACAAGGCGAACCATTCCGAGGCGGAGGTCAAGGAGTTCAACACCAGGACTGCGCCGGAGGAGTTCCTGAAGACGGCGACCGATCTCATCGGGCCGTACTACGAGGCCCGGGAGGCCAACGAGAAGAAGGTGGAGGACCTGAAGGCCTTCTTCCGCTCCCAGAAGAAAGTGGCCGGCAAGACCAAGGCTGGGAGCGCGCGCGGTGGGCATAGAGCTGGGTGTTGTAGCTGTGTCGTTTTTTGGTTTGTTGCCAGGCGGACATCGTCAAGGAGATCTTCAAGGTCATGCCCAAGTACTCCGACACGCCGATGCCGCCTCTGGACGAGGAGATGCTCGCCGACTTGGCCAAGATCCCTGCCGTCCTCGAGGGTGAGCGGGAGCCTTAGCAACTGGCCATCTGTTCAAAGAAGGCTAAAGAGTTTCAAGCAGTTCCTGGCATCCTGAATGTCAGGTTCAAGCACAACTGGGGTACCGCGGAGAAGCTCTACAAGTCCGAGGCCATCGACTCCTTCGGCAACAAGTACCTCCTGGGCGTCTTCGAGACCGTGAAGGAGGCCGAGAAGGCCTTCGACGAGTGGAACAAGGAGCAACTTCGGTTGCAAAGACGAGAAATTTGAAATTATGCTTGGGGTGTTGATGGTCTTTGCTTATTGCACATCTCCGCACACGCACACATATACAGGCCCCAACCCAGGTTAAGGCTCCGAATGTGCTGCTGGTCTGCAGCGAAGGTACGAGCAAGCCGGGGTGGATGTCCAGGAGTCGCTGAGTGGCTGGGCCAAGCAGCAGGAGGCTGCGCTCGCCGAAGACCAGGACACCTGCTTGAAATGAATGCCAAAGGCAGGTTATCGAGAAACCTCTTGAAGCACCATCCTTGTCACTGTCTTCAACAGGCTGGCAATGTTGCTCTTCAGAGGTAGCAGATGTTGTCTCATGGGTTTCCGGCTTCGGTTCAGTGTGGACTCGAGGGCCACATGGGCCGGCTGCACTGGGGCTCAGCATCTCACTGGTAGAGTCCAGTAAGCTCCGATTGTTTTTCTGCTTATCTCCACGAATCTCTCTGCGAGGACGAGGTGGACCGCCTCCGCAAGCAATTGGAAGAGGCACGCCGCTGAGGCGGCACAGCCGCCATGGAGGTCCACCTATAGGTCTGTGCGGCTGTGAGTATACGTAAGTCCCTGTCTCTGCAGGGCAATATAAGGAAGGCTCGAATGGTCATAGTAGTCTGCAGTCTCGATTTACCTGCAGGAGGGCCTTCTAAGGCTTGTGCCTTTTGTGGGTTTAGGGGTTTGGGGTCGGGCTGCTAACAACATAGGGCCGTTGGAATTCTTCAAGACACTGCCAAAAAAGCCCATGAGAATGCCACAATAGAAAAGATGATTGCGGTTTATGGTTATGAATCACTCAGACCTGTCAGCAGCTATAATTTGCTTGACTAATTTGCTTGGACGATTACAGCCGCATGGGAGACAGACCAACGGTCTCGAGACCGACACATTGAATGATATGTCGTGCCGCCATGTGGGGCTGTCCTATGTCAGGGTTCTTCATTATATACAGGTTGTGTAATGGCAGTTCTTACTGTAAGGTCCCCGAACTGGGACCCTGATTCTGAACAACCCCATGTAGGTATCTCACCAGTTTTTCACCGATCCAGGCGCTCAAGCGCAGTATAAGGTTTTTGACCTGCCTCCGCCGAGGACAAAAGACATGCCCGCGAGCTCCTCTCTCCTTCTATACTGTAGTAGAGACGCGCCCTAAACCCTAAACCCTACCGGGGCATTCAGCGGCAAGTACTGGCGTGTATGTGGTGCCAGCATCGAGCAGGGGCTGTCTGCAGCAGGACGGGCTAGTAGCTCCATAGAGATCTGCATTTTTCGCCATGCAAGCTGGCAACACATCTTATCGGCGTCCTCTGAGGTGCCAAGAGGAGTCCGAAAAGGTTGTCTTCGCTACCCACGAGGCACTGTGCTTCATACGCAGTGCCACATTGCCGAATTGGCGCTGAAGCGAAAGCTGCAGTAGCCCCTCGCAAATCTCACGAATCGACAACCCCTCCGCAAAACATCAAGCGGAGTTGTGGAGATGCTCAACTTTCCCTAGTTTCAAAAGGCCTTTTCCAACTCATCGGATCCCGAGAGGCTTCCGTGGACGCCGCTCGCGCAGAAGAGGCTGCCGCAGCAGCTGCCGTGGCGGAGGCATGGACTTGTTCTGCCCAGTGATTGTTGGGCGTTCAGAATCAAAGTCTTGCAATAGTCCCTACTGCTGGTGCAGGGTGCTTGCCTAGGATCCTGAATGAAGCTCGATGAAGGATTGAGCCACAAATGATGTGCAGCCTACTGACCTTCTGAGAAAATCACTCAAGAAGTACTTAGATATGTTTGCGGAGAAGAATGTTGACATCGCTCTTGTCTTGAAGTGGGACCTCCTCAGACTGCAAATCCATACCTGCCTTCACACCCACCCTGCCATGCTGCCAGGCGCAGCGCTTGAAGGAGCAAATCCCAGCCGCACCCCCAAGACATGGGAGGTGGTGGGAAGTGTGTAGGGCTTGGTAGGGTTGAGGGTTTAGGGGGCGGAACGTGGGATGGTTTGCTCTTGAATCATGAGCACTCCTGCTTGGGCTCCGGGAGCACACCCTGTCGGCATCACATCTTAGATCATGGTGTCTACGGGGTACGCAGTTCACATGCATTGGGGAGGCCTTGTCTTCTCGAACTCAGGGCCTGGAGGCGGACGCGGATGAGGAAATCGACGCCTTTCTGGCACAGGCGGCAGCACAGGAGGTGGGGACTTGTATAGGGCCCCTATATATATATATACCCGTGAAGGGATTATATATGGTACCTTATTCCCCCAGTCCCTACTAGCCAAGAGTGGTCCAAGATGGATCCTCATGTACAGAAATGGCTCAAATGTAGCGCTGCTCGGTGCAGGGAGGTTCGGACATATCTGTGGGTGGGGCTGCTGGCGAGTTCGGTTTTACCCACTACATATACCCTCAACACCCAAAAGGAGCAGTTGCGGCGCGACTCCGAAGCGCAAGCCCCCTGGCGGCACTGAAAGGGGGCCCCCCAAGCGCTTGCCGTATCACCTGGGAGGTACCGAGATCTGCATGTCCCTATAAACCCTAAACCCTGAACGCAAGCGAGACGGGTGGGAAAAAAAAAACCTAAACCCTAAACCCTAAACCCTAAACCCTAGGTGCCAAAGTAGGGTTTAGGGTTTGTAGCCACCCTGCATCGGCACAGAACCGTTCGTTGCCGAGCTGAGGTGAACTTGTCAAAGTGCCTCGGCAGCAGACGGGTTGAGGGTTTAGGGTTTAGGGTTTAGGGTTAAGGGTTTAGGGTTTAGGGTTTAGGGTCAACAAGGTCATCCCCTGAACTCTGATGATCTTTCTCTGGCCTTTGTAATTTGTATGTATGTCACGGACTGCCCGCGGCGAGATTTAACACGTTCAGGTCCCTTTTTTTGGAGACCTTTCTTGAACTTGTTTGTAAGGCATCCTCGTTATTATGAACTCTATTTTGCAGTATCGCTTAGCTAATGCACGGCTTCGTAGCTGAGGAGCCTTGCCCTGAGAGCCCACGAGGAGGAGAAGGCCGTGATGACCCAAACTATGGGCCAAATTTGGTCCTCCAAAGGGCTTTAGGTAGTTTAGGTTTTGGGTTTAGGGGTTAGGGCGATTTAGGCTAACCCCCGTGTCGATTGCCGCTGTCCCTCACGGCGCCTCAGGGACGAATAGTGGCTTCGGGGAACTTAGAAGCTGATGTTGAGAGTATTAAACCCTAAACCCTAAACCCCAAAATGGGGGGTCTGCTAGACGGTTGGCAAAAAAATGGTGGCATGGTGTGCACATGTTTCCTTGGCCTTAGATCTCGGTGCGAAGGTTTACATCACCGAGACTTCCGTCGCCTGGGGTCGTGTGCGCAAGGCTCCCCTGTGGCACTGAGGTAGTCCCTTGAATTTGGATCAGGGCTATGATTGCGGCTCTAAAATGATCCGACTACTTCAAGGGAGTTGCCCACATGGAAGGTTTTTCGGTGTGTGGTAGACTTTGAGCAGGGCGTCCAGTCAACCCCTCTCCAGCCCGGACTGCTTGGCGTCAGACGGCACAAAGCAGAGACCATGGGCCATTATGCTCAGGCATGCTATCAGCTGCGTCTTGCCAGTCTACATGAAACTTGGTTGAAATCAGCTTCGGCAGTTCTTTTTGGGCCAAGCAGCATGTGCGTTTATGTAAGTGGTGTTGTGCAGATCCTTTCGTCAATGTCAGCTCATGTCATGCTGACTCATCTTCTGGAGCTAAAGCCATGGCGGGTGTGTGCAGTTGCATCCACCAGGCCTCTTAGCAGGGGAGTGTTGCATCGCAAGGACTTCGCGAAAGGGATTGCGTCCGGCAGATTCGACCAGAAACTGCAACCGGAGGACTAATTTGCAGGGTCAACGCCGATGCTTTGTAGAGTAGAGTTTAGAAAAGTGGCCCTACGGTGCTCAGGATTTCTGGCCCCTGTAAGGGCAGTTTCATGGAAGAGGAAGACCCCGAAACCTCTGCAGATGCCTGTCCCGAGCCACCCTCGCAGTGGGGAGGCTCCGGGAGTGCAAACGAGCAGAGCCATGTCAACATCTCTGCTGCCGCCAAGCTGTTGCTGTGTTTAGGTGCATGTCACACGGAGTCACACGGAGTGGAAGATGCATGGCCCTGCAGTTTCACCCTGGACCTCGAAAGATGCGAGGTTCACAGAAAAGGCCGCCATTGTCGAGCGTGTTTGAATCCTGCATGCAACGTGACAACGGAAGGCAGGCAGAGAGAGAGAGAGAGAGAAAACACGGTTGAGCGTGCCCCATGGGGCGGCCCCTTAGGGGGTCATACGCACAGCAAGCAAGCAAGCAAGCAAGCAAGCAAGCAAGAGAAAACACGATAGAGACAGCGATTCCCCTTAGCGCCTCCGAAGACAAAACGAGATGCTAGGACAAAAACAAGAAGCGGATGAAAGGAGAGAGAGTGTGAGAGAGGGAGGGAGAGAGCGAGAGATCGGAACAGCGAGCAAGGGCGGGGGCGCCCTTGAGCGCCCCCTCATGCACAGCAGAAGAGGAATACGCGATGAAGCAAGCGCCGCCGCTGGGTTCCCACGCGGATTCAATATTAGTCCCCGTTAGTCCCGTGCAGGCGGCCTAAGCAGGGTCGCCGCTTGTAAATTTTAAATGCCAGGCAATAGTGACTAGTGCCCCTGCGCTGCCTCCAGCGACTCCAGCGATTGTCTTGCCGGCGTTCGCCATGCAGAAAGAGCTGACAACTGATGGGAGAGACTCAGCCGGCACTCAGCTTGAAGGTTCTTCCTCTGTTGATTTTTAGGTATTTGCCACGCAGTTCTGTGCCTTGCGCCGGCTTTTCATCATGTCGAGAAGTCACTGCGGGGGCATCCCCAAGCTTAGACCTTGAAGCGGACATTCTCGGCTCCCAGCCTTGCTATAGTGTGAGCTTCTACGAGTCTACGAGAACTGACTGAGCAGATGATCCAGAACAAAGCAGGAGGCAACTTTCCTTGCCCAACCCGCATTCAAGGTGTGATCCTGATAGCTCACGGCGATCGAACCGACCCTCCTGTTTGCAGGGTAACGTTGTGAGGCCGAAAGCACGACCAAGCCTAGGCAGCTTCCCGGTTTCTGCAGGTTCTGCACGTCATCGCTCAGAGCATTCTGCAGTACGTAAGTTTTCGCTCCCTCCCCCAGTTTCCTGGTAGCGCGACGGCGGCCTGCTCGAGCAGGTGGATCCTGGCAAAGCTGTTTCTCTGTGCCTGGCCCAGATTCTGCTTGTACCCAATGCCAAGACTGAGAGGTTAGGCTTTCGGACGGAGCGACTTCCGCCTTCACGCAGCCTTTGTTGTAGGGTTTCTTGTTTGATCTTGTATGCCCCAAACAGCACCATCCATGGTCACCCAGATCGTGCACTGGGCTTGTGTAGGGTTTTGGCTCGAGTGTCCAGCAAGATTTTGATCTTCTCCCATTCTTCTGCTGCCTGGCTTGAATAACTCAAGGTTTCCAAGCATCCGACGCAGACCCACATCCCCAAAACCGGTGCCAGTTCAGAGTGGTTTCGGATGTCTGTTCAAGGCAGCACAATCTGCAAGAGAGTTGGTTTGCGGAGGTCAGGGATGACTCAGTCTCGGCTTTTGCCAGCTGTGCTGCTTGCAGCCTCGTCCTGGCTCCTTGTCTCACTCCTTGGCTCGCAGCAGAGACTTGGCTTCAAGCACGCCCAGTTCTGCTTGGCTCTGGGCTCTAGGTTTAACTCATAGGATTATACGAGTTGCTTCAGGACCTCCTTCCTGACCGGCACTGCGCCGGCGTCTTCGCGGCAGAGCCGAACGGCCATGCGAGGCTTCAAGGATGACTTCTACGCATGGAAGGACTCCCTGAGCAAGGATGAGCAAGCTTTGATCCTGAAGCAGGCGCAGAACGAGTTCGACAAGAAGTTCCGCAAGAGCGACACCTTCAGCCAGGACCTGCCAGAGGAGAAGATCCAGTCCTTCGCCAAGGTCCTCAAGAAGTTCTTCGACAACGACGCTCGGACGCACAGTGAGTTCTTGTGCAGGAACGCACGCATGTTCCTCCAAACAACCACAATCGAGTTGCGATATGGTTTCTGTTCTGACGCAGCAAGTGCTCAGGAAAAGGATGACTACAAGAAGGCTCCGGGCACGTCTAGTGAGTCTAGTCAAGATCGGGAGTCTTTATGTGCCTGGATGCCGTAGTCACGACACTGAATGCAGGACGCGGAGCAGCGGACTCCCGACTACGATGCTCTGAAGAACAAGGCGGCCCTGGTCTCCTACGACTTCGGCCTGAAGCGACGCGTCGTGGAGATCGACCGCGACGCCGACCGCCGCTGGATGTACGCGTCCATGAAGGCGCGCGTGGCCGAGGCCGAGGACAAGGAGGTCTCCGACAGCGCCCCCTTTGAGGACGCCTACAAGTTCTCCAAGGACACCGCGGAGAAGGTCCACGACTTCATCTCCAAGGCCAACAGCGCCAGCAGCGCCCCGAAAGAGCTGAAGGGTGAGATCGACAAGATGCTGAAGGAGAACCCGCCCTCCGACGACTTCAAGGTGAGGTTCCCCCGGGTCTTGCATGAGCGCCTCGCCCAGAAGGCTTTGGCGCTGGCGCAGGAGCCCGCTTGCTTCCGCCAGATGTGCACATGTGCGTGTAGACAGTGTCGACGTTGGTTATAGCTTCTGGGCTCGTGACTATAAGTGTTCAGGTTTGCTCACAAACTACCCGCTGTCAAATTTCGCGCTGCAGTTTGCATAATGCGGAGAGTGCCAAAGTGACATGACATGACATGAGTCGCGTAGACGACTGCGTGGGATTAACACAGGAGATCGAGGACTACAAGGCGAACCATTCCGAGGCGGAGGTCAAGGAGTTCAACACCAGGACTGCGCCGGAGGAGTTCCTGAAGACGGCGACCGATCTCATCGGGCCGTACTACGAGGCCCGGGAGGCCAACGAGAAGAAGGTGGAGGACCTGAAGGCCTTCTTCCGCTCCCAGAAGAAGGTGGCCGGCAAGACCAAGGCTGGGAGCGCGCGCGGTGGGCATAGAGCTGAGCGTTGTAGCTGTGTCGTTGTTGTGCTTTTTGCCAGGCGGACATCGTCAAGGAGATCTTCAAGGTCATGCCCAAGTACTCCGACACGCCCATGCCGCCGCTGGACGAGGAGATGCTCGCCGACTTGGCCAAGATCCCTGCCGTCCTCGAGGGTGAGTGGGAGCCTTAGCAACTGGTTGTGTGTTCATAGGCTAAATTGCTTGAAGCAATTCCTGGCATCCTGGACGCCAGGTTCAAGCACAACTGGGGTACCGCGGAGAAGCTCTACAAGTCCGAGGCCATCGACTCTTTCGGCAACAAGTACCTCCTGGGCGTCTTCGAGACCGTGAAGGAGGCCGAGAAGGCCTTCGACGAGTGGAACAAGGAGCAACTTGGCTTGTCAGCTCTCCACGGCCTCCTTCTCTCAGCAGTGTCTTAGTTTCCATGGACCTTGACGATGCCACAAGGTACGAGCAAGCCGGAGTGGACGTGCAGGAGTCATTGAGCGGATGGGCCAAGCAGCAGGAGGCGGCGCTCGCCGAAGACCAGGACCCCTCTTTGTCTTTGTGGGATTTGGAGGCTCCATCGCGCTCCAGGGTTTTCTGTCCTGCCCTTCTTGCCACAGGCGCACCTCTTCTGCGCAGATTTTACCCTCCTTTCTTGTTTCGGGGACTTGCCCCCTGGGACGTGGAGTTGGCCCCAAGCATGTTTCTAGCGCAAGGGTGACCAGTGACAGCTCAAGTAGACGCACTCTAGCACCGTAGCATTGGCATAGAAATCAATCCACCGCGGCGCATGCCCACGCACGACCGTAGACTACACTGACTACACAAGACCCTCCAGGACGAGGTGGACCGCCTCCGCAAGCAACTTGAGGAGGCTCGCCGCTGAGGCCGGGCTATTCCAAACCAGGTCCAAGCCAGGTCTTGATTGTCAACGTCGGCGATATGTGAGTTATGTGAGTGCTTATGCTGTTGAAGACAAGACTTGCAGCTTAACGACGTCTTAGTTGCTTGCTTGAAAGAGTTTTTGAGTTCTACTAAGACCTCCGTTTAAGTATAAATTACAAGCCATCCCCAGAGTTAAAGGATGGAAAGGGGTCCCCTGAATGCACACTCAAAGTGTTTATCCTATTCCTTATTTGAGGTTGGCGCCCCCCCCCCCCCCCCCCCCCCCCCGAAAAAAAAGAAGTGCCGACTACTTTCGAGGACCGCCGAATACAACCTTAAACCTAGACCCAGACTCGACTCCCCAAGTAAGGCCTCCTTCACAGGTGACGGAGTAGACCGCCTCCGCCTTTGGAGAAGCCCTTGGCAAGGCCGTGATCGTTGTCTCGATTAAAGGTCCACAAATGGTTACTAAATCTGCCTGAGACTGTAATGCCCCTAACTTCCACAGGAATTTTTTCAGATATGTTCATTCCGATGGGGCTTTGCACTAGTCACGGCCGTTTGGACACAAGCTGCCGGACCCTTGTCTGACATAGCCAACCAGCAAACACCATGGATTTCATAAACGACCTAAAATGGAGGTTGCAGCTGCCAAGCGCTTGGCAAACTTATTCATTGCATGCCTCATCAGTTCTTCACCGACACAAGCGCTCGAGCGCATTTGATGAGTTTTTGACCTGTATAGCCAGTGACGGCAAAACAGGCCCGCGAGCGAGGGTGGGAGAGAGCGAGCAAGAGGTCCTGCAGTTCTCTCTTTACATGTCCTTCTCACTCCGACGGCCCCTCCCCAAAAGCCATGAGAGTGGGACTTCAAGACGAGTTTTCGAGCGGGTGCTGTTGCTCGTCAGAGTGCCAGGGCTTAATGTAGGTCTTGGCTCAAGTTGCACCGCGTGCAGTTGTCCCGGAATTTCTCCTGTACCCTGCCACACTCGGTCTCCTGCCAGCGCTTTTTTTCTCTTGCTTTTATTATATTCCTATGTCTGTTTCTCAATGTGGTTAGTTTTGTGCAGCTCCAAAAGGAGCCAACAGGTAAGCAGACTGAGAGTTGAAGATTCTTGAAGACGGATTTCCTAGAGCTCAGGGATGACGCAGCGGCTGTTGCCATCGTTGCTCCTTGCAGCCTCATCCTGGCTCCTTGTTTCGCACCTGGGATCGCAGAACCTCGGCAAGGAAATTCTCAAGAAGGTAGCCAGTCCATCTGGGGGTTTCCGAATTTTCGGGTACCTTGCTGGGGTCCTTATTATAAGGGGGATCCTACTATTGGGGGTCTATATTTAGGGCCATTAAGGGTCCCCCTATTCTCGTAAACTCCCATTTACAGTGCTGCATCACGCGACGCTGCCATGACCTGTTGGCCGTTTGGACATGCACGCACATCGCGTGTTCAGGACCTCCTTCCTGACCGGCACTGCGCCGGCGTCTTCGCGGCAGAGCCGAACGGCCATGCGAGGCTTCAAGGATGACTTCTACGCATGGAAGGACTCCCTGAGCAAGGATGAGCAAGCTTTGATCCTGAAGCAGGCGCAGAACGAGTTCGACAAGAAGTTCCGCAAGAGCGACACCTTCAGCCAGGACCTGCCAGAGGAGAAGATCCAGTCCTTCGCCAAGGTCCTCAAGAAGTTCTTCGACAACGACGCTCGGACGCACAGTGAGTTCTTGTGCAGGAAAGCCAGGAAAGCTCCGGAATCATGCACGTTGTCTTGCAGCATGTAAAGAGTCCTTATCTTTCAATTACGAACCGGTGCTTGGGCTTTCCCCATCTTCTAAAACTTGCTGTTGAGTCAAGCGCTCAGGAGAAGGATGACTACAAGAAGGCCCCGGGATCTCCCGCATGTTCTTGTAGCAATCACAGAAAGGACGCCAGACTACCGTGCCCCTGATGCAGGACGCGGAGCAGCGGACTCCAGACTACGATGCTCTGAAGAACAAGGCGGCCCTGGTCTCCTACGACTTCGGACTGAAGCGACGCGTCGTGGAGATCGACCGCGACGCCGACCGCCGCTGGATGTACGCGTCCATGAAGGCGCGCGTGGCCGAGGCCGAGGACAAGGAGGTCTCCGACAGCGCCCCCTTTGAGGACGCCTACAAGTTCTCCAAGGACACCGCGGAGAAGGTCCACGACTTCATCTCCAAGGCCAACAGCGCCAGCAGCGCCCCGAAAGAGCTGAAGGGTGAGATCGACAAGATGCTGAAGGAGAACCCGCCCTCGGACGACTTCAAGGTGAGGTTCCCCCGGGTCTTGCACGAGCGCCTCGCCCAGAAGGCTTTGGCGCTGGCGCAGGAGCCCGCTTGCTTCCGCCAGATGTGCACATGTGCGTGTAGACAGTGTAGACGTTGGTTATAGTTTCTGGGCTCGTGACTATAGTGTTCAGGTTTGCTCAAATTACCCGCTCTCAGATTTCGCACTGCAGTTTGCATAATGCGGAGAGTGCCAAAGCTACATGACACGATATGAGTCGCGTAGACGACTGCATGGGTGCGGCACAGGAGATCGAGGACTACAAGGCGAACCATTCCGAGGCGGAGGTCAAGGAGTTCAACACCAGGACTGCGCCGGAGGAGTTCCTGAAGACGGCGACCGATCTCATCGGGCCGTACTACGAGGCCCGGGAGGCCAACGAGAAGAAGGTGGAGGACCTGAAGGCCTTCTTCCGCTCCCAGAAGAAAGTGGCCGGCAAGACGAAGGCTGGGAGCGCGCGCAGTGGGAATAGAGCTGAGTGTTGCAGCTGTGTCGTTGTTGTGTTGTTAGCCAGGCGGACATCGTCAAGGAGATCTTCAAGGTCATGCCCAAGTACTCCGACACGCCGATGCCGCCTCTGGACGAGGAGATGCTCGCCGACTTGGCCAAGATCCCTGCCGTCCTCGAGGGTGAGCGGGAGCCTTAGCAACTGGCCATCTTTTCAATTCTCAGAGAAGGTGAAATGTTAAAAGCAACTCCCGCATCTTGAACGCCAGGTTCAAGCACAACTGGGGTACTGCGGAGAAGCTCTACAAGTCCGAGGCGATCGACTCCTTCGGCAACAAGTACCTCCTGGGCGTCTTCGAGACCGTGAAGGAGGCCGAGAAGGCCTTCGACGAGTGGAACAAGGAGCAGCTTGGCTTGCCAGCTCTGCACCGACTCCCGTTTTCCACGGGGCACCTCTCTCTCAGCAATGTTTTAGTTTCCTTCCTTGACGATACCACAAGGTACGAGCAAGCCGGAGTGGATGTCCAGGAGTCATTGAGCGGCTGGGCCAAGCAGCAGGAGGCGGCGCTCGCCGAAGACCAGGCCCAGAACGATCCGAAGTGAACCTGCTACCTAAACCTTAAACCCTCTCTCGGCTGAACCCAGGTGATGAGGGACATCTGCTTTCCACGGGTCGACTGTGTGGGTGGATGTGATCGTAGTGTACTGTTCGTAATCCTGCCTGTGGTTTGGTGAGAGTTTAAGAGGAGATATTCGCCGACGTCAGAAACTCTAGTAGTTCGTCAGTCATGACCAACGTGTTGTGTTTCTCATTGCCTGAAACTTCTGGAGCCTTGCCTGCGCGTGCGCTAGCCGCCAGTTGTGAGAGTCGAAACCCTAAACCCGAAACCCCTGCAGTGCCTGAACATCTGTGACGCGCTTGTGCAGATACTGCGCCCGATAGACCCTAAGTCACCAAGTCCCATCGAGGACGAAGTGGATCGCCTCCGCAAGCAGCTCGAGGAGGCTCGGCGCTGAGGCAGCTCCAAGGTGGCTACAAAGATCCTCCGAGACGTGGTTGCTGCTAGGGTTTAGGCTTATTAGCGTTCAGGGTTTCAGGGTTTATTTAAGGGTTTAGGGCTTATTGCTTAGGGCCCCAGATCGAGGTGCCCCATATGGCATTAGAGGATATGGAAGGTGGTCGTTAAGTCGGTCCAACTTGCTTCAGCCCTTTAGTTCCGAACACTGGTCAACATGGTCATGAAGCAGACACTGGAGCAATGCGATAAGCTAGCTTTGGCGTGTGGCGACAGCAAGTTTTTTTGGGGTGATAGCAGAGCGTCGAGACTTGCATATACTGTTTTTCTCTGAGTACGACATAGTGTACAACCATCCATTCGTGCACAAGATTTGTGCCCTCTGCCGCTTTGGAGAAGCCCCCGTTGTCTCGAAGACCGATTCAGCGGGGCACCGAGACTCCATGAGAGTGTCTGAGTCGCCAAATTTGTGCGATGCACCGATTAGCTCTTGACGTTGCTGGGTCCTTTGCAAACTTTTGCAACAGATGCCTGGCCAGTTCTTCACAGATGGGATGCGCTCGAGCGCAGCAGCAGAGATTTTTGGGAGCAAGAAAGCCTTGAAGAGACCCTAAACCCTGAACCCTAAACCCTAAACCCTAAACCCTAAGAAGAGACTGTGGAACCTGTGTGCCTCGCCTGGCTTGTCCGAGTGTGAGCGATTAAACCCTAAGAAGCTCCAGGCCTTGCAAGCTTAAAGCCCTCAATCGCCGACAGCTTGAGACCGTTGCTGCGGTTGTTTCACATTGTGACCTTGGGTAAGTGGAAGTTGAGGCTAGGCCGAGGCAGGGATACCAGATCAAACGTACTATGTTCGCTTGGACAATGCCCCTGGCACATGATTATCCATGATGCCGGTCTCAACCTATCGAAGGGCTGTGGGCCGCGAAAAATAGGGTTTGTGGTTTCAGGGTTTAGGGTTCAGGGTTTAGGCTTTAGGGTTTAGGGTTTAGGTTTTAGGACTTCTGCAGGATTTTTGGCTCAAGAGCCCAGCAGGACCTTGACTTGGAACGTGTTTGGTTCCTTGGTTCAGCCGCTTGGCCACATGTGATGCCTGCCAAAGCGAGCGTAGCACAGGTCAACCAATCAACCCCTAAACCCCTACCTAGGCTTCCTAAACCCTAAACCCACCGTGTCTGGTCCAAAGTGACGGTATGTACACATATCTACAGTAGTTGTTTCACTGAATGAGGTCGATGCCGATGTAGTAGTTGGGTCTGAAGGGGCGGGAATAGGTTTTACTTTCTCTGTGGCTTGGCATGGACATCTCATCCCTTTGTCTTACACAGACTAACGGACCTTGCCTGCCTCGTGCGAGAGTGAGCGACTAAACCCACCGAGTCCCCTGGGGCTGCCAATGCTTTCATCAAAACCTAGCTATGAAACCCTCCCCTTCCTCTCTGTCACGGAGGTCAGGGATGACGCAGTCTCGGCTTTTATCATCTTTGCTGCTCGCTGGCTCCTCCTGGCTTCTGGTCTCGCTCCTGGGATCCCAGCAGAGCCTTTGGCATGCAACAAACGCGGTGTTGGCTGAACATATGACGCTTCAACTACTTCAGGAGGTGAGGTTGCCCAAGTCGCACATCTTAAGTGGGAACATGGGAGTAATAAAAGCAGCGACGCTAGCGGAATGTCACGCATAGTCCTGCGCAGTCGAGCACGGCGTCATGCTTCACGTCGCAAGACCTGAGGACCTCCTTCCTGACTGGCACTGCGCCGGCGTCTTCGCGACAGAGCCGAACGGCCATGCGAGGCTTCAAGGATGACTTCTACGCATGGAAGGATTCCCTGAGCAAGGATGAGCAAGCTTTGATCCTGAAGCAGGCGCAGAACGAGTTCGACAAGAAGTTCCGCAAGAGCGACACCTTCAGCCAGGACCTGCCAGAGGAGAAGATCCAGTCCTTCGCCAAGGTCCTCAAGAAGTTCTTCGACAACGATGCCCGGATGCACGGGTAGTTCTTGTGCAGGAAAGCCAGGAAAGCTCCGGAATCATGCACGTTGCCGTGCAGAATGTAAAGAGTCCTTATCTTTTGATTACGAACCGGTGCTTGGGCTTTCCCCATCTTCTAAAATTTGCTGTTGAGTCAAGTGCTCAGGAGAAGGATGACTACAAGAAGGCCCCGGGATCTCCCGCATGTTCTTGTAGCAATCACAGAAAGGACGCCAGACTACCGTGCCCCTGATGCAGGACGCGGAGCAGCGGACTCCAGACTACGATGCTCTGAAGAACAAGGCGGCCCTGGTCTCCTACGACTTCGGCCTGAAGCGACGCGTCGTGGAGATCGACCGCGACGCCGACCGCCGCTGGATGTACGCGTCCATGAAGGCGCGCGTGGCCGAGGCCGAGGACAAGGAGGTCTCCGACAGCGCCCCCTTTGAGGACGCCTACAAGTTCTCCAAGGACACCGCGGAAAAGGTCCACGACTTCATCTCCAAGGCCAACAGCGCCAGCAGCGCCCCGAAAGAGCTGAAGGGTGAGATCGACAAGATGCTGAAGGAGAACCCGCCCTCCGACGACTTCAAGGTGAGGTTCCCCCGGGTCTTGCACGAGCGCCTCGCCCAGAAGGCTTTGGCGCTGGCGCAGGAGCCCGCTTGCTTCCGCTGCTGGGGCGATGTCTGCGTGTAGACGTTGGTCATAGTTTCTGGGTTTCTGGGCTCGTGACTGTAGTGTTCCGGTTTGCGCAAACTACCCGCGGTCAAATTTCGCACTGCAGTTGGCATCATGCAGAGAGCACGCAAAGTGACATGACATGATTCGTTAGTGCTCGTGTAGACGACTGCGTGGGTTGGGCACAGGAGATCGAGGACTACAAGGCGAACCATTCCGAGGCGGAGGTCAAGGAGTTCAACACCAGGACTGCGCCAGAGGAGTTCCTGAAGACGGCGACCGATCTCATCGGGCCGTACTACGAGGCCCGCGAGGCCAACGAGAAGAAGGTGGAGGACCTGAAGGCCTTCTTCCGCTCCCAGAAGAAAGTGGCCGGCAAGACGAAGGCTGGGGGCGTGCACGGTGGCGTCAAATCAGTGCCAGAGATCACCAGGAGCGTAGTAGCGTACTGTACAAGTGTGTTCTAGGGCGCTGTAGCTGTGTCGTTTTTTTGTGCTTTGCCAGGCGGACATCGTCAAGGAGATCTTCAAGGTCATGCCCAAGTACTCCGACACGCCCATGCCGCCTCTGGACGAGGAGATGCTCGCCGACTTGGCCAAGATCCCTGCCGTCCTCGAGGGTGAGCGGGAGCCTTAGCAACTGGCCATCTTTGCAATTCTCGATGAAGGTGAAATGTTAAAAGCAACTCCCGCATCTTGAATGCCAGGTTCAAGCACAACTGGGGTACCGCGGAGAAGCTCTACAAGTCCGAGGCGATCGACTCTTTCGGCAACAAGTACCTCCTGGGCGTCTTCGAGACCGTGAAGGAGGCCGAGAAGGCCTTCGACGAGTGGAACAAGGAGCATTTCGGACCGCAGCATTTGCTTCGAAAGCTCTCGGAAGCTTCGCAATTTGTTTCCTAATCGGTAGAAAATACTTTCTTGACCACTGCAAAGAAGCCACCCAAGGTACGAGCAAGCCGGAGTGGACGTGCAGGAGTCCTTGAGCGGCTGGGCCAAGCAGCAGGAGGCGGCGCTTGCCGAAGACCAGGAGAGGATTAACAGGGGTTCCAAGATCATAGGGAGTGCTGTTCCGGAATTGCGGGCAGGATACACTTCTTCCAAAAGGATGACCAATCATGACCGTATTTGCAGCTACAGCAGTGTGGTTGCCACAAGTATTTGCTTGCAAGCATTTGCCTGGAGCAGCCCCTGCAGTCCGAGCAATGTGGGTGCAACGCGCATACGGCATGATCGGTTGTTGAGCAACACGCCAATGTTTGCATGTAGATGTAGATGTTTGTGAACAGTTGTGATTGCCTATGACGTCTTTGGAGTTGGTGTTTGATTCCCCCAATTGAGGTTTGATTCTCGGTTAGCACAGGCCCTCGTGCTAGGAAATGTTGTGCCAATGTGCAGCAGGTCAGAGTGAAGCATCAGTGAAGTGACTGTGCTGACCAGCTTTGCTTTGTGGTCGTGGCTTCGGCAACTTACGTTGCGCCAAAGTCAAATAGCGGCACACTTTGATCCCGACCGGTGATGCACGTGCAGTACTGGGCAGCTCTGTTTGGGCTGCACCTGCAGGTTCCTTCTTGTTGAGTCTGCCCTTCTTTACTGTACCGGGTTGCGCCAAAGACAAGGGCATGGCTGCGGCACAATGTAACAAGCTTCCAAAATTAAAAAAACGAATGCCGGGCCCGTGTGTTTGATTGGGGTCACCATGCCCAAGACCTCCCTGCCAGGACGAAGTGGACCGCCTCCGCAAGCAGCTTGAGGAGGCACGCCGCTGAGAGGCCAAGCTCAGTGAACTCCAGGCAGCTCTACTTTCTCCCACAGCGGCCACTTAAAGGGGCTGCAGTGTAAGTCTATACCTTGCTTCCAGTCGTCAGCCACCAACATCCCCTCCACCCTGATTCATGAGTCGGGAGTAAGGAGGTTGACAAGACATCTCGGTAACACATCAACTCCTGTATGAGGCATGTCCACACAGTGCTGCAGTGCCCCCCCCCCCCCCCCCCCCACCCATGGCTTCAGCAAAATTCAGGGTTCTGGGGGCGCTCAGTGGCGCCGTGCCCATTACGAGTTAAAAGGAAAGGGTTTTTCCACTTGCCGAAACTTGGCCGCTCTGGGGGCCTGGAGACAACCTCTGCCAGTATCTGGAAGACCGATACTGGGCAACATCAGGAAAGTCAAGATATTCTGAATAGGTTCTCCTCACTTCCAGAGGAGTATCAACGCAATAGCTGCCTCACCAGTTCTTCGTGGATGCACGCGCTCGGGCGCAATTAGTGGTTTTTGACCAGAGGCCGCATTCCGGAAAGACGCATTGAATTGCGCCTGCGTCCGTGTCCGTGTCTATGTCTGTGTTCTTGTTTCAAGTGTAAGCGTGCGTGTGTGTGTGTGTGTGTGTGTGTGTGTGTGTGTGTGTGCGCTTGTGTTGCACAGCATCTGGCATCCTTTGTCCTCGCAACATTCGCCAGCACGAGGTGCATGAGCGATGTCGCCCAGGAATTTTGGCCCAAGTGCATAGAGCAGGATCTTGCCCTGGAAAGGTTTCGACCGCTTGCTTGAGCCACTTGGCCAATTCGTGAGCCCGTTGTGAGTGGATCGTTGTTGTCTCACACAAGCAATTACAAGCACCAAGAGGCTTTAAAAACAACCTGAAGCCTTTTCCCGAAGTCACGCAGCCCAGGGATGACGCAGTCTCGGATTTTGCCGTCTTTGCTGCTTGCTGCCTCGTCCTGGCTTCTGGTCTCGCTTCTGGGATCCCAGCAGAGCCTTTGGCACGCAAATCACGGTGTGGCTGAACATGGGGCTCTTCAAATGCACTTCAAATAAGCAGCGGAGGTTGCCCATGTTGGACATCTTACGAGGGCACATGCGTGCAAAAAGAGTAGCGATGCTAGCGGAATGCCGCAGATAGTCCTGAGCAGTCGAGTATCACGTCGCAAGACGTGAGGACCTCCTTCCTGACCGGCACTGCGCCGGCGTCTTCGCGGCAGAGCCGAACGGCCATGCGAGGCTTCAAGGATGACTTCTACGCCTGGAAGGATTCCCTGAGCAAGGATGAGCAAGCTTTGATCCTGAAGCAGGCGCAGAACGAGTTCGACAAGAAGTTCCGCAAGAGCGACACCTTCAGCCAGGACCTGCCAGAGGAGAAGATCCAGTCGTTCGCCAAGGTCCTCAAGAAGTTCTTCGACAACGATGCCCGGATGCACGAGTAGTTCTTGTGCAGGAAAGCCAGGAAAGCTCCGGAATCATGCACGTTGCCGTGCAGAATGTAAAGAGTCCTTATCTTTTGATTACGAACCGGTGCTTGGGCTTTCCCCATCTTCTAAAATTTGCTGTTGAGTCAAGTGCTCAGGAGAAGGATGACTACAAGAAGGCCCCGAGATCTCCCGCATGTTCTTGTAGCAATCACAGAAAGGACTCCAGACTACTGTGCCCCTGATGCAGGACGCGGAGCAGCGGACTCCAGACTACGATGCTCTGAAGAACAAGGCGGCCCTGGTCTCCTACGACTTCGGCCTGAAGCGACGCGTCGTGGAGATCGACCGCGACGCCGACCGCCGCTGGATGTACGCGTCCATGAAGGCGCGCGTGGCCGAGGCCGAGGACAAGGAGGTCTCCGACAGCGCCCCCTTTGAGGACGCCTACAAGTTCTCCAAGGACACCGCGGAGAAGGTCCACGACTTCATCTCCAAGGCCAACAGCGCCAGCAGCGCCCCGAAAGAGCTGAAGGGTGAGATCGACAAGATGCTGAAGGAGAACCCGCCCTCCGACGACTTCAAGGTGAGGTTCCCCCGGGTCTTGCACGAGCGCCTCGCCCAGAAGGCTTTGGCGCTGGCGCAGGAGCCCGCTTGCTTCCGCTGTTGTGGCGATGTCTGCGTGTAGACGTTGGTTGTAGTTTCTGGGCTCGTGACTGTAGTGTTCCGGCTCGCTCAAACTACCCACGGTCAAATTTCGCACTGCAGTTTGCATCATGCAGAGAGCACGCAAAATGACATGACATGATTCGTTAGTGCTCGCGTAGACGACTGCGTGGGTTGGGCACAGGAGATCGAGGACTACAAGGCGAACCATTCCGAGGCGGAGGTCAAGGAGTTCAACACCAGGACTGCGCCAGAGGAGTTCCTGAAGACGGCGACCGATCTCATCGGGCCGTACTACGAGGCCCGCGAGGCCAACGAGAAGAAGGTGGAGGACCTGAAGGCCTTCTTCCGCTCCCAGAAGAAAGTGGCCGGCAAGACGAAGGCTGGGAGCGCGCGCGGTGGGCATAGAGCTGAGCGTTGTAGCTGTGTCGTTGTTGTGCTTTTTGCCAGGCGGACATCGTCAAGGAGATCTTCAAGGTCATGCCCAAGTACTCCGACACGCCCATGCCGCCTCTGGACGAGGAGATGCTCGCCGACTTGGCCAAGATCCCTGCCGTCCTCGAGGGTGAGCGGCAGCCTTAGCAACTGGTTGTGTGTTCAGAGGCTAAATTGCTTGAAGCAATTCCTGCCATCCTGGACGCCAGGTTCAAGCACAACTGGGGTACCGCAGAGAAGCTCTACAAGTCCGAGGCCATCGACTCCTTCGGCAACAAGTACCTCCTGGGCGTCTTCGAGACCGTGAAGGAGGCCGAGAAGGCCTTCGACGAGTGGAACAAAGAGCGCCCTGGATCCAAACATTTGACGTGGTTGGACGGAGCAAATAGGGCCTAAGAAGGAATAAAAGGCCCCGAGTGTCGCGGGGGGGGGGGGGGGGGGGGGGCGGGGACATCCTGACCTCATGCCTCCGGGATCACGCAGCAAAGCGCTGAGTTGCAAGGTACGAGCAAGCCGGAGTGGATGTCCAGGAGTCCCTGAGCGGCTGGGCGAAGCAGCAGGAGGCGGCGCTGGCCGAAGACCAGGACACCCCGACGACAGGTGCACAATGCATGCCAAAGCGATGATAGCGGAGATTACAACCCGAAGGTTGTGGGTCGAGGGTGAGGGTGCAAGCACATGACAACTGCACACCCAGAGCTACTGAAACGCATTAATGATGCTTTGAGAAGCGCCTCGTGTGCCTCGTACGCACGGAGTATCTGTGGCATCAACATGCACCCTCTTCACAAAGAAAAGCGCAACGCCCTTATTGCCCTTCTTTGGGGGTCGGGGGGTTATAGAAGACCCATGAAGCAGAAATGGGCACCCATGTATAGCGCAACCAAGACTTCACAAGTCACAATGCCACAACATATCCAAAACCCATGACGTCACCGCGGCCTGCCCTCCCAGGACGAGGTGGATCGCCTCCGCAAGCAACTTGAGGAGGCACGCCGCTGAGGCAGGAAAGCCACCGAGCTTGCATTTCAGGCCCACAGCGGTTTGTGAGATCTTTTCCCCAACATATCGACTGTTTATCAAGCATTATCGGAAACAGCCACAAGGCCCGGAGAAACCTCTGCGTGTAGACTACATCATACATCACACAGTCGATTGTGCCGATGGGGTAACTATTCAAAACTTAGGCACCCCCCAAGCTCGGCTAATCAGTTCAGTCAGGCTCCTCCTCCTTCCGTTGTGGAAAAAAGGGTGTGCTCATTAGGCAATCTTCATGCTGCAAAGGGTTGGTTGACAAAGTTCAGACAGCATGGATGCGACATCGAGGAAAAGTGCTAATTACATAAGAAGGGTGCCGCATTGGAGACAGATTCAACCGTCACCCAACCAGATCACGGCCTGCTGTGGAGGGACAAGCCCCAGTGTCTCGAAGATCGACGCAACTGGGCACCGTAGCACGTATTTGTACCGGCTCGTGAGACCCTCAGGCGCTTTGCAATCTTATGCGGCGGCCTTATCAGTTCTTCACCCAAGCATGCGCTCGAGCGCGATTGACAGTTTTTGACTGCGAGGGCCAAGAAAAGGAACATGATGGCTGATTGCGGCGGATGCTAAATAACCACCCTAACAGCAAACAGATCCCCCCTCCCACATTTGTTCCTTGTGCAGTTGCGTCATGAGCATGAACCACGAGGGCCGCATTCAGTCCATTCAGGTGGCATCGTCGTTAAATTCATTCTAGAAGCGTTGCCTGTGGAGGACGCAGAGTCATTGTCTAGTTAACGTTGCTGTGGCGGAAGGAGTTAGCTTCCAAAAAGTTAGGGCCTGCGTCAAACAAGTTGCAGTGCATCCCTACACCAAGACCCTCCAAGAAGGGATCCCCCCCCTGCTTCGGGTGTTTGGGAAACCCCAAAGGGCCAAGAACGACTCAGCGCAACATAGCAGGCGAGCATCAGACCGATGACTTCAGGATTTTTGGCCCAAGCAGCAGACCTTACTCAGAGAATCGCCTTGGTCCAGACGCTTGGCTAAGCACTGGTCACCCTGAACAGGGATCGATGCACGTCAGGGTGCGGCATAGGCATCATGGCAAAGGTGCAAAGGGTTGCCAGACTAGATGCCTATAGAGCCCTGTCCCCCCCCTGTCCCCAGGGATGACGCAGTCTCGGCTTTTATCATCTTTGCTGCTCGCTGGCTCCTCCTGGCTTCTGGTCTCGCTCCTGGGATCCCAGCAGAGCCTTTGGCATGCAACAAACGCGGTGTTACGGCTGGACGTATGACGCTTCAACTACTTAAGGAGGTGAGGTTGCCCAAGTCGCACATCTTAAGTGGGAACATGGGAGCAATAAAAGTAGCGACGCTAGCGGAATGTCACGCATAGTCCTGCGCAGTCGAGCACGGCGTCATGCTTCACATCGCAAGACATGAGGACCTCCTTCCTGACTGGCACTGCGCCGGCGTCTTCGCGGCAGAGCCGAACGGCCATGCGAGGCTTCAAGGATGACTTCTACGCCTGGAAGGATTCCCTGAGCAAGGATGAGCAAGCTTTGATCCTGAAGCAGGCGCAGAACGAGTTCGACAAGAAGTTCCGCAAGAGCGACACCTTCAGCCAGGACCTGCCAGAGGAGAAGATCCAGTCCTTCGCCAAGGTCCTCAAGAAGTTCTTCGACAACGATGCTTGGGCGCACAGTGAGTCCTTGTGCAGGAAAGCCAGGAAAGCTCCGGAATCATGCACGTTGTCTTGCAGCATGTAAAGAGTCCTTATCTTTTAATTACGAAGCGGTGCTTTGGGCTTTCCCCATCTTCTAACACTTGCTGTTGAGTCAAGCGCTCAGGAGAAGGATGACTACAAGAAGGCCCCGGGATCTCCCGCATGTTCTTGTAGCAATCACAGAAAGGACGCCAGACTACCGTGCCCCTGATGCAGGACGCGGAGCAGCGGACTCCAGACTACGATGCTCTGAAGAACAAGGCGGCCCTGGTCTCCTACGACTTCGGCCTGAAGCGACGCGTCGTGGAGATCGACCGCGACGCCGACCGCCGCTGGATGTACGCGTCCATGAAGGCGCGCGTGGCCGAGGCCGAGGACAAGGAGGTCTCCGACAGCGCCCCCTTTGAGGACGCCTACAAGTTCTCCAAGGACACCGCGGAGAAGGTCCACGACTTCATCTCCAAGGCCAACAGCGCCAGCAGCGCCCCGAAAGAGCTGAAGGGTGAGATCGACAAGATGCTGAAGGAGAACCCGCCCTCCGACGACTTCAAGGTGAGGTTCCCCCGGGTCTTGCACGAGCGCCTCGCCCAGAAGGCTTTGGCGCTGGCGCAGGAGCCCGCTTGCTTCCGCCAGATGTGCACATGTGCGTGTAGACAGTGTCGACGTTGGTTATAGCTTCTGGGCTCGTGACTATAGTGTTCAGGTTTGCTCAAATTACCCGCTCTCAGATTTCGCACTGCAGTTTGCATAATGCGGAGAGTGCCAAAGTTACATGACATGACATGCCTCGCGTAGACTACTGCGTGGGTGTGGCACAGGAGATCGAGGACTACAAGGCGAACCATTCCGAGGCGGAGGTCAAGGAGTTCAACACCAGGACTGCGCCAGAGGAGTTCCTGAAGACGGCGACCGATCTCATCGGGCCGTACTACGAGGCCCGGGAGGCCAACGAGAAGAAGGTGGAGGACCTGAAGGCCTTCTTCCGTTCCCAGAAGAAGGTGGCCGGCAAGACCAAGGCTGGGAGCGCGCGCGGTGGGCATAGAGCTGAGCGTTGTAGCTGTGTCGTTGTTGTGCTTTTTGCCAGGCGGACATCGTCAAGGAGATCTTCAAGGTCATGCCCAAGTACTCCGACACGCCCATGCCGCCTCTGGACGAGGAGATGCTCGCCGACTTGGCCAAGATCCCTGCCGTCCTCGAGGGTGAGCGGGAGCCTTAGCAACTGGACATCTTTTCAATTCTCAGAGAAGGTGAAATGTTAAAAGCAACTCCCGCATCTTGAACGCCAGGTTCAAGCACAACTGGGGTACTGCGGAGAAGCTCTACAAGTCCGAGGCGATCGACTCCTTCGGCAACAAGTACCTCCTGGGCGTCTTCGAGACCGTGAAGGAGGCCGAGAAGGCCTTCGACGAGTGGAACAAGGAGCAACTTGGCTTGTCAGCTCTCCACGGGGCAACCTTCTCTCAGCAATGTCTTAGTTTCCATGGACCGTGACGATGCCACAAGGTACGAGCAAGCCGGAGTGGATGTGCAGGAGTCATTGAGCGGATGGGCCAAGCAGCAGGAGGCTGCGCTCGCCGAAGATCAGGACCCCTCTTTGTGGGATTCGAAAGCTCAATTGCGCTCCAGGGATCTTCTGTCCTGGCAAGAAGCGCAGATTCTACTCTCCTGACTTGTTTCAGGGACTTGCCCCCTCGGAATTGGCCGCAGGCATGTTACTAGTGCAAGGGTGGCCAGTGACAGCTCAAGTAGACGCACTCTAGCACCGCAGCATTGGCATAGAAATCAATCAAGCCTCCACCGCGGGCGCATGCCCACGCACGACCGTAGACTAGCCAAGACCCCAGGACGAGGTGGACCGCCTCCGCAAGCAACTTGAGGAGGCTCGCCGCTGAGGCCGGGCTACATATTCTAAACCTGGTCCAAGAGGTCTTGATTGTCATCGTCGATAGCCACGTGTCTGTGTTGATGTTGAAGACAAGACTTGCAGGTTAACAACGAGAGCAGCAGCCAGGACCCATGCTGAGCCGCGCACGTGCTCGGAGTAGCAGGGCAGTGCGGATGATGCTGCCGGCATCTCGATTGCCAAAGCAGTCCTAATCAAGAGAACTTCCACAGCACTTCCCTAAGCCTATGGCTGCATGATGACTATAAACTGCTTTGTTTCAACAAGTGTTTCTCTGGCCCAGCCTGGAAGTCCGATTGCGGCTGCTTTGGAGACGCCTCTGCGAAGGAAGCAACAGGACGCCATGCCTACAACTGTGCGCCGGATTGTGCAGAGAACATACCCACAGCTCTTGCAGTATCTTGCAATGCGCAAGTAATGCACGTGTGAACATGCCAGTTCTTCACCAACGCATGCGCTCGAGCGCCTATGTCAGTTTTTGTTTTTGACCTGCAGCCGCCTCGCGCAGAAACAGGTCTGTCGAGTCATGGGGTTTGTCTTGGGGTGATCTGCCTATTTGGTGCTGGTAGTTGCCATGGTTAGTTTGATTCCACGGTCAAGATCGGTCGGCGCCTCTACCGGCTGCCGCAACTGCATTCTTTAACTACTGGTGATTGCTGGTGTACATTTCTTCCCTGAGCAAGTCCTCGAAGCTTTTGGGCTGTGGCCTGTCTGTCGCCAACCGGCAGGAGCAACGGTGCTTGCAGAATTTTGGCCCAAGTGCCCCATAGGACGTTGCCCCCTTGACATCGTCCAGCTCAACTCGGCCTAGCCTCCTGGCCAAATCTACAGACCTGCATGGGCTAGTAGGCCCTAGAATCCCCATAATCAACCCTATAAAGGGCTATAGGGTATAATTCGGTATCATAGCCCAACCCAGGAAACCCAAGACACCTCAAAGCTTCAAAATTCTGTTGGGCTACGCAAAGCGCATGGTCTCTCCACCATACTCCCCACACTCCCTGACTGATGAAAACCTCCTGAATCTGGCAGATGAGACAGACCATGCACCCCTGAAGTCTCAAGCCCTTCCGACTCGGTCAGGGATGACGCAGTCTCGGATGTTGCCGTCTTTGCTGCTTGCTGCCTCGTCCTGGCTTCTGGTCTCGCTCCTGGGATCTCAGCAGAGCCTTTGGCATGCAAATCACGGTGTTGACTGAACATATGACGCTTCAATTGATTTAACAGGTGAGGTTGCCTATGCCGCACATCTTAAGTGGGAGCAGTTTTCTGACGAAAGACACGAGGACCTCCTTCCTGACTGGCACTGCGCCGGCTTCGCGGCAGAGCCGAACGGCCATGCGAGGCTTCAAGGATGACTTCTACGCCTGGAAGGATTCCCTGAGCAAGGATGAGCAAGCTTTGATCCTGAAGCAGGCGCAGAACGAGTTCGACAAGAAGTTCCGCAAGAGCGACACCTTCAGCCAGGACCTGCCAGAGGAGAAGATCCAGTCCTTCGCCAAGGTCCTTAAGAAGTTCTTCGACAACGACGCCGGGCTGCCTGTAAAGGTTGACGTAGTAGCTGCAGAGGTAGAAGTTCCACAGTGAAATGTTTGCATCGCTTTTTCAGACGTCTGCAGTTTGAGATGCTGTCCACGAAATTTGTTTTCCCTGAGCACCGAGGAAAAGGATGACTACAAGAAGGACACTAGGGAGCTTCCCATGTTGCCCACGTAACTAGTACCCAGCTAGTGCCTGCGGGAGCAGAAGCGCTCAGGCTGCACTTTGTCCTGTAGGTGACGCGCTGCCGGTAGGTGTGCTATGCAGAAGCCCAGAAGCCTCCCCACGTCCTTGGACACCGACCCTGAGCGCAGGATGCGGAGCAGCGGACTCCTGACTACGATGCTCTGAAGAACAAGGCGGCCCTGGTCTCCTACGACTTCGGCCTGAAGCGACGCGTCGTGGAGATCGACCGCGACGCCGACCGCCGCTGGATGTACGCGTCCATGAAGGCGCGCGTGGCCGAGGCCGAGGACAAGGAGGTCTCCGACAGCGCCCCCTTTGAGGACGCCTACAAGTTCTCCAAGGACACTGCGGAGAAGGTCCACGACTTCATCTCCAAGGCCAACAGCGCCAGCAGCGCCCCGAAAGAGCTGAAGGGTGAGATCGACAAGATGCTGAAGGAGAACCCGCCCTCCGACGACTTCAAGGTGAGGTTCCCCCGGGTCTTGCACGAGCGCCTCGCCCAGAAGGCTTTGGCGCTGGCGCAGGAGCCCGCTTGCTTCCGCCAGATGTGCACATGTGCGTGTAGACAGTGTCGACGTTGGTTATAGTTTCTGGGCTCGTGACTATAGTGTTCAGGTTTGCTCACAAACTACCCGCTCTCAGATTTCGCACTGCAGTTCGCATATTGCGGAGAGTGCCAAAGTGACATGACATGACATGAGTCGCGTAGACGACTGCATGGGTGTGGCACAGGAGATCGAGGACTACAAGGCGAACCATTCCGAGGCGGAGGTCAAGGAGTTCAACACCAGGACTGCGCCGGAGGAGTTCCTGAAGACGGCGACCGACCTCATCGGGCCGTACTACGAGGCCCGGGAGGCCAACGAGAAGAAGGTGGAGGACCTGAAGGCCTTCTTCCGCTCCCAGAAGAAGGTGGCCGGCAAGACGAAGGCTGGGAGCGTGCGCGGTGGGCATAGAGCTGGGTGTTGTAGCTGTGTCGGATTTTGTGCTTTTTGCCAGGCGGACATCGTCAAGGAGATCTTCAAGGTCATGCCCAAGTACTCCGACACGCCGATGCCGCCTTTGGACGAGGAGATGCTCGCCGACTTGGCCAAGATCCCTGCCGTCCTCGAGGGTGAGCGGGAGCCTTAGCAACTGGCCATCTTTTCAATTCTCGATGAAGGTGAAATGTTAAAAGCAACTCCCGCATCTTGAATGCCAGGTTCAAGCACAACTGGGGCACCGCCGAGAAGCTCTACAAGTCCGAGGCGATCGACTCCTTCGGCAACAAGTACCTCCTGGGCGTCTTTGAGACCGTGAAGGAGGCCGAGAAGGCCTTCGACGAGTGGAACAAAGAGCGCCCTGGATCCAAACATTTGACGTGGTTGGACGGAGCAAATAGGGCCTGACCCCATGGCCTAAGAAGGAATAAAAGGCCCCGAGTGTCGCTGGAGGGGGGGGGGCGGGACATCCTGACCTCATGCCTCCGGGATAATGCAGCAAAGCGCTGAGTTGCAAGGTACGAGCAAGCCGGAGTGGATGTCCAGGAGTCCCTGAGCGGCTGGGCCAAGCAGCAGGAGGCGGCGCTCGCCGAAGACCAGGACAGGAACGAGATGAATTGTAAGCACTGCGCATGGACCGCCTCGGCCCGAGAGTCTACAATAGCCAGATACAGGCTTGTGAGGTTTGGGCTTATGGTTCAGAGATGTTGAGTCGAGAGTTTGGGTGTTTCTGGGCTAGGGTTCTGTTTTCGGCTGGGGCAGGCGCCGGTGGGTTGTTCCCTATGGGGTTGTCGGGCCTTAAGAACACAACGTTTGGGCGAGGCGCGTTTCTTGTGCAGCCAGGACCAGAGGGGAATCATTACACCCCAGCCCAGGGAACTTGCGAAATCGGTTCTAATCGCTTGATGGTTGAAGAGCCAGCGGTCAAAGCTATCTGGCATTTTCTCTGATCTCGCTGTGAGGATGAGGTGGACCGCCTCCGCAAACAACTTGAGGAGGCTCGCCGCTGAGGTGAAGGAGAAGCCAGACAGCTGTTCTCGTCCACGGCGACCATACCGGATCTGGCTGAATAGATTAGGCACCTGTTGACGACTTAGCCTAGTCAAGCACTTGGGACATACTCAGCAACACTTGATGTACGAGTTGAGATGCAGAAAGCTTGGGATCGTCAACGAGCAGCCCCGCCCCCGGGTAGCGCCACACTCACAGTCGTTGCCAAGACAAAGCTCAATGAAACAAGTTTGAACTGACTTCGACCAGCATGTTAGCATGTGCATGATAGCGCCGCTTAGGCTTAGTTTGGGGCGATTGAGGTGCCGATAGGCTTCTTCGAATGAAACTGACAGTAGACGGCTCAAGATGTTGAGGGGCTGCGAAAGGAGGTCCTTCAGGACATGGCAGTCATGATATATGCACCATCGGACAGTTGAGTAGATCAAGGCCGCCGTGGAGAGACCAGCCATCAGAAGCCCTTGTCTTTGAAAGACAGGCGCAGCAGGACAACAGCACATGGGTCTCCTCTTTCCAAGGGAGCATCTCCTCCGTTTCTGTGCATTGCATGTACCGAACCAGGCGCTTTGCAAGCTTTTGCAAAGGATGCCACGCCAGTTCTTCACGAACTGCAAGTGCTCACACTTCATCGCAGTTCATGATTTTTGACAACCAGCTGGATCATGAAAATGAAGCGTTCCCCAGATTGGTTTGTCAAGTTCCTGCCAACACTAAACTTCACTGAACCACAAAACTCCGACCATGTCGTCCTCCTACTCACAGCGAGTTGGCTGCACAAGCAAAGGCAATGCCTGGACCCCAGGAATTTTGGCCCAAGTGCCCACCAGCGGGGACCTTGCACCGGAAATAGTCCGGTCGATTCAGGCCACTTGGAGCATGCTGTGAAGGGACTGACGGGGAATCAGAGCTTGTCAACCGAGGCCCCACACATCCCGCACTACAGCCTGCAAAGTGAACCCCTTTGAGCCCTGAATAACTTCGCAGCAGCGGCATCGGAGCTGAAAACATCAACTCTCAAGCCCTTCCCCTCACGGAGGTCAGGGATGACGCAGTCTCGGATTTTGCCGTCTTTGCTGCTTGCTGCCTCGTCCTGGCTTCTGGTCTCGCTCCTGGGATCCCAGCAGAGCCTTTGGCACGCAAATCACGGTGTTGACTGAACGTATGACGCTTCAACTAATTTAGCAGGTGAGGTTGCCTATGTCGCACATCTTAAGTGGGAGCAGTTTTCTGACGAAAGACACGAGGACCTCCTTCCTGACTGGCACTGCGCCGGCTTCGCGGCAGAGCCGAACGGCCATGCGAGGCTTCAAGGATGACTTCTACGCCTGGAAGGATTCCCTGAGCAAGGATGAGCAAGCTCTGATCCTGAAGCAGGCGCAGAACGAGTTCGACAAGAAGTTCCGCAAGAGCGACACCTTCAGCCAGGACCTGCCAGAGGAGAAGATCCAGTCCTTCGCCAAGGTCCTTAAGAAGTTCTTCGACAACGACGCAGGGCTGCCTGTAAAGGTTGACGTAGCAGCTGCAGAGGTAGAAGTTCCTGAGTGGAATGTTTCCAGCATTTTCCAGCATTTTCAGACGCCTGTAGTGCTGTCCAAGTAATTTGTTTTCTCTGAGCACCGAGGAAAAGGATGACTACAAGAAGGACAAGGGCTTCGCATAGCAGCTGTGGGTCACTCATGCTGCGTTTTTCCTATCTAGCACCATTCTAGGGGACATGGGTGAAGGCAGTCGCTGTGTTTTTAGGGCTTTTTCAGTGCAATGATTTCCCGCGCCCATTTTAAAGTAAGGAAAATACAGTATGAGAATCCTCAAATCCCATATCTCGCGCCGAGACATACTACTAATCGGCAATTTTAAAGAGATTAGCACAGAAGGTATATCAGCCGTACTTTTCCTTTTGAATCATCAGTGCTTCACCAATGACGAAAAGTCGGGCCTTCGGCCTAAGTAAGCACGAAAAGTCGGGCCATGTTCTGGAAGCAAATTGTTGTGATATTTCCGCGATCGAAGCATTTGGGTGGGTTCCTTGTCAAGAGAGTTCCCATCTCTAGGCCTTTTAGTGTTATCCAGCCCAGGCGTTAAACAGGGTCTCAAGGTGTGACGGCTGAACAAGGTGAGGGAGTTAGTACTAAATTTCCTGTCCAGCCGTGGAAACCTTAACTGCCCAGGAGTGCGTCCATGAAGAGCACACGTTGATAGTAATATTTTGTGGGTGAGTGAAACGCACGCCTCACAATAACATTATGTAGTGCATTCATGAGGTCGTTTCATTCATGTGTATATTTACCATTAGAATCAGGGCCCTTTACCAGCAATATAATTATTTTCCTTAGGACCTTTTCCTCCATTCAATACACCCACGACATGAAGATAAATTGTACATCCGTGAATGAAATTAATGGGGAAGAGTACAAGATTATATTATCAAAGACGTCCTGTACCCTGTCATTTCTTTAATGCGTTGCATCTAGAAAAATGCCCTTTCCATCCTGTAGAAGTATTGTTAAAGGTATATTTGCGTAAAAGCCCCTAATCTGTTGTCGGTTTTGGGGGGTTTTCTAATTTCTGAAGCTCCATCATGTATATCCTTCTTTAGACATATTTTTTCATTTATTGTCTTGTCCAACTTTACGGATGTGGCCTGGAGAAGCTTTCTATCTTCCAGATCCTTGTGAATTAACTTCTGCTAGTACACTTTCATGTTGCTACATCTTTAGGAAATCGTTTTTGTTAGTTTAGAAATTTCATCACAATATTTTTCCTTTCTTGTGGTCATTCTATGTAACTTCTCTTTTATTACTTTGTAGATTC